CTTGTAGAGTTTGCTTTCGTCTTCTGAATCACTAGCGACGGGATTTGTTTCATACTGTCTCATAGTTTCCCAGCCGCCTGATGAAGTATCTGCGATGCGTATCAATTTGTTTCGTTTTTTAAACTTGCCTGATAGTTCTAGACAAAGCTCTTTAGAATAGTCAAACTTCTGATTATCTATAGCCCAAACTAACTGCTCTACTGTATTACTTATGTCACTATTAAATTCATATTGGATCTTGTTACCTTGAAAACGCCAAGAAATGTCCCTATCGGTTTTCAACACCTTCACTTCGTTAACGACACTTTGAGAATTTCCTTGAACTTCTGCACGCAGAGCTCTTACTTCTTCCCGCTGCTGCCTTACTCCAAACAAAATTCTCTTGAAGAATTCTTTGGCTGTAGAATAGCAGAACTAGTTTCGTCATTTTCATGTACATGTACAAATAACTTCTGTTGTGTTAAGTACGTAAAATTTAACGATGTAAACCTGTCGGTTACCCAAAAGTGAATGAACTTACACAGACTGAAATACTGCACGAAAATATCGTGCACTCATGTCTAGCTTTACTAAATATCCTGACGATGACTACGTTACCTTAAGGGAAAATACTTTCCTTCTAATTCGTTCCTCAAACGAAAGAAATTATATTGTCATAGAATGTGTTGTGCTTAGCTCCAACAAAATTGTCCTGATTGATAGTTCCCACATTTAGAAGCTGAAAGTTGTAGATACCGATGGTAAAACTGTGATAGAGGAAAAAGTGATGGATCCACCTCCCTTTAGAGTCACAGCACTACCATATGATCAGATAGCTGTGACAATTCCAAAGAAGAAAGAAATATTAATAATGTCAGTGTCCAGTGATTACATATTATCAAGGTCATCTTTATGCTCTTTGCAAGAATCCACATTGCATCTTAAAAGTTGATATGCAAGGTAAAGTATTGAACAAACTAGTTGAAAATTGTGAAGTTTCTTTTGAAACAACATGCATTGAAAGCAACAGAGAGATGACATGTTGTATTATTTTGAAAACAAAAGGGGTTTTACTTACACAAGTGATTATGCTAACCAGACAATTGTTCGCATGAATTTGAACGGAGAGGTTTCTGCTGAATACAAAGTAACTTTAAGTCAAACTGTTGTAGACATGGTAGTATTAGATGATGGATCTCTGCTGGTATGTGTTAATACAAGTCCTGACTTCTATCGTATATCACAGGATTTCAAGGAATTCTATGCTGTAGAGACAGTGTCCACTGACACACATTCAATCTGTTACAATAGAAATCTACAGAAGATTTATACTGGCTCATTCAGCAGTAACCTATTGAAAGTTTATGAGTTGAAGTTATAAAATCAGCTTCTGATGCAAAGCAGAACAAAACTTTTGCTGACAATAAGCATGTTAATGCCACATATTCAGTTCTTACTTCTGTTTAAATTAGTTCTCATACCTTATATTCAATTCTTATTTCTATACGCATGTTTATGGTGTGCATTATATTAAATATTGCTCTTTTTATAGGGAATGGAATTTGGGATAATTTTATGTTTTCACCAATATATGATCCAAATGGTTCAATACATTTCTGTTTGTTTTAAAGCCATTTGTGCAAAATGTCTTCTTCATCATCTCTGTGACATCACTAATCATGTTATTGTTTTAAAAATAAATTGGTCCTTATAAAATTAATGAACCATTAACAATAATAGACAAAACACCATCAATAGACAAAATGTCTCAGTCAGCCCGCATAGCTCAATCGCTTAGAGCGTGAAACTTGTATCTGTGGGTTCCATTCCCAGAATGGCCAACTAAAAAATTACTAAAACAGTCTTTAGGATGAGACTTTCCATCGAAGCCCCATGTATTGGTGCTTAAACACTTAACACGCTAAAGAACTCGGTGAAGCTTCTGAATTTAGGATATCTTTCTGCATCTGTATCTTGCACTATCCTCCAAGGTCTAAAATGACTAATTAATACTCTTCTAAACGACTTGCGCATATGGGAAACCGATGGCGAATATTAAATAAATAAATAAATAAATACACATAACAGCCAATGTATAAAAAAAAGGGAAAGTACATAACATATCACGAACGTTTTATTACAAATAAAGATCTTTCAGTGGAAACAATTTAACTCAAATGAAGATTGTTTCTTTCCTTTAATATATTTGTTATAAGTATGTGCTAAAACTTACTGGTGTTAAGTGCATACAGATTATCTTCAATTATAACAATATACTATGATGAAAAGAACAATTAAAGATTTTAATCCAATTATTTATTCAATATTTTTTTCATCTAGATACATTAAAGGTAAAACTATGTTAATAAAGATAAAACTCTGGAACACAAGCTTCAACAATAAATGTTTAAATATAACAAATTTTAAAAACGTGAAACGTAATATTTTATTTTCAAAGAATGCATAGAACAAAAAGATAAATAAAAGTGTTTTTTAACATGTATTTTGGGTAAATATTCCACGAGTACAAAGCACAAATGTTATAATTGATGTATAATGTTACTCACATATATTCTGTATTAAATGTTAGATGCTTTTTTGTTGATAAGTGTTAAATATGTCAAGCATTCTTTTGTTTTGTTTTGATCAATATAGTTTTTGAAAAGAGGAAACACTATGTGCCACGTCTTTTTTCCTCCTTTTTTCATTAATCTGTTCTTAATGAATTTCTCTATATTATCATAATTTTCTTTTTCATCTATGATAATAATTATAGTTGAATATATGATTTTCTATACAATTTCTGTATTAGATGAAAGTTGATAATTAGTGTTGAATGATGGTGAAGTGAGATTGTCATAGTAAATACCATGTGATGGAAGTTTCAAATTCCTAAAATTAGACCATCAAGTTTCAAAAACATTTTGATCAGGGTAAGTAAATCTGCCAGTCTGTTAGGTATTTTGTCAAGTTGCCACACAAGAGTTATCATCCCTTTTGACAATCACATCTTCAAAGATTTTAATGAGTCCGAGAATTAGTAATGTGAATAGTTTTCAGGTAATATATAGCAACATAGAAAATAGCATGATTAATGTAAAAGAATAATTGACAGAGTTCATTTATCAAAGTTCATGGAATTAGATTAATCTTCTTTTGTGTGACTAACAGTAAGTCTATAGATTTTCAGCCTCCAGGCATGGTATTTTGTTTAATAATAATGTAATATAGACAGTATAGTGAACAATTGATGATTCATAAGTAATTACAGTATTTGTTAATTTTCACTCACTTCCCTGCTTATAATCCTGTGTCTATAATTAGGCATTTTTGGGACTTTATGGTCTTTAGTTAGGTATTTTGACTTTGTTGTTCATGTTGTTACTATGAGTAAAAATATAATGAAATATAACACTCTGTTTGATTTATATACGACGTGTTGATGACTTAATCATGTAGGTTTTATATTATAGTGATTCATGCTGATTCTGTAATATTTTGAATCTGTTTCATTTTAAAATGAGAGCAGATGTAATATTATTAGTGTCATTTGTCTGTGTCTATTTCATAATGGTAGATTTAGTAATGGCTATTACATTTAAAATAATCACTTCTTTAAACATCTTCATTTCCTTTAATCAAAATAAAGAAATTGAAAAGTGAAACAGTTTATTTTTATTAATGACCCTGGTATATACATGTCCCATCTGTCATTCTTTACTTCCATATGGGAGTGTCTGTGGCCTTGTGGTATTCAATCCACTTGCCCCTCATTGCTGTTGGTTCAAATCCCCACAGGTATTTTAATTTTTTCAAGTGAGGAAGCTATCCAGCTAGCTTATAGAATGTCATTGGTTCTACTCTACTGAAACTATGCACAGACTTGCACCTGTGTCTTCCTCCAAGAGTAAAGCTGAAAAGTTGCCATATGACCTATAGTGTTGTGGTGTAATGTAAAACTCAACAACAAAAAAGACAAAACCTCCATATGGATGGTTTCTAATAGCTTTAGTGCAATATATGGGGCAAAAAGTCAACAAAGAGTTCTTGCCCCTAACAAATTCGGTTCAAATCATGTTTAATATTAAAAAAAAATACACTGCTAGGTTTACATTTTAGCCTAATTGTTCTTAAATTTCATTCATTGGATAAAATTTGGTAATCTGTAATGTATCATCATGAGAGATATATGTATATTAACAATTACAAAATATCCTGTCATATCCTGTAAAATTCAGTATTAAGTTTTAAAAGTTCAGTAGTCTACACACATTAAGCTGGTATATTGAAGATCTTATTTTACAAGTGTACTCAGTAGATCATACATTTCCATGGCAACCATGTGCATGATGTTGTTTCATACAGAGAAGTAATGTGAAGACTTTGTATGTTTTTTTAGATTTATTTTGTTTCCATGTATCAACAACAAGCTAAGATGAAAGAATCTGAAAAAAAACATTAGAATATAAATCTACTTCGAGTTAATTTTTATCCCACAAAAATGTAATGCTATGTCTATAAACTACTTTTGTAATTCAATTATTGTGTATTGTATAGACAGAATATCATAAAGTTTTTTTATGGTATATCAATTGTGATAGTATACAGCTTATCGGATTTAATCCAATAAACATGACATTGTGTATACCCTATCTATTACTGATCAGCTATACTAAACTATAGAACACTAAAATAGTATATCAGTAACCCATGACGACTTCTATTGTAAAGTTATTGATTTTTACCATGAGATGAGCTGATGATACGACAGAAATTGTGTAACTACCTGGCAAAATTAATTGCCCAGTTAAAGAGATAGGTTGAATTAGGTCAATAGTTAAAGGGCACAATATGTTACGCCTGCCTTAACACTAGAATGGCGGGAATATTAGAGAAAATTAATAAGTTGTCGAATCAATATGTCTATAAATGGATATTATTATCAATGACAGATTGGTTATTTTGATGTTAATCTAAAAAAGGACAACTAAAAAAGGACAACTACGTCGATATTTGTGATCATGGCAGAGTCTGGGCATAAACAGTCTGATTTAAGTGAATCAGTTTTAAAGAGTTCAGCAGAGGATTTTGATCACAAATGTGTGCCTTGTCTATCATCTGATAAACAAATTGTTGAAGCAACTGGATTTTGTGTGACATGTCAGGAGTTTCTGTGCAGAGAATGCTTCAAGTTTCATAAAAAGACGAAAGCTCTTAAACATCATGAACTGCTTGATGAAGGAAACATACCGAGGGGCAGTCCTTCTTACACGAAGGAACATATTAGATCTATACCGGAGATTTTCACACAGAGATGTTCAATGCATAAGAATGAATTTATTAAGTTTTTCTGTCCCATGCACGAGACTGTTGGGTGTACAGTCTGCATGACCATTGGTCATAAAACTTGCAAAATAGATTATATACCTGAAAACTGTACAGGAATTGCAGAGAGTGTAGAATATAGCAACGTTATACGGAAGTTGGACAAGAAAATAAAAGAAACTGATGCGGTTTTGATAAAAGCAGGACAAAGGGACAAGTCTTTAGATCTTCAATATGATAACTTTATCACTGAAGTAACAAAACATCGAAAAAGAATTGACAATCGATTAGATGAACTTCAAGAGAAAGTAATAGAAATTGCAGGAAAAAGGAGATCCCAGGACAAAAAAGCCCTTGAAGAAGTAATTGGTAATTGTAGTGACACTTCGAGTGAAGCCAAGAAAACGCAGAGCAGTTTGCAAGACAACAAGGCATCAAAGCAGAATATACAACTGTATATAGATATTAAACAAGCTGAATTAAAACTCAAAACAGATGATATACACCTGGCTGAGCAATCATTAGATAAAATAAATGTACAATACAAGTTTCAACATAATGAGGACCTAGAAAAAATGATTGGTAACCTGAATGCCTTTGGAAAAATAAGTTTCCCGTCAAAACTTTCGAATAAAGAAATTTATTCAAATTGCCTGACATATGTTGATAAAATCAATATAAGTACTGATTCAGACAAAAATTTCTTCAAATGTAATGTCATAGGATGTGCTGTGCTTAGCTCCAACAAAATTGTCCTGATTGATAGTTCCCACAATCAGAAGCTGAAAGTTGTAGATACAGATGGTAAAACTGTGATAGAGGAAAAAGTGATGGACGCACCTCCATCTGGAATCACAGCAATACCAAATGATCAGATAGCTGTGATAATTCCAAAGAAGGAAGAAATATTGATAATGTCAGTGTCCAATGAAATTTCATTGGTGCGAGAGTTTAAACTGAGGGAAGAGTGCCATTTTATTACATATTGTCAAGGTCATCTCTATGCTCTTTGCAAGAATCCACATTGCATATTAAAAGTTGATATGCAAGGTAAAGTGTTGAAAAAACTAGCTGAAAATTGTGAAGTTTCTGTTATAACAAAATGCATTAAAAGCAACAGAGAAGAAGACATGCTGTATTATTTTAGTTCCACTAAAAACTTAAGTGGTGATACTGACAGGAAAATCGTTCGCATGAATTTGAATGGAGAGGTTTCTGCTGAATACAAAATAACTAGTAATATTGAAGACATGGTAGTATTAGATGATGGATCTCTGTTAGTATGTGTTAATTCAAGTCCTGACTTCTATCGTATATCAGGGGATTTGAAGGAATGCCATGCTGTAGAGACAGTTTCCACTGACACTTATTCAATCTGTTACATTAGAAATTTAAAGAAGATTTATACTGGCTCATTCAGCAGTAACCTGTTGAAAGTTTATTATTTGAAGTTATAAAAATCAGGTCCCGATGCCAGGCAGAACAAAACTTTTGCAGACAATAAGCATGTTAATGCCAGATATTCAATTCTTACTTCTATAAAAGATTAATATCTAAATTAGTTGCCATACCTTATATTCAATTCTTATTTCTATATACATGTTTATGGGGTACATTATATTAAATATTGCTACTTTTATAATGAAAGAAATTTGAGATTATTTTGTTTTATCACTATTCTACACCAATATATGACCCAGATGATTTAACATACTTCTCTTAGTTTTTAAGGTCATTCGTGCTAAAAGCTCTTCTTCATCATCTCTGTAACATCACAACTCATATTGTTGTTTTAAAAATAAATTGGTCCTTATAAAATTAATGAACCATTGACAATAATAGACAAAACACCATCAATAGACAAAATGTCTCAACCAGCCCGCGTAGCTCAATCGCTAAGAGCGTGAAACTTGTATGTGGGTTCAATTCCTAGAATGGACAACTAAAAAAATTACTAAAACAGTCTTTCGGATGAGACTTTTAATCGAGGCCCCATTTAACACGCTAAAGAACTATGAGAAGCCTCTGAATTTTGGACATCTTTCTGTATCTGTATCTTGCACTATCCTCCAAGTTTTTAAAGTAAAATTATAAGTTCAAAGAGGAAATAACTCTTGAAAAAAGACGCTAGAATTATGATCCTTGTCATGCATGATGTGAGAAATGACAAAGAACAATTATTTATCTTAAGTCTGGAGTAGATACCATATATAATAACAAAGAAAATACTAAAAAAATCATTTTACAAATGAAGTTTTAGTTTAAAAATTAAATGGGGATAATTTTGGAAACACAGGAGCTTGGGTTTTATAACTATTTTCCATATGACAAGAAGTTATAGTAAAAAAAATAACATTTGTTCACATAAATTCAAAGTTCAAGGGGGAGTAATTCTCTAAATAGTCATGCAACAGTTATGAACCTTGTCACACAACATGTGTGTAATGATAAGAAATATATATTTGAAGTTTGAAGCAGATACCTTAAAAAGTAAAGGAGTTATTTCTTTAAAAAGATTCTTAGTTCAAAGGGGGATGAATCTGAAAATATTGCTTAAAGTGTTATGAACCTTGTCACATAAGATGCAGTTGATGATTAGGAATATATTTTTGAAGTTTGAGGTAGATACCTTTAAAACTAAAGAAGTTCTAATAACATTTTTCAAGTATAAAAACCTAAGTTCATGGGGAGATAATTCTCGCAATATTGAACCTTGTCACATAAGACGTGGTTAATGATAAGGGACATATATTTGAAGTATAAAGTTTATCCCTTAAGAAATAAAGAAGTAACAGTAAACAGTTCAAGGGGAAATAAATCTGAAAATATTGGTGCTAGAGTTATGAACCTTGTCACATAAGATGTGGTTGATGATGATTATATATGTGAACTTTGAAGTTGATACCTTAAGAAATGAAAAAGTTGTGAAAAATATTTTACTGCTCTGAAATCTGGACGCGGATGCCGGGGCGAGTAGGATAGTTCTCCATAGGCTTAGTATGGTTAAACTAATGAATACATACACACAACAGACAAAACACTCTATCAAATAACATTGGGAAAGTGCATAACAGATCATTAAAGTTTATTTAGAAATAAAGACCTTACAGTAGAAACAATTTAACTCAAATGAAGATTGTTTCTTTCCTTTAACATATTTGTCATAAGTATATGCTAAAATAGAGAAAATAAGAATCCCTCAAGAAAGCCCAATACGGCAAAATTGAAAATGTTGCAGGCTTGGTTTGATTGAGCCTGTTCATGGACGGTACTGTCAAGTACAAACTACCGTCCACGCCCCCTAGCACCGGCTAAAGCAGAATTCAACATTTAAACATGAAATGGCAAAATTTTGAATTTAGAAAAACATCCGTAGATGTGTTCATACGGCGGTTATCATGGAACCTTCAATGTGACACAGTAGTGCCATTCCATGAAAAGCGGCGTATGGTCCTCAACTAATAGAATGATTTTGCCCTAAACGAGAAAACAATGGGCGGAACTATATAAAATGGAATTTTGTAAGGGGATCTGAGGTTATGAAGCCTGCATATCACAGGTAAGACGTCAAAAGAGAAAGTTAAAAAAGCAGGCAACATTTTCTAAGGGTGACTCATCATTATTCAAGAAGGAATATTGGAACCACCCAACTAGAAAATGCCGAAAAGTTAAAACTAAAAATACCACAAGCACAACAATACAGATTATCTTCGATTATGACAATACTGGTCGGGGACCATCAACCGGACACTTTTTGAACATTTTTCCATAAAGATTTCATAATTTCAAACCCAGAGACCTAAAAATTTGACATAGTACAGCTAGGTTCCTCTCCTAACTAACAAACCAGTTTCACTTTTTCTGATTATATTGACACTTATATCTGAGGCTCGTCAAGGAGGGTATCAAAATTACCTAAATTGTCAACACTACAGTACCATGTGTCCGGACAGATATGTACATGACATGATTTAATTCAGATAAAAGCTTGGGTGTTTTTATTTTTAATTTTTAATATGATATACAATATTTCAGCAACAAATGCTGAAGTTTTGGATATTATATTGTTTACTCTGCAAATGATTATAGCTGGTATATGAGGTCAGGCATTCTTTCTTGGCCCCCAAATTTCAATGTCAACATTCTTGAAATAGACATTTAAATTTTACCATTTACGGAGGTTGAAATAAATTTATTTACTTAATTTTAGAAGAAACATGCATTTATTGTTGATATAAAAGTGACTGACCACCACTGAACAAAGAAAATTCTAAATTAAGCATTTTCGGGGCTGTCCGGGTTTGGTGGTTGTCCGGTTTTGGTGGTCCCCAACCAGTATACTATGACAAAAGAAACAAATGAAGATGAAACAAATGAAGATTTTAAACCAAATTTTATTCAATATTTTTTTCATCTAGATACATTGAAGATAAAACTATGTAAATAAAAATAAAATTCTGGAAGACAAACTTCAACGAGATCACAATAAAAATATATGTTAGAATATAACAAATTTTTAAAAACATGAAACATACATAGAGCTATTTTATCTTTAAAGAAAGCATAGAATAAAATGATAAGTAAAAGCAGTGTATAACATCATAAAGATTAAAGCACATTATGGTTGACATCATATTAGAAATAAAACACCTGGAATTTTAACATGCACACATGTCAACAGCTTGTACAAATTCTGCCTAACCTCCCTACTGTCTATATACCTGCTGATCATTCAAAAAGCAAATTAACACGAGTTTTTATTTCCCCTGGTCTTATTTATACTTCGAAGTGAAGCAAGTTTTTCTTTTTTTGCTTACTTTTATGTCACACAGAAGTGCATAGTGCCATTTAAGCTTTACTGACGGGAGAAAGACCTCTAGTGACCCTCCATTCATTATTTCAAACATGAGCAGAAACCTATGCAGAATTACTGACATTCCATAACCCTAACTGGATAGCACATGAAAGAGTAAAACTTCTTTGAAGAAGTAAGAGCAGTGATCTGCAAATATTTCTGTCTGTGACTTTAATTACTGGACCACAAGGAACAATTTTTAAATTAGAAAGGCTAATTTAAACAATACTAAATTTATGGCATTTTCTGAATAATAAAGTAGTAAGGCTAAAGTTATTCAGATTCAGATAATACTAAATGAATGAAGTTTATGAGAACGAGGCTTAAATTCAGAAAACATTAATTACATAACATTCCCTCTAAGTTGTAAGGCTTAAGTTAGAAATTATAATTTATTAAGGAAATATCAACTGAATACTAAATGATTCTAAGAATTATATTGACAGATAGATAAGTTTTAGTAAATAAATGTACACAAATCTCAACATCAAAGCCTGCTGATTAACAAAGAAAAGTCCTGTACATAATTCTCGTTTTGTCACAGGTAAATCTTGCCACAACATAATTAAAGCAAGCTTAATAACTTAAATAATCATTCTCATACAAACTAGAAAATTGACAACAATCTTAAATTATTGTCATTGATTACACTTTTTATATTAACATAATGAAGTAAGAATTAAATTATATAGGAAAAAAGAATAAAATAATGATGTAATTTCATATCAATAAAACTGTTATGAAATACAATTTAACATCAATTGCAAGATAAAATAAACATTGTACATAATATAATATACAATAAGATTAAAAGAAAGCTAGGAAATATTGCACAAAAATTATTTGAATAATAATTAAGAAATTTCTACCCTGCATTTATACATCCTATATACATGTATGTACATCCAGTAATTGTATCAGGTATATCACTTTATGTGTGTAAGTTAATGGTTATTTTCATGTTTTAATTACAATGAATTTCCAACTAAACTCCTACCTAACAAGTTATCAGCTTCATGTCAAAACAGTCTGATCATAGTTCAAATCAAAGATGTCAAAATACAAATGTACAAGTATAATGATGTATACTAAATGGCTCTGTTCAAACTAATGATAAATCTGATACGTCTTTTCCCAGTTTTAAAAGATGGAAATCATAATAATTTTCTTTTCTTAACTTAATAGAAACAACATAATGATTCAGCACATGTTTTGACATAATTTTTCTTGTTTTTCTTTGACCAATTTCACCCATCATGATTTTTTTACTATAAAAATTCTATGAAAATTTAAAAATGTCAATACATGGAGGAATGACAAAAGAGCCTGAATCAGTACACCTCTTTCCAAATGAATACATGTACCGTATATGATATATTGAAAAATTAGTTAAGTAGGACAGTCATTGAGGGATAGAAAAAACTAAATGTATAATGCTGATGTATTATTCTATACCTAATTTATCTAATCAATCACAAGACTTCTTTATGTCCACTGACTGAACAAAATGTATTCCTACGCAAACCAAATGATAAAATAGGTATAGAATAAAAAGTTCATGTAACAAGTTGTTCTGTACATTACGTGATTCATTTTGGATTTGTACCCAGCTAAATAAACCAGACTTAACTCACCAGGTAGCTAGTCCAATACGGTTTCTCCAGATGAGTATGAGCCAAAACAATATATCTCTGTATTGTACTGAACACTATAACCTAAAATCATTAAATAATGTGAACTTCAAAGCTTGTATCTTCTTAATATGTGTATTATTAGATGTAAATTTATATTCCACTTCAAATAAATGAAAGGTGTACTCTCTGCTTGAATCAACAGAGGTTAGCAAAACAGGCATCAACTGCAGCAGCCTTTCTTTTTCGGAGCATCTTCTAAATGAAGCGATTTCTCTATTTCTTTATCTTCTTTGTCTTTTAAAAGCCTGAAAATACAAGAAATGTACAGCGTTATTGGTTATGCCTTTTTATACCCGGAATATATACTGGACAATGCGCTTGAATGATTGAATGCTAAAATCTCGCCTTCTCGCCCAATGGAATGAACTTTAAAACATCTAATTCATCACCTCACAACGATTTATATACGATAATGAATGAAAAATGTAAGAATCTGCTAAAAATCGAACTTTGTATATTTTGTGCAAGGTGCTGCTCCAACACTGTATTGAGTTAAATCCATTTAAAATATGACATGTACAATATGAACAATATGGTTGTCACTTTTAATTTCATGTGTTGCAACCCATTGCAAGTCAGTAACAATAACAGTATGGTTGTCACTTTTAATGTCATGTGTTGCAACTCCATGGCAAGTGTAACAATAACAGTATGGCTGTCACTTTTAACAATGTCATGTACATTACACACAGTATGGTTGTGTCTTTTAATATATACACAATAGATCATTAATTTCATACATTAAAATAATAGGTCCTAGTGTCTTCAAGATTGCATCAACAATCATTTTTTAATTTTTTTTTTCATTTTCTTTAGACCTTAATACCCTGTGTATTTGACTTGTATTGCTTTACATTTAGGCATCCATTTTTGTATTTATGGATTTTAGCACAAAAATTCTAAGATTGAGCAGCTTTTATTATAGAGTATGTTCTAACACCAGTACTGGTAATATATACCAGCCATCATTACCACCATTATACCCGTACCCTGCTGTAATGTAATGTGATTTAATATGATGTAATGTAATGTGATATAATGTAATGTGATGTAATGTAATGTGATATCATGTAATGTGATGTAATGTGATGTAATGTGATGTGATGTAATGTAATGTGATGTAATGTAATGTGATATAATGTAATGTAATGTGATGTGGTGTGATGTAATGTAATGTAATGTGATATAATGTAATGTGATGTGATGTAATGTAATGTGATGTGATGTGATGTAATGATGTAATGAGATGTGATGTAATGTAAGTGACCCACCCTGTTTTAAATATTGAGCAGTCTATTACTGTTTTAAGATTATGGTAATAAAATACAAATCAAGCTACTGACAATATAGAAATTGGTTATTTAAATAATAACTCCATAAAACAAGAGCCCAGTATGCTCCCCGAATAGGTTTTGAACACAGGAAAGAACACCTCTTGTAGTAAGGTCCCTGGAAAAAGTTCAAAGTGCAATAATTCCAAAATTAGGCAGGGCAGAGTAACTGTTCTATGCACTGCACTTCTAATCAATGTAATCTATCAACCTACAAAGTTTCTTGTTGATATCTCTTATGGTCTCTGAGTTATGTCCCGGACAAAGTTCAAGATGTAAAAATGAACAAAGGGCAATAACTACAAAATTTGGCAAGGCAGAGTTCAAGTTCTTGTGCACTGCACATCTACCCATTGAGATCTATCTACCTACAAAGTTTCATGTTGATATCTCTTGTAGTTTTAGAGTTATTTCCCAGACAAGATTTTTTTAAAAGGGGAGATAATTCAAAAATTGGGCAAAACAGAGTTATGTTTTTTTGTACTGCACTTTTACTCAATGAGATCTATCTACCAACAAAGTTTCATGTTGATATCTCTTATAATTTTAGAGTAATGTCCCAGACAAAGTTCAAAAAGTAAAAATAAACAAAGGGCAATAACTCCAAAATTAGGCAAGGCAGAGTTATGATTCTTGTGCACTGCACATCTACCCATTGAGATATATCTACCTACAAAGTTTCATGTTGATATCTCTTATAGTTTTACAGCTATGTCCTGGACAAGATTTTTCTAAAAGGGGAGATAATTCAAATATGAGGCTTAACAGAGTTATTGTTCTTTTGCATTGCACTTCTACTCAATGAGATCTATCTACCTACAATGTTTCATGTTGATATCTCTTATAGTTTTAGAGTTATGTTCAAAGTGTTAAAATTAAAAAAGGGCAATAACTCCAAAATTAGGCAAAAAAAAGAGTTATGGTTCTTGTGCACTGCACAACTACCCATTGAGATCTATTTACCCACAAAGTTTCATGTTGATATCTCTTATAGTTTTAGAGTTATGTCCCGGACAAGATTTTTCTAAAAGCGGAGATAATTAAAAAAAACGGGCAAAATAGAGTTATGGTTCTTGTGCACTGCACATCTACCCATTGAAATCTATTTATCTACAAAGTTTCATGTTGATATCTCTTATAGTTTTAGAGTTATGTCCCGGACAAGATTTTTCTAAAAGGGGAGATAATTAAAAAATCGGGCAAAAAAGAGTTATGGCTCTTTGACACTGCACTCCCCCTCAATGCTCTCTACCACTGTATGAAGTTTAAACAAATTATCTCCAAGGGTTTTCAAGTTATACTCCCGACAAGACAACGGACAGATGGACAGACGGACAGATGGACAAGGTGGCGACTATATGCTCTCCATTTGGAAAGCATAAAGGATGACATTAGATTGTAGTTACCAATGCTATTGCTCAAATGGTTATACAATATATTAAAGAAAGATTTGTAAGAATATAAATACCTAGCCAGGGCTACCATAGAATTGTCAACATTTTCTCCACTGAGTGCACTGGTCTCATAGAATAAAGAACCATATTCCTAAAATACAAGTACATGTATATAAAATGTCTGTTTAAAGTAATTAAAGTGACTTATTCTAGAAATAATATTCATGTTTTGACCTTTTTCAATAAAAACATCACACCATTCTCCCCTAAATGGATACACACAAACATATATAAATAATTAAATATACATGTGTACATGTATATCAATGCATTAAAGTAATGAAAGACACCTAGGAAATATATGCTGAGGGGTTGCCTTAAAGTGTTGATGCATCAGAATTGCACCCACTATTTATCCCTGCTTGATCATAAAAGGTAATTAAATGGGTTCGAATTACTGGAGTCTATGCAAGGCTTAGCTCCAGAAGGTGAGGTGGTTTTGACCCCTAGTTTTGCTTTAGTTTTTCAAAACCTGAGGTTAGCCAAAATCATCTATCCTGTTTCGGTGCCATATGACCTGAATTGTGTTGGTGCACTGTAAAACAAAACAAAACAAACAAAATCTAGTCTTGTAGGGGACTTTAATAGTTCTTAATTATCTTAAATTGTCTTTGATTTCACAAGTGAAACTTTTGATATCAAAATTGTTATTAAAAAGTGTCATGTGATCTTACATCAGCCAATTGGGATCCATTTTTCATTTTGACTGCCTTCCCCTCATCATCTTCTGGTAGATCATTTTTGTTGCCTAGCAACACAAGAACTGCTTCATCACTAACACCATCCTGTTATTGTAAACCAAAATGAGCTTTAATATTAATTAATCTCAAATATTCATTGTTGCTTAGGTCATGTTAGGTAAATCCTTCAGAAAATTTTTCAGTTTGAGAAAACTTTTTCAACTTCAATATAGTATGTTATTATGTTTCAGAATAAATACTCCCCCAACACAACAAAAACAAAAATTTAGAAATTATAATGTGTATGTGTATTTTCAAGAGCAGATTATAATAAAGGACACATTCTCCTAAATGGCAGGTTTTGTTGAATCTTAACCTTTACTTGCTTAATTCTTCCTGGTGTTGAATGTGGAAGTACATTGGAAGTATAAGGGATTTCAGCAAAGGTGTCACAAAAAAATTGCTTGTCACATTATGCTCAGTCTCATAATAGTGAACATTTACATTAAAATCCAATTATTCCTGTTTATTAAATGACTCACAATTTAATATCTGCACTTGGACCTTTGCATGTGACCTTACCTTGACCATAGATACCTGAACTTGAGCACGACACATACCTATCAATGCTGAACTTTTGTACCAAGTTATTTAGTTATCCTTCATGCATAAAGAAGTTTCACTAATGGATAAGTATTTTCCTCTGACCTCAAAGTGTGACAATGACCTTTAACAGAGAGACCTTTTATTTATGTGCAACACTAAGTCTCATGATGGTGAAAATTTGTATCAAGTAAAACTAAGATGCTTCCTTAAATTATGAATTACCTGAACATTAGTCATCCAATTTCTAACATTGGTGAATGATGTCTCTGATGTAACATCGTACATTATAACAACACCGTCAGCCTTCCGGAAGTATTGTTTAGTTATACTGCGGAACCTTTCCTGACCGGCTGTGTCCCATAGTTGTAACACTATCATGATGTTCTCCATTGGCAGGTTCTTTATTTGAAAATCTACACCTAAAAGACAAAAATACATAATCTTGACAAAAGTCCTTAAACACAAGTAATCTTATGAAAATATTCAAATTACATGGACCAACTGCTCATTATACAGACATTTTTTTTGGCTAATTCATAAGTAACTTCAATTATCAATATATGTACATGTATTTATTTCTATTTTCTTAAAACTAGCTACAACTGATTTAAATGGAACTCTGGTATCATTGCTATTTGTTTGCATTTGTTGCATCCTCTGAAGACAGTGAATAAAGCTTTAGGAAAGATATTGTATTAAATGTTGTATTTTTAAATAAAACATTTATAAAACCATTCTTCAAAGCAAACACATGTACCTTTAAGTAAAACTTTTTCTTTGATCCAATGTTTTCTAAGCACCAAAACAGTTATGTTCACAGTGGCACAATTACCTTGAGCCAAAATTTTAAAGGCAATGGTTAGGCCTGTGTGTTTTTAATTCTTAATTGCCAAAAGGTTTAACATTCTGTACAAATATTGCTGTAAAAGTTATTTCGGTGAGATTTAATTTTTACCTATTGTTGCTGCATAGGATGCTTTAAAATGACCTTTACAGAATCTGTGTATGAAGCTGGACTTGCCCACACCAGAATCTCCCACAAACACTACTTTAAATACTCTCTGTAATGGAGGAGACTCTACTCCAGCCTGGAACAAAATACATGTATATTTGAGCCATGCCATGACAAAACCAACATAATGGGTTTGCGACCAGCATGGACCCAGACCAGCCTGCGCATCTGCGCAGTCTGATCAGGATCCATGCTGTTCGCTTACCAACCCTATTAAAAATGTAAAGTAGAGAAACTGATAGCAAACAGCATGGATCCTGATCAGACTGCACAGATGGGCAGGCTGGTCTGGATCCATGCTGGTCACAAACACACTATGTTGGTTTTGTCGTGACGCGGCACATTTTATATTTCAGAGTTTTTCTTTAAGATTGCTGTGTATGAATAAATAAGTGGTAAATCTTTAGATGGTATAGAAGTTTATCAAAAGAGATTTGGTTTGTTTACTCAAGGTAATTGTACAAGTTTATAAATACAATTCAGGATTGTGCCATGGGAACTCAATATTTCTGCTGTTTTTGACATCTTATATCTCAACAAGTAAATGTTAGCTTCTCCTCTCCACTTTAATGAATATATAGTGAATGGATTACCTTTGGCAAATTTAGGCAACTTCCATAATTTAAACTCATTAAATCTTTGTCTGGTTAACTACACATATTCTTACGGCAACATTTTGTATAATGTAAGAGAATAGAAACAAGAGCTGTCACAAGAGATGATACAATAAAGGATTACAAAAATATATATGGGGGGATCAATTACTTTGTATGATACAAATACATTTCTGTACTAGTATAAAGAAAGCCCTCAAATGTTCAATATTTTTGCACCACATAATATGCATATGACTTAATTAAAGTACAATATATTAAGATAATTGTAAAAATTGTTGTTGTTACTTGTACATCAGATTCTGTAAGCTCATCAGCACCAACTGGCTGTACTCTTTGAACATTTGGAGAATGTACCCTGGATCCACTATAATAAAAATAAAACCATAATTTATCAAAAGTAAACATAAAAAATATATGCACAACATGCTTCAACTAAACTGTTTTACTTTTTATATATTTTTATAATATTATTCTTTTCAGTGTGACTTATAATAAAAAAATCAGAACAGGTTTATGTCATGATAGAAATTAATTTAGTTGTGTTTTCTATGCATATCCTCCAACATAAGATTTTAAGAGATTTTTAGTTATTCCTTTCAATATAAGTTGTTCTTTTTTTGTTATATAATTACCTCTAATAAAACAAAACTCTGTCTACCGAAAGCTTAAATATGTAACTGAAATCAACAGGCTAAGAAAATGATGCAATCTTGATCGTTTAGCAATCTTCAGGCTAATTAATGCCTTTATGAATCGTTCACTAATTCAGTTGATTAAATAGCAATATGTACACAAAAATCATTTAGTAGTAATATAAAAGTAAAAATATATACATGTAATGCTAAAACAAGAGGGCCATGATGGCCCTGAGGTCGCTCACCTGTATATAGCCCCAAGGGCCAATTTTTACCCAAGGGCTTTTGTTTGTTTATTTGAACAGACTTGGTAGACACCCATAAGAAGATGTGTCATGCTAAACATCTAAGTTCTAGCTCATTGGGTTTTTTAAAAGAAGATTTTTTAAGTTTTTACTATACACATATAGTTAAAAACAATGACACCCCTGGGGCAGGGCCAGTTTTGACCCCCGGGCTTTTATTTGAACAAACTTTGTAGATATTTACTAAAAGATGTTTCATGCTTAATATCTAAACTCTAGCTATTTGGGTTTTTTCAAAGAAGATTTTTAAGTTTTTGCTATACACAAAAAAGGAAAATCAATGACCCCCGGGGCAGGGCCAATTTTGACCCCAGGGCTTTTATTTGAACAAACTTTGTAGACACTGATTAGAAGATGTTTCATGCTAAATATCTTAGCTCTAGCTCTTTGGGTTCTTTAAAAGAAGATTTTTTAAGTTTTTACTATATGCATATAGGGAAAATCAATGACCCCCTGGGGCGGGGCCAATTTTGACCCCAGGGCTTTTATTTGAACAAACTTGGTAGACACTCACTAGAAGATGTTTCATGCCAAATATCTTAGCTCTAGCTCTTTGGGTTCTTTAAAAGAAGATTTTTTAAGTTTTTACTATATGCATATAGGGAAAATCTATAACCCCCTGGGGCGGGGCCAATTTTGACCCCAGGGCTTTTATTTGAACAAACTTGGTAGACACTCACTAGAAGATGTTTCATGCCAAATATCTTAGCTCTATCTCTTTGGGTTCTTTAAAAGAAGATTTTTTTAAGTTTTTACTATATGCATATAGGGAAAATCAATGACCCCCTGGGGCGGGGCCAATTTTGACCCCAGGGCTTTTATTTGAACAAACTTGATAGACACTCACTAGAAGATGTTTACAATTTTTAAAGGTGACCACCAAAGGAACATTCCTGTGAAGTTTGGATGAAATTGGCTCAGTGGTTTATGAGGAGATGTCATTTAAAGCAAAAGTTTACGGACGGACAGACGGACGCCGGACGGACGCCGGACGAAAAGCGATCACAAAAGCTCACCCTGTCACTTTGTGACAGGTGAGCTAAAAACAATATAAAAACAATTTAGGATAGAAAAAATACAAAACTAACTGCCAGCCATTGCACAGGAGGACAAGCATAATTGAAGCATATTTCTAGTCTACAAAACTTTGGTGGAATTTTCATAATCGTAACACTATTATTAGAGTAAACAAAAAGGCTATCTTATATAAATACATGCAAAAACATCATGCGCCATATATGTACTTTCAAATTTTTAAGAGTAAGACCCACATGGTTTTCAGGGTTCTGGAATTTACCTTTAATTTTGTAATATTTACTGATAATAGTGTATTAATGTAAAGAGGTCTTAAATACTCTAAATCAATAATTATGAAATGAATTGGCAAGATTATTCTTACTTTTTTGCCAGAAAATAAAGTGTATGAATTATATAAGAATGTTAAAATATTTGTCTTCCAAATCATATTACAAATAATACTTTTAATTTTGTAATATTTACTGATAATAGTGTATTAATGTAAAGAGGTCTTAAATACTCTAAATCAATAATTATGAAATGAATTGGCAAGATTATTCTTACTTTTTTGCCAGAAAATAAAGTGTATGAATTATATAAAAATGTTAAAATATTTGTCTTCCAAATCATATTACAAATAATACTTTTAATTTTGTAATATTTACTGATAATAGTGTATTAATGTAAAGAGGTCTTAAATACTCTAAATCAATAATTATGAAATGAATTGGCAAGATTATTCTTACTTTTTTGCAAGAAAATAAAGTGTATGAATTATATAAAAATGTTAAAATATTTGTCTTCCAAATCATATTACAAATAATACTTTTAATTTTGTAATATTTACTGATAATAGTGTATTAATGTAAAGAGGTCTTAAATACTCTAAATCAATAATTATGAAATGAATTGGCAAGATTATTCTTACTTTTTTGTCAGGAAATAAAGTGTATGAATTATATAAAAATGTTTAAAGAAATGTATGCAAGAGAAATGTTCTATAAGTAAAATGTATGCCAGGAAAAATGGTCACTAAAAAAAAGTTATGTAAGAAAAATGGTCTACGAATAAAAGTTATGTAAGAAAAATGGTCTATGAATAAAAGTTATGTAAGAAAAATGGTCTATGAATAAAAGTTATGTAAGAAAAATGGTCTATAAGTAAAAGTTATGCAAGGAAAAGGGTCGATAAATAAAAGTTTAATGCAAGGAAAAATGGTCTATGAATAAAAGTTATGTAAGAAAAATGGTCTATGAATAAAAGTTATGCAAGAAAAATGGTCTATAAGTAAAAGTTATGCAAGGAAAAGGGTCGATAAATAAAAGTTATGCAAGGAAAATGGTCGATAAATAAAAGTTATGCAAGGAAAATGGTGTGTATAATATCATGCCCGTCTTTGTATTAAAGATATATGGCATACTTTATTTAAGTTGATCTTTTATGCTTTTAGATAAAAATAAGTTTCAGACATACTGTGTTCACTAAGAAAATTGTATTATGATACAAGCTTAAAATTTAAGAAAAAGAGCAATTTTAGAGTCAAATTTATGCAATAACCAATCAAAACCAAACAGAACAAAAACACTAACAGACAATTATACAACAAGGGTAAAAACACCTGTTAAGGCAAGTTTGTATGCTATAATAATAAGAACAAAATGACCAAGCTAATCATCACTCAAAAAGGTTCTTTTGTAAGCAGGAATTCATGTATAGAAGAAAACTAAAATAAAACAGAACTACCTTTTCTTATATCTATCAACTTAAGCCATCTCCTTGATAAACTTGTAACAAAATTTTCAACAAATTACACAACCCACTTATAATAAAGGTATGTCTCATTCTTTTCCTTCCCTGCATGCATTAATAACACCAAAGTTAATTCCCCAATATTTTGAATATAACCTTTCAGAAAGTCGAGCGAAATGTGTGACGGCTGATGAAGTGTAAGCAACTTGGTCAAACTTTGGTGCTGCAGCAGAACTTTCATTATATTGAGGTGGTTCTGTAGAACTGAATAAACATCCTATATACCAGTAATATTTAATTAAGTTTTTTTTTCTAACTAATTTAGACAAAATCTATCCTTTTTTGCCCTAATTGAAAATATTTAGGCACAATAATTACCTCCCAGTTTAGAGGAAAATGTCAATTACCATGAGATAATTGATAATATTGAAAACCCTTAAACTTTAATTTTGTTTGTTTGTTTGATTGGGCTTTACGTCACACTGACACAGTATAGGTCATATGGTGACATTCCAGCTTTACTGGTGAAGGAAGACCTCAGGTGTCCTTTTGTGCATTATTTCAGGCATGAATAGACACAAAAGTAAAATCACTGATGTTCCATAAGCTAGCTGGATAGCTTCCTCACATGAAAGAATTTGGGATTCAAACACACAGTGGTTAGGGGCAACCTAAACTTTGTATGGACTATTCCAAATTCAAACCTGGGATATTCCATTACACAAATTCATCAGGTGGGTTATGAAACCAATTGTATTAACTAGAGAGTAGATAAGGCTTCAAGTCTTTATTAATAAAGAAGCAGCAAATTTTTAGATTAGCTGTAATTCACTCACATTCTTTATGGACACATTATGTAAGCCATTTTTAAGGTGAAGCTGGTAGGACAGTTAATATGTTAGCATTTTGTAAAGCAAGCAAGCACATACATTTCTTTCTTGTCAATTGCATATACATGTACATGTGTAAGTTAAGACACTACATATATGTAACAAGGCAATAATCAGCATAAATTTTGTAACTAAACAACATTTAAATATACCATATTATTATTTAACTTCGACACCATTATCATCTGAAACTGTCATTGTGTAACAACTTACAGACAAGGATACATATGAACTACATATGTGCAGCGCCATGGCAAAACCAACATAATGCTTTTGCGACCAGCATGGATCCAGGCCAGCCTGCGCATACGCACAGTCTAATCAGGATTACATGTCGCTTACAAACCCTATTACAAGTAGAGAAACTGATAGCGAACAGCATGGATCCTGATCTGATCATCAGACTGTGCGGATGCGCAGACTGGTCTGGATTCATGCTGGTCGCAAACGCACTATGTTGGTTTTGTCATAGCGCGGCTCATAATATGTGTTTACTAACAAGATAATTATCATAATAAAACAATCATTTTGAATTTTATATCATTATAAACCATTTAATAATGAGTGTAGCCTAACACAATAAAGCATAAACTACAATATGTGTAATATATTAATACATGATAGTCAGGATAGCAGGATAGCATATTGTGTAAAGATACATGTACAAGCAAACGTAGACAAACGTGCATCAAATTTGGATAATTGATCTAACTAGCAATCACAATAGTGTAATGTACATTCAGAATAATTACATTTTGTCTTTGATTCTAAAACATTGGAATCCTATCTGCAAGAACAAATAAAATCTGATTTATGTCTATGTCAACTGATAAAATTTAATGACTGAAAATGCTGAAAATAATCTCATTATTCAGATTTACATAAAATCTAAATAATGAAATTCCAATATCTTCGATTTTTGCATGTTTCATTATTTCACTTAAAGATTGATGTCCTTTACAGAACAACCATATATTAATTTGTTGGGTAAATTCCTATGATCATTTTTTACTCCAAATTTCCCAAAAGTGGCTGGTCATCCCTACAATGGATCATGTTTGTTGCGTTTTTCTTGTGTTTAAAAATTCATGTACTCAACAATATCACCTTTCAGGGAACAACTCTGGCACATTGTTTAGAATTTACCTTTACCAACAAATATAATCTACCTTGCAAGGATGACCAAGCAGTTAACATTGTATATGTGCCTTTAGGCATATTATTAATAGAAAGAACTGATTACTTGAAAATATTTTATACAAAGCATTTTAAATAGCTTATTTCTTTTAGAGGTTGGAGCACAATGGTTGTAAATCATATACATTTACAATGAAGGACATACAACCTTTCTGCATTAAACTTAAGACAGTTTTGTTAATATACATCTAGCCTAGTTAACTTTAACAGCTGCAACATGTATGCATAATATATGGGTTTTATTTAGCATATTTATATCATATCAGGTGTTTATTCAACATAAAGAATAAAAGTTTATTCCCTGTTACATGATAAGCATTTACATGATCTTCCAGAACCAGGATAAATGCAAGTTCTGCTAAATACAATATTCCGCAGGTTCTAGGATATAAAACCCTAGCAACAGACAAGTGATAACGAACAAATAACTTTTGCCAAAAAAAATTTCAAACAGATTATGTTATACATGTACATAAAATGTCTCTGAACTTTGAGCTTCACTGTTATAAAAGACACTCACCTTCCATCTATACAGTCAAGGTCACTATCTGCTGTGTCTCCTTGTTTTGCTACTCTCTGTTGCCATGGTGATGGTGGAACTTTTCTACTATGATTGATACTATCACCACTATGATGTATAAATGCAGGTGCTTGTCCGTCAATATAAATGTCATCGTCACATTCAATTCCGTCATCAATGTCCGTCAGTCTGTCCGTCTCCTCCGCCCTTACGTCTTCTTCTGTGATTGACTCTGAGCAAGACAAATGTTTTGGAATTCTGAAGAAAAAAAACAAAAACAAGTTGTTAAGTCAAAGGAGTCAATCCAATATAGTCCACGAGAGCTACTTGCAACAATTTCATGAAAAGTTTCTTAAAACTTTTACATGTGAATCATGACTCACACCAGTTTCATGTGAATCATGTGTATAATTAGTGGCTCAGAATAGAAGCTCAAATTTTTATATTTGGATCATGGCTCAAATCTTTTACATTTGACTATTCAAATAATGTTCTGTCAGGCAGGCTATTTTGAATCTAAAATGAAATTTCTGATTGTATGGTGCCCAAAATTATCTATGAAGTTTTCAGCCAGAGTAATAAATAGAGGATATTGAATGAGTGTAAGTTCAATACTGAATTTATTGCACAAGTTGAATAAAATTATATTATGCGAGCATAATATTATTTTACTCAACGAGTGCAATAAATTCAGTAATGAACTTAAACAAATTTTGTTTGTTTGTTTGTTTTATTTTACGCCTTTTCCCTACAGTATTTCAGTCATATAGGCGGGTAGTTTCCTAACCATAGTTCCTGGAGAGTTACATCAGTACTAGACTACCTTCCTCTGCGCTAAACTACCAAAGCATCTCCCGGGGATCAAACCCAAGCCAGAGAGGTAACTGGATTAGAAGTCATCAACTCTAACCCCACGACCAAAGAGGCGGTTGACACGAATCTAATATTCTATTTATCACATCATTTAAAGTGAAATAAGAGTCATTTTTCATTGACGCGCCTATAGTATAACGCTAACATTGTTCGCCTTTACACTATGTTTGTATAACGCTAATGACGTCACGTCAAAATATATGCAAGGCTGTACAATATCATATTTACGGAGTAGCAAAATCGGCACTGGTGTGTGATAAAATGAGATATAAAATTTACTCTAAGATTTTGCAAATTCATAGAGATATGCAAAAAATATGACAATTTACTGGTGAAGTACAAAATTAATTATATATATCAAGTCACAAAGACTAAAAAAACTAAATTGCGTTTTGAATAAAGTAAACAAAATAATTTTGACCTTTTTGGATTGAAATATTTTCCGAGTACTGATCCCTGCCTATCAATGTCGCCAAGTTTCGGTTTTTCACTCCGCGGGCTTGGCTCCTCCATCTATATAAATTAAACCAAGGATTATAATCAATATCTATAGGTCAATATTATCAATATACATAATTATACAACAACAAAATATTTAAATATTACTGCAGTTACTGCTGACAACACAAACAAATTTTTAATCATGAAAGCAACTTATAGAAACCTTTGTACAGTGAAAACTTGCATTATTCTTTGTTTTAGGGAAGAATTATCATTTTTATTACTATTTTTTTATAGTACATAACAAAGACATACACATATATCTTTAGGTTATTACCTTGATCAAAAATTAAAAGAATTCGACATTTAATCAGCAGGCAATAGAAATGTTTCCAGAGGACATGGATGTCCCTGTATTCTAATGTTTTGTCATTCTACAAAGGGACAGCATTACAGTATGACAGACAGACAAGAGTAATTTAATATTCCTCCCTTGAGTAACGGGAGCATAAAAAGTCAGTCATGAACAAGCTCTAATACATTACAGATTACTGACAATTACTGTAGATAAACGCAGATGAAAGATAGCCTTGTATCACCAAGTCTAAATTCTTACCCATATTTATGTAAATTAATTTTAGATACTTTTTTAATACATCTCTACTCAGAAAATAAACATGTAAATGTACAGACATTAATTTTGTAAAAGTATTGTCAGATGACTAGAAAAGGAACCTTTGAGAGAAAATTTCACATCTTATTTATCAATACAAAATTGTATTTGATTTCTGTATTTTACTTTATGGTTTTCTCTGATAAATCTATGACAATTTCTTCTTTATTTGTGTTTTTATTTTGTTTAGTTTTAATAACTGGTGAAATAAGATCTGAAATGCCCCTTCATGTACTATTTGAAGGTTCAAGTAGCCAAACAGTTTCTCTCAGAAAGAATCCTACCTTTTTTTATTAGGATTCAAACCCACAGGGTTGAGTGGCAAGTGGTTTGAAATCAGTGACCTTAACCACTCAGCAATGAAAAACCAGCATGTAATACTCAAGCTATTCCTACAAACTTTGAATGTAAATTACTCTAAACTTTAACAACTACTACCAAGGTTTTGACATCCAGGACTGTTTGTAAAAAGCAAAAAATAAAATAGGTGTGCCTAAATAGTGAAAAGTACTATTTCTAAAGGGGACAAAACATGTTTAGGTCTGAATGAAAGAAACATTACTAGTAACACTGAAATAATTGTGAAAACAACAATTAGCTCAACATTTGAACATAACATATTAATCAACAAAGATCTAGTAAATCAAATCTTAATTTCTCAGATCGTATACCCGTGTTTAATCTTTATACATATTTTAGAAATAATTTTAGGTAACATAGATTTATTTGAACTACCAAAATGATCTGAGAAACCAACATTTTCTTTGCCTAAATAGTTTATAATAATCGCAAAACTTAACAGGCAGATGTTTTAATTCCATTTATCTCCGGTTGATACCATACAATACCTAACAAAGTAAATTTCTCTTTATATTAATTTACATGTTACTTCAATCACTTATCATCACCTAAGTGCAATAACTGGTTAACTCCTATTAGATTTAGAAGGATTTAACCCGTTACTGCAGTAAGGTAACATTATGTATAACTGAATGCTGAAAGATTTCAAAACTACTTTTTCCTTTACATTTTTTTCAAACATTGTTATTTTATCTTTATCTATAACACATCTTTGTAAGAATGTTGGTTTTTACATTTTGTTTTCTATGCCTTCTTAAAATGTCTTTTCTTTCAGCATCAAAGGAAAATTAAATGATTATAAAGTATCATATAATAAATGGAAGTAAAACATGAACTAATCAAGAACAATGTGTGAGAGATTTGGGGGGTTACAACAGCAGTGTGAATACCTCTTGGTCCAAACTGGCGATACTGCTGTTATGGAATGAAGTATCCTAATCCAAGTAAAACAGTAAAAACACCATCACATTGTTTATATTAACATATGAAAGTACACTTATCCCAAAAATGATTTGTGGTGCATTTTACATGACAAACAGCTAAATCTTTTATAGTTAACTTAATCATTCAGAAATGCTACCCATACTTTTCAGACATGCACTTTTCTGAATTAATAAAGAACTGTCCATCAACACTAGCACATTATATGATGGGATAAGCAACTAGGGATTATTGCAAAATTATCTATTTGTCAATGTTGATCATTGTAAAAGAGTATTTTTGGTTCTTAGACTTAGTAAACAGTGTAGAAAAGAGAACTATAAGCCAACTGGCATATGGTTATGACAGTCCTTGTCTAAATGGTCTTAACATAATGTTATGAAAATTAATCAATGTAATTTTTAAACATGAAAGTATTAAAATATAATTTAAACACTATGTCTATTGATCAATTAGCTGTTGATTGGACACCAACATAAATATGACCCCTTACTTAGTCAGTAGTTGCCTGTCCCATTATGTAATATCCCAGATCATCAATTTTAGGATTTCAATACCAAAATACTAGGATTTTGTCATAGTAAAGAATAAAAGGCCATAACTATAATAAGTGTACATATTCTGTTGCCTCACACTTGGGTCAACAATTATGTCTTTATTTTGCAGAAATCCTGAGCCTTGGTTATCTTAATAATACAATAAAAACTTTTTTCCAAACCTTTAATGCAAATGAAGATATTACATATGGCATACAAATAATTATTGTTTAAAAATTAAGCTTTGAGACAAACAAATTTCTAGGTCAAAGACTATTTATGTCCGTCAAAAAATGGAAGCCAATTAAATAACCAGCAATATCAAGAGCTCTTGAGTGAGACAATACTTCATAAAACAGAGAATTTATTTAATAAACAATGACAGCTGATAGATAAAATTTAGTTAAATAAATGTTGTTGTTTTTTTCTAAAATTGATATTAACTGGGAAATATAATCTTTCTTTCCATGTATTAATTAATAAAGGTAAACATGTTTTGCCTTAACAAAGTATGATATACACCAGCTGCTAACAGCTGTTTCTTATTGCTTTCAATTAATCAATAGGTATGTTATTTCCAGGCAGAAACTCAAGTTATCACTAAATGTCATAATATTAATACCCTAAGCTTATTCTTTGTAAAACATAATTATACTTCATCTAAATTGAAACATTTATGAGAAATGGTTATTCTATTTTTTTAAAGGGCATGAAAAATGTAATTATATACCATTTAATGATTTACTAAATTCACTGCGGTATACCGTACCCCGGATATTGCTCGATATTATGAGGACTTTCATCCCATTTCGCGACTTTGAACGGGGAACAAAGGTAAGTTCAGCGACGATATTTTCCAAACTTATGGCTATTTCATTTATCTCAACGGGTTTTATATATCTAGAGGTATTTTTGTAGCTCTAAAAGACGTAAAAGTATTACAGGTATTTGTAAAATTGATTAAACTACCCCTAAACGATCCGCTGCTCACTAGAAAATATATTGTAGAATCGTTAGAAATTATTATATTAACAATATAAAAAAAATTGAATCGAGCAATTTTTTTATTCACAATCCAAGTATACCTTGTCCAAATTTCAGGCAAAAAGTGTGAAAGTACAAAAAGATACAGGCAAAAAAGATACAAGAAAGTGTACCGAGTATTGATTTTAAGTGTACAGAGTATTGCAAAATAGCCCAACTTTAGTGTACAGAGTATTGCAAAACAGAATGAGCACATTAGTATGGAAAATCGATATTTTTGTCTAATTTTCACGTTTGTTTATCGATTCAATTTCATTTTTCTGACAATGTACTGTTTATATGATATTTATTCAAATATTTCAGATTCAACAATGCATTTTCAGTGTTATTACTGTTCTTTTCCTACAGGCAAATACAGAGATTTAATTTCCCATTTGCTTGAAAATCACTCTATGGATGAAATAAAGTATGTGCAGGGTCGGAAGCAGGGTAGAACCATCAAAATTGACGATAAAAAACTTTAAATACATGTCTCAAGAAACTTTGATCAAGGAGACCCATCTCTGAAAAGGACAAGAATAAACAAGAGCTGTCCGTAAGACAGCGCGCTCGACTTTTTTATTGCTTGCCAATAAAAAAAGTTTTTGCAGTAAAAGGCAATACAAGAATCTCTGTATTTTTAAAGTGAACAATGGCCATGAGCATTAAGATATTTAGTGAAGAATTATTTTACTGAATTGTGTGATACCCTTGAACACTGCAGCAATGTTTATATGACATAATTTATGGTAAAGTGAACAAGTGGATAGGAATGAATTTTTTTAGATTTTTTAAGTTTTTTAGTGCTTGCCTATAATACAAAACATTGACAGTTAAGGGCCATAATTCAAATAAAATCTTTGACAGAATTACCTTCTCCTGGACATGTTTGGGAATCATGATTGTAAACAAGTATTCCAACTTTCAAATTAATATCTCAAACAGTTCAGTCAAAAAGTGGACTGGTACTAAAAACTTAACCAAGATTCTAAGTCGATAAAAGGCCTTAATTTTTAAAACAAATCCTTGACAGAGTTACCTTCTCTGCGTACAGATGGGGGTAATGATGTGAAATAGCATTAAAAGTTTCAAAGCAATATCTCAAAGGGTTAAGGCAATAAGTGGATTTTACCCATATTCAATGTATTTTCTAAGTCAAAAAGGGCATAATTCTGTCAAAAACCTTGACAGAGTTATGTCCTCTTGTCTGTTGATGAAGGTCGTGATGGTAAACAAGTATGGTCAGTTCAAAGCAATACCTCCAATGGTTTTGAAATAAAGTGAGGTGGTACAAAAAACTTAACCAAGCTCAATACACTTTCTAAGTCAAAAAAGGGCCATAATTCTGTCAAAAACCTTGACAGAGTTATGTACTCTTGTCTGTAGATGGAGGTTATGATGGTGAACAAGTATGGTAAGTTTCAAAGCCATACTTGTAATACTTCTGAAATAAAGTGGGGTGGTACGAAAAACTTAACCAAGGTGTGACGCCGACGCCGACGCCGGGGCGAGTAGGATAGCTCCCCTTTTCATAGAAAAGTCGAGCTAAAAAACACATATTTAGATGACATTAATAATAGGTTTTTACAGGGCAAGTTTGGCTTAAGAAACATATCGACGCACTTCATAAAATACTGGCCCAAGGGCTTATGCCATCCAAGCATGCCGGTATCGTCTTAACCTTTTACTGCATGAGCATAATGCGAAAAATGGCTGTTTTCATTGAATTATTGTTACAACTGTTATGAAACTATAAAAAATGCTTCAATACTGATCAAACTGGGCACAAATGTTAGCTGGACCATAGCCTGTGGAATAGCATGTTCAATTTTAAATTTCCAGTTACCATGGCAACGGGGGGTGGTGTCTCAAAATTGCCAAAAATCTCTATCTACGTTGTTTTTTTCCAATCAAAACTGATTTCAAGGTGCACCAACTTCTCAATTGATTGACATAAAGTCTAAGGTTTTCGGCGTTGATTACACTGTACCTTTAAATCGACCTGAGGCCATTTAGCCCCGCCCCCACAAGTCCCAATTCTTCTCGACGATTAGAGGGGCTACGGCCCCACTTCAAACCCCCAAACAGAAGGGGGCACATCCCCCCTGTGTAACCCCCTTGTACCTTTTTAATGGAGGTGGCGCCGAAAAAGTGATCACTCTTTTGAACAACATTTCTCAAACAAAAAAAAACAGTATCTGGGGCCTAAATAGCGCATGTTTTACACTATTTGAGGCCTCAAAAGGGGCGTGGTGTAAAGTCTTTAAAAACACGCCTTTATGAGGTAAAAGGTTATAAGGAACATAACCTTTAATTGCATCTGCTGCCCTTTATCATAATCTTATCAAAATCCATTATTCGTTTTTTTTGAGCTGTACCGCTCGGCAGTCATACGGTAACTCATTGCTAAGGCGTAACAAAATTTCACGTGCAGACGGTCTGCCGTTGCTAGAGTGCAGGTGCAAAATGCCCGAAAATTACCTTTATATGGATTTTTGCATAGAAGGAAGTCGGTTGATATTAGATATTGGCACACTTGCTCAATACCGTTCTTGAGGCAGTATTAATGCACTTTGGATGCATTTTTTTACTAATTAAAGTAAGATATGCAATAATTATTAACAAATTCTGGAAAGGTTGATCCTTCGATAGCAACGAAAACATTTTAAACACAGAAAACTGAGATTTTTCACGAGCAGGAATGAAAATCTGGATTATTCGCAGATGTTTCCAGTAAAGTACCTCCGAATTCTGCATATTCTGCACTTATAGTGTAAATAAGTATACACAGTAAGAAATATTTAAAATTAAATGTGGTAAATACTTTGTGTTTACTACGTGCATTTACTCTTTATTGATAAGCAATACTCGTTACACTAAAAAGCAATACTCGTGACACCGGCGGGCAACTCCAAAGCAATACTCGGTACACTGACATGTGTATTTATTCTCAAAATGCACTGTTATCTGAGGTTCTATTGTTGATTGAACATTTACAACATAAACATTATCATCATTATCACATTTCACTCGATTCAAGTTTTTCTTTTAAGGAAGTATATGCACAAAAACATCAAATTTGACTGATCCGAGCTCATTTATCACGTGAGCAAAGAGACGAATTGTATCTCCTAATTACATTTCAAAGCTATTTCTCAACATTTTTGGGGTTTCAGTAACTAGAGAAATTATCGAAGTATTTGTTTTTCTACAAAACTTATATCAAACCAATACAAAATTACTAAATATCGTCACTAAACATACCTTCTTTCCTCGTTCAAAGACGCGAAATGGGATGAAAGTCCTCATAATATCGAGCAATATCCGGGGTACGGTATACCGCAATGAAATTAGGCTTTGCAACATTATGCTTTATAAAATAGTATATGTCCCATACAATTATGAAAACTTGACAAAGAACTTTGAATCAACAGAGTCCATTGCCTAGCTTTAGTTGTATCAATCCATGAAGAGTCCATGAACATAAATTCAGTCCCAATTATTATGACTATTAAATTGAGTCTATGAACATAAATTCAGTCCATGTATACTTAATTAGGTCCATGAACTTAATTTCAGTAAATGACTACTAAATTGAGTCCATGACTATTAAATTCAGTTCATGAAATTAAACTGAGCTCATGACTATTAAATTGAGCCAAATTAAAACTTTAAAATTTAAACTCCATTATTAACTAATATAACATCAATAAATACAATAATGATCTAGCCTAGAGAAAAGCTGAAATACAGATACCGGGTAGGTGACTCAGATTTTAAATGACTGACATTTTAATTCATGAGGAACAAACTTCTTTAAAGGGACACCACTCAGGTTAACTGACATGATTGAACTGGAAATTTGTTTAGAGATTTTTGTACCATTTTATGTAGGTTTATACCGATAACTTGTGAGCCAAATTTCAGATCCTAAGCTCACTCTGTTTATCCAGAACAATCATCTTTATTGTGCAAAATGACCCAAAAATAAAAAGAGTTGAAGTACTCCTAACTCAAATAGAGAATAGTTCTAAAAATTGATTTTCAGTTTAATTTTCAGTATATTTCTTTTTTTTTTTTATCTTTTGCACATTTTCTGTTTTCAATGCCCCTGTTGATTTATGTAAGAATTTCAAATTTTATGTTTTTAGGCATTTAGACCTCAGTGGAGTTCCTTTAAGAACTTATTTTAATATATGATAATATAAATTTATAGTTTAATAAAATACAACAATTGATAGATAAAATACAGAAGACTGGTATACTTGCAAGTGCAACCTGGAGTGTGCAATACATGAATGTATGTATGAAATTGTGTACAAATAGAGTGATATAAAGTATTTGGTTACTATAGAGATATACAAGATAGTTTACCCGCCTTATATCAGCTTCGTCTTTCTCATCCTGTAGTTTTCTGTTCATGTTTCTGAAAATAACATTTACATATTACTGTTTGAGCTTCAAATATTAATTTAAATAATCAACACAAATATAATTATGCCCTCAAATGAAAAAACTGTCAACAGGACAGCCTGCTTGGCTATTCTCAGTCATGGATAGTAAAACAAGAGCCTGAATAATGTAATTGAAGATGACATTAAAAAATAACATTACAAGATTATGAGTATTGAATAGTGATTCAGGAATTATTTTAAGTTCACAAAGGGCCATAATTCAGTCAAATCCATGTAAGAGTTATGGGTCTTGGTATATATGCAATTGTACAGGCTCTAGCATTAATGTAGAATGTAGTTATAATGGTCAAGGATAAAATATTCACTAACAAACAATCAGACAAAGACAAAATCACTGAAATTGTCTCCCATCTATCACTTAATGGGGGCAGGTATGACATTATACTTACTTTAGCATGTCCAGTTGTTTGACAAGTGTCTCTCTTTCCACAGCAATACCCTCTGATAACTTTAAAGCTGCCCTGAAAAACAAAACAACAAAAAATGCATTCTTAATTATTACCACTGGCATTATCATTACAAATATAGCAATAGAAAATTTTGCAATGGTTGCAACAAAAATATATTTACAATATTCTTCACAAACTTAAAAAAAAATGTTTTGAGATACATACATTACAATATTGTTGATAGAATTATAAGAAAATCTTTGGGACACAATGTTAGAGAAACATGGGAATAAGTCCTGGACAGGAAATTTTTGTTTGTTTGTTTGTTTGTTTTATTTTACGCCTTTTTCCAACAGTATTTCAGTCATATAGGCGGGTAGTTTCCTAACCATCGTTCCTGGAGAGTTACACCAGTACTAGACTACCTTCCTCCGCGCTAAACTACAAAAGCATCTCCCGGGGATCGAACCCACGCCAGAGAGGTAACTGGATTAGAAGTCATTGACTCTAACCTCTCGACCACGGAGGCAGTTGGACAGGAAATAAAAGGAGACAAAAAATAATAAATATCTACCATTTTAATTGTTATAAGGATTGAAAGAAATATTACAAGAAAAACATGAATGGAGAATATTGAACAAAAACTTGACAGTTACTTTGCTCTTTCTCTTTTATCATCATTGCGTTGTTGTTGTAGTTGGTTAATGTATGCCTGTGATTCCTCTAAGCTAGACTGTGACTTCATTAACATGTCCTCTAGGTCATCTTTCTCCTATAATTACATAGACACAGTCAAGTCTATGGTATAAATAACACCCAATGTTCAACAAATCATTCATTATCTAGTCCTGGTGGTTCTATTTTCTCAATATTGAGTTTTAACTTTTAAGTAACAACGACACTGTTGAGGATATCATATTGTCAGAAATCATTCATTATTTCAAACAGTATAAAGTACACTTTTTCAGACAATGACTTCACTTTTTTATACTTTAAATGCACAACATACATTATACATAATAAGACTACTTCCTACAATAAGTTCACTATTTCATACAGTAAGTACACTATTTCATACAATAAGTACATGTACATTATTTCATACAGTAAGTAAACTACTTCATACAGTAAGTAAACTACTTCATACAGTAAGTACACTATTTCAGACAGTAAGTACACTATTTCATACAGTAAGTACATTATTTCAGACAGTAAGTACACTATTTCATACAGTAAGTACACTATTTCATACAATAAGTACACTATTTCATACAGTAAGTACACTATTTCAGACAGTAAGTACACTATTTCAGACAGTAAGTACACTATTTCATACAGTAAGTACACTATTTCATACAATAAGTACACTATTTCAGACAGTAAGTACACTATTTCAGATAGTAAGTACACTATTTCATACAGTAAGTACACTATTTCATACAGTAAGTACACTATTTCAGACAGTAAGTATACTATTTCAGATAGTAAGTACACTATTTCATACAATATGTACACTATTTCAGACAATAAGTACAATATTTCAGACAGTAAGTACACTATTTCATACAGTAAGTACAATATTTCAGACAGTAAGTACACTATTTCAGACAGTAAGTACAGTGCCATACATTAAGTGTATAATTTCAAACATTAAGAACACTATTTCAGATAATTAACAACACCTGAATAAAACCATTAACATGTAAGCTAGTTAGCTACCTGTATGAATCTTCACATTTTAGAGGAATTCAATATTCTAATCTGGATTTGGACCAATTGTAGTGAAGTGCCACATTGAAATTCATGATCCTCAATAGCCACACAAAGTCCACAATCCAAAATAAACAAAAGGAAAGGCATAGAAAGAACTGCAGATAATATATTGATACATTCTTTCTGAACTTACCTTGGCTAATTTCTCATTCTCAATTTTTGTTTCTGTTTCTATGGTGTTCAAAAAACCCAATTTCTCTTCCATCTGAAATAATACAAGTCTCTTTTAACACTCTTATCAAGTAACTAGAAAAATGACCAAAAATGGAAAATCAGCATTGGATAGTGAACAAACTATGATATTCATTCAGAATTTGTTTTCTGAATCTTCCATGGATTTGGTAAAAGTGCTGTGTGTTCATGAAAGAAATGTTGAGAACTTTACATATGTTTTGATTTCAAAGTCAGCAATTTCCCCTTTTTTTGTTGATATGTTGTTAGATTTAAATTTTTTAAGTCATATTTATACTGTGCAGATCATATGACAAACTTTTCTGCTTCAATAGTGAAGATGCCAAACAGCGTGTTTTTTAACATCTGCCATGGTAAGACCAACAACCTGATACAAAATTTGTTTTACAAGAATTCACAAATGTTATAGAAATAACTGAGATTACCTCTGCATGTTTTGCCATGAGTTCTTGTAGTTGTCTATCTTTCTCAAATATTTCATTCTCCATGGCTTCCCTCAACTGACGTTCTTTTGCTTTCTCCTGAGAACAGAACATACACAATAAAATATTTTGTTATATCTTATACCCATGCCGCTCTTGTGACTCAGTAAAAATGGTAGTGCAAAGCCGTGCATATAATTTTGATGTGATGTCATTTGCATTATATAAACAAAGCATAAAAACGCGCTTTAATATTAGTGTTACACTTATATGACATCAAAGAATTTTATTTATCTTATACCCGTGCTGCTCTTGCAACTCTGTAAAAACGGTATAGCATGGCCGTGCATATATTTTGATGTGACATGAGTTGCATTATACAAACTAAGTGTAAAGATGCCCTAAATGATTGTATGAGCTATGATTGCAAAGAGTCTGTCAATAAAAAATTAATCTATTTAAATGTAAACAGTTTTCATTTTATGTATGTGATAAATAGAAAACTATATTTGTGTAGGTGCATTACTTAATTTATTGAACTTGTTGAATAAAATAACAATATCAAGTTTACAGATATATTTTTATATCATAAATTAATTATTGTTTTCTAACTTCTTTAGCATATACAAAAAAAATCAAAACTGAAGAACATAAATTATGGGTTCATTTCTTTAAAGGGGCTCCACTAAGGTTTTTTTGACATGATGGGACTGAAAATATTTTTTCAAGATAAATGTACCATTTCATGTAGGTTTAAACCAGAATCTTTGTGCAAAATTTCAGATCAATCGCGCACTTCGTTTTTCCAGAATAATTATTCAAATTGTAAAAAAATGGCCCAAATTGAAAAGCGTTTAAATGCTTTTCACTCAAATCGGGCTAAAAAGGGCATAAAAATACGATTTTCAATTTATTTCAAAGTATATTTCTTAACTATCTTTGCATATATTTCTGTTTCAAGTGCCCCACCTCATTTATGTAAGAAATTCAAATGTTATGTTTTTAGGCTTTTAAACCTCAGTGGAGTCCCTTTAATGAATTCAAAATCTGATTTATCCTGTCTCAGGTGACATACACACCGGTATATACAAAATGAAATCAAATACATGTACTTGTATTAACTTATAGAAAACTAAATCTCTCACATACACATTCAATAGATTATTTTACAAATTTCATCCTACTGAAAAAGTGATATGTTGTGAAAAGATTGCTTATTGTTTACTTATCACCATAATCTTGTTATGTATACCAAATATATATGAATAGTTTGGGAGAAAACAACATATTAATTTATTAGTTTTGGGGGATAAAAACATAATATACAGTTCCAATTTTGTAACTAGAGTTATATTTTTGACTGGTTTCATTTTTTTATGACCCTTATCAAGATGAAGTATATTTGAAGTTTAATTACTAACTTTTTCCAAGTAAAAACATCCATATTTGTAGAAAAACTGCTAAATATATGTGTAGTATTTATCATTGTATAACTACTAAATCTTTCCAAGTATAATCATGGAAATTCAATCACCTTTAATTAACTAATGAAAATAAAAATGATTACTCCGTAGGAAAAAAAAACAATATCTTTTTCTAAATCATTTGTTATAATTTTGAAACAAATAAAAAAATCATAAAAAATTACAAACCTCATGTAGAATTTTATCTTTCTCTTGTTTAATTTGTACCTCCATTTCCTCGTACAGTTTTCTCACCTCCTCGTCATGTGCTGAAGTCTTACTGTAAATATCAGAAAATATCACTGTAACCTGGTTACATAATATATGTGTTTATATACATCCATTATTTATGACTGTACAGTAATTCCAGAACAAAATTCAACATTCTGTGTTATAATGACAACAGCGTTAGGGACTTGAATTAACATATAATTTTTATCATAAATTGTTGAGAATTACTATTAAGTAGCTTTCTAGTAAACTATGTTAAACAGAGGAAAGTATTTATTTTTGGAAAATGAATATTTTAAATTTTGTGTACCCAGTAAATAAACATATTTAATTTTTGCTTGATGATGATGAAAGTTTACTGTACAGCTGATTTGGACCACTATTGTGTGTACTTTCGCAAACAAACCAGTACTAAAATCTTATGAGGAAACATGGGTATGACCCAGTATGGCTCTATACAGACGGTACAGGCATGCCATTAAAGCTGCCAGCATTTAGACATTTCAAACTTCAAGCAACTTCAGATTTTGTATTGTATAATGTGTTTGACAGAATTTTCAATAAGAGATGAAGAATGATAAATTTACCCAGTATATTTACACTGAGGAAGATCTACATTATTCTGGTATGAAGTTACCAAACAAGTGGATTAAAAAAATCGAATATCTTTATTTACATAAGATGTGTAGTCAAAATACAACACTGAAATGTTAAAACCCATCAGTTTATGCTTTTCAAATGTTAATTGTGATGTCCTATAGACTAATGTTATAATGTATGTGAGACCACCATAGTATATATGTATGTTGTATGTAATATGATACCGGGACTTCCGGAAAAACATGGAACCTTAGTAAACACGATTAAACCAGAGACATAGTTGTTATCAATTAATATCCACCATTAGGACCTATCATTAATGATTGATAATGAAGACTATTTCTTAAGCATCAAATCATTTTTTTCCCTTTTAAGTTATGTCTATATTTGACAAAAAATAGGATTTTTTAAATTTTGATTATTTTTTAAGAAGCTTTTTATAAAGAGAAATATTAATTTAAATGAGAATTCTTTCAATAATTTGTTGTTAATACCACTGTTACAAATAATACACTCAAACAATCTTTCTTAATTTAAATTGTGCACAGATGAAAAGCTTTATTCATGTACATTAAAACAAATTAAGACTTTTTTTTACTTTAATAATTAGAAAATCGAAATCAGTCAAAACCAGTTTTTCCAAAAATGATATCCTATAAAGCACCATCACATCAAACAGTTGTATAAGTTCATTACCAACAATATATCTACCTGTTTCCTTATTTTTATTTACGAAATAATATATCCCAAACTGTGATTTTATTGCTCAATAACATCACTGTTTGGAGTTCGGATGCGGGGAATTATATCACGAGGGCGTAGCCCGAGTGATATAATAATACGCATCCGAACGACAAACAGTAATGTTATCAAGCAATAAAATCACCGATTTGGATATATTATTTCGATTCTAACACGACATCAACAAATAAATGCTGCCGTACATTATAATTAGCTAAATTGCGCCTGATTTGTTTCCGTACTTTTTGTCAGCGCGTCACATTTTGAGTGGTTACGTCACGTGTATAATGATTACGTCACATGTCTAAATATAGAACGTCAAACAGTGATTTTATAGCATAATAACACACACTTTCGGTTCCTCTATGTTCAATAGGGAAAAATGCGGGTCGTGTTAGAATTACTTGTATTTTCTCAATTTTCATTTATAATTTCTTAATTACCTGAAATATTTTCCATATTTTTCCACTATAAATTATATTCCTGTCTTTTTCAGTGTAATGGTATCATGAAGTTAACACATTAATGTAGGTTATTAAAATCTAGTCATCAAATTGACACCCAAAGCACTCATTTAACTATTTATACATATGAAATAAATACATTGAGGTTTGCCATATTTTATCATTCGTCTGTGATTACGCCTACCTTTCAATAGCTTATATTTCCTCCACATTGAAAAATGTCTAACATTTGCATATTTTTCAATTCATCATATCTATGAAGTTGATTTTATTACCTTTCTACTATTACTGTTGCAATCTTGAATATTATAGATTGAAATTTTTATTGGACTTCAAATGATATTGACATAATTGAGTATGTGTACAACTTCAATATGTAACATGTCCAATAAATAATCTGAAGTTTTGTTTACTATTGAGTATTCTGTGAAAGTGATATAGCCCATATTATGAAATAATACAATATCTTGAACTCTTAGCTCGGTGACTTATTAGTTAGATTACTCTAAGATGATATTTCAAAATAATACTGCCTTTCATAGGTAAAAAAGAAGAAGAAAAAAGAAATCAAAATTAAAATCAGGATAACTAATTAACAACAACCTCTGAATCGTGAAACTGTTCAGTACAGCTACTTTGTTTCTTATAAATGTCAAAACATGACAGTAAATTCATCATGTCTTCAATATTATGCTAAAAACTGTTCACATATATACATGTCAATATAAACAGTTACAGTGTTTTAGATGTTTTAGATAACAAAAACCGCCTCCGTGGTCGAGGGGTTAGAGTCGATGACTTCTAATCCATTTACCTCTCTGGCGTGGGTTCGATCCCCGGGAGATGCTTTGGTAGTTTAGCGCGGAGGAAGGGAGTCTAGTACTGTTGTAACTCTCCAGGAACGATGGTTAGGAAACTACCCGCCTATATGACTGAAATACTGTTGTAAAAAGGCGTAAAATGAAACAAACAAACAAACAAACAAGATAACAAAATTTTAAAAAATTCTAAACTCACCAGAGATCCCACTCAAAACTGACATTTACAAAGTGCAAGTGAAAAATTTCATGTCAAATGAGGGATGTTAAACAAATAAAGAAATTGAAATTGACAATTTTTTTTACAAATACCTAGCAAAATTTTTTCAATATTTTAGGCAAAAAACAACAGTCTTAAATGAAAAATATATATATATCATATGATCTTATGGTTCCAACAGATTGAAACTTTAAGTCAAAATAATTATTCAAAATGTAATAACATTATTAGCTGTCTAAACTTTGGATTACAATTTGTATGTACCCTCAAATGTCCATCAGCTTAAAGACCCACCCAGACCAGATCTTTTTCTTCATTTCTGCAGCACACATTACTTATTACACCATACAATTTGAGTTTTGAATTCATTAATCTTTAAATGTGTAAATAGTTTTATACAATATTGGTGTTAAAATGATGTAGATTTAGCTACAACTGTATAACTTATTTTCACCTCAGAGTTCTTTGACCAATTACTTTTTTCTTCATATAACAATGACAGTAATTGGCAGTAATATATAAAACAATCTCAGTAAGATATAGGTATCAATAAATGAAATACAGGTAAGCTGTTTCAGGTGAGAAAAAAAATGGTCAAAACCTTAACCATTTATCATTTCTAGGGAAAATTAAAAAAAAACACATACTGACTGAAAAGCCAAACACTGCATATTTTGGCCTACACAGGTCTGCTGACAGCAACTATTAATCAGACCAGTACAGGCTAAGGTTTTAGAACTAGAACACACTAGGTCTTTAAAGTACAACAAAGATCCATTAATCATCATGTTTAAACAATTTAAAGTAAAGAGACGTTACTGGTATCATTGTGTGTACATAACAACCCAAATATTTCCTGAAGATAACACCTACAAGTCCATGCAAATATTAACATCAATCAAAAATGCAATAAAATGCATGTTATACACATTATTTAAAGCCATTATCCATGCAATCCTCTTGATCATTTACAGAAAGAACCAGTGAACTACTAATAAAAAGTGCATCAAAAGAATAGCAAAGAACAGATAGGAAAAGATCAATCCATGCAAATAAAATATATTAATGAAATGTTCAAGACTCTTATAAAGTCATTCTGTAATATAAGTGATTTCCCTTTTGTGAAAGTTGGATGTAAAAAAGTAAAAGAAAATGAACAGTGATATGGGCAAACATATTACTATTAAATATTAAGTAGATAAAACTGGACATTTTAGTAGATAAGGGGCATAACTTTGTCAATATGGAATGAAGAATTATGAAACTTAAACTACTGAGCATTGTTTTGAAACTCAATAGACACATGTATAAATCAACAGTCTATTTAAAACCTGTACCAGCTTCAAAGGTATTAAAGCTTTTCAGTCGTATTTTGACAGGATAGCAAGGGACAAAGTGATTTCTTTATCATTCCGTACTGAGTTTTGTGCGTGTATCATAAAGGAAGTATTCGGTTTAAAAAATAATCATGTAAATTGACATACCTTCTCAGTGCCCCTTCTAGAGTATCAAAGTCCACTTTAGATTTTCTTATTTCATTAGACACACGATAAACAAAGTCTTCAAAATGTGTGGCAAGATCTGGATCATCCCTTTTCAATCTGCACCATAAACCTTGTATTGTTGATTCACTGTATTTATAGAAAAAAATTGAATTTTCTGTTTATTATATACATTTTTCTCTTTTTTGACATTAAAATTTGAAAGACTTTCCCTTAAATTTTGTGTACTGGCAAAATTTAAAAGAAAGTAGTCCGGCAAGACACCAGTGAAAATACGGAAAATATGTTTCACTGCAGTGAAAAATAAATTTTTACAGTGAAAATATGGAAAATGAAAATACGTATTTTATTTCATCAATATTTCTCAATATTTCATGTATAAGTATATAATAAATAGAGGATATTCAAGTTTTTTCTATAAATACATGATTTATTTTCATTGAGTGGTATGAAAATAAATATTTCATGAGTGGCAGTAGCCCCGAGTGAAATATGGTAACTGCCACTCATGAAATATTTATTTTCATACCACAAAATGAAAATAAATCATGTATTTATAGAAAAACTTGAATTTTCTGTTTATTATATACATTTTTCTCCTTTTTGATATTAAAATTTGAAAAATTTTCCCTTAAATTTTGTGTACTGGCATAATTTTAAAGAAAGTAGTCCGGCAAGACACCAGTGAAAATACGGAAAATATGTTTCACTGCAGTGAAAAATAAATTTTTACAGTGAAAATATGGAAAATGAAAATACGCATTTTATTTCATCAATATTTCTCAATATTTCATTTATAAGTATATAATAAAATAATTTACATAATTTATAGTGTTCACCAAATATCATTAGTGTGATCATGGGATTACCTTTTAATTAACCCTTTCCCCCATGAGCATATTGTGGAAAATGGCCGTTTTCACTGAAAAGCCTCCTGTTACAAGTTCAAACTGCTATGAAACTATGAAAAATGCTTCAATACTAATCAAACTTGGCACAAATGTTGACTGGACCATTGCCTTTGTAACGACATGCTCAGTCTTAAATTTCCTGTTACCATGGCAACGAGGGGGCATCTCAAAATTGCCCAAAATCACTATTTTGCCTCGATTTTTTCCATCAAAATTAATTTCAAAGTGCTGCAACTTCTCAAGGGATTGAGATAGAGTCAAAGGCTTTTCAGCGTTGGTTACACGTTACATTATGATTGACCTGGGGTCATTTTTAGCCTCTCACAAGTCCAAAATTTTCTTGGCGATGAGGGGGACTCCGCCCCCCTTCAAACCCCCCTAACAGAAGGGGGCACATCCCCCTTCTGGCAACCCCCTGATGTATCTTTTGGATGGGGGGCGGCGCCGAAAAAGTGCTCAATTTTTTTAGCAACATTTCTCAAATAGGACATTTTTTCACTCTTTGAGGCTTAAAAAAGGGGGGGGGGTCGAAAGTGCGTTGTTTCGCGTATATATGGGGTAAAGGGTTAAGATACAAATATACATATAAAGTTCATGAAATTACCAATGAACTATATAAAGGCATTAATTCAGGTATAAACAAACATTCAGAACACAGACCCAAGAAAATTGAAGATTCCTGATTGAAATAATATAAATACAATTTAAAAAGATATTATCTGAACAACAAAAAATAAGAGATCTTGACAATACTTCATTATCACTCTATCCTAGTGGCATATAAATTTTTATCATTAAAAAAGATTGACATATGAGTAATAGCAATATTTTTGAATGTCAACTTGATTTGTGGGGACATTATTTTATTTTTAGTGCAAGTATTTATAAAATTGGTATCTAGTAAAATTCACAGGTGGTAAAATTCTTAAAGCAAAACAAAAATATTTCACAGTCTGAACCAATACTAAAATACCTCAGAATTGGATCATCGTAAGGGTTTACATCATTTACTTATTCAGACTAAGTATTACATTGTATATTTTTATAATCAGTTCCTTTTGCTATGTTTTCTTTTGTTATAGCCCTAAACTGAACTAACAAAGCACACTCTACAATTTATTTTGTTGTTGTTTATAGTCTTATTTCTATTGTAGACATTAAAAACAACCACATACTCATCAAACAGATTATTTGCTCCAACATTTTGCATCATTTGTTTAAAGTTGAGTGCCTCTTCTGCAGGGTCTATATCATCATGTTCATCTGTGTATGTTTTAGTTGTCTCCATCATCTCTGCTGGCTCCTCTACACACTTTATACCCAGAAAACTGCCTGAAATATACATAATGATGGCCATGATGTGTTGCTGAAATATACATAATGTTGTCCTTGATGTAATACTGAAATATACATGATGTTGTCCATGAAGTAATGCTGAAATATACATAAAGTTGCCCATAAAGTAATGCTGAAAAAAACATAATGATGGCCATGATGTAATGCTGAAATATACATAATGTTGTCCTTGATGTATTGCTGAAATATACATAATGTTGCCCTTGATGTATTGCTGAAATATACATAATGATGGCCATGATGTAATGCTGAAATATACATAATGATGGCCATGATGTAATGCTGAAATATACATAATGTTGCCCTTGATGTATTGCTGAAATATACATAATGTTGCCCTTGATGTATTGCTGAAATATACATAATGATGGCCATGATGTGTTGCTGAAATATACATAATGTTGTCCTTGATGTAATACTGAAATATACATGATGTTGTCCATGAAGTAATGCTGAAATATACATAAAGTTGCCCATAAAGTAATGCTGAAAAAAACATAATGTCCATGATGTACAAAATGTCCATGAAATAATGCTGAAATATACATAATGTTCTCCATGAAGTAATGCTGAAATATACATGATGTTGTCCTTGATGTATTGCTGAAATATACATAATGTTGTCCTTGATGTTATGCTGAAATATACATAATGTTGTCATTGATGTAATGCTGAAATATACCTAATGTTTTCCTTGATGTTAAATGCTGAAATATACATAATGTTGTCCTTGATGTAATGTTGAAATATACATAATGTTGTCCATGATATTATGCTGAAATATACATAATGTTGCCCATGATGTAATGCTGAAATATACATAATGTTGTCCATGATGTAAAATGCTGAAATATACATTATGTTGTCCATGATGTAATGTTGAAATATACATAATGATGTACATGATGTAAAATGCTGAAATATACATAATGTTGTCCTTGATGTAATGTTGAAATATACATAATGTTGTTCATGAAGTAATGCTGAAATATACATAATGTTGTCCTTGATGTAATGCTGAAATATACATAATGTTGTCCATGATGTAATGCTGAAATATACATAATGTTGTCCTTGATGTAAAATGCTGAAATATACATAATGTTGTCCATGATGTAATGCTGAAATATACATAATGTTATCCATGATGTAATGATGAAATATACATAATGTTGTCCATGATGTAATGCTGAAATATACATAATGTTGTCCATGATGTAATGCTGAAATATACATAATGTTGTCCTTGATGTATTGCTGAAATATACATAATGTTGTCCATGATGTAATGCTGAAATATACATAATGTTTTCCTTGATGTAATGCTGAAATATACATAATGTTGTCCTTGATGTAATGCTGAAATATACATAATGTTGTCCATGATGTAATGCTGAAATATACATAATGTTGTCCATGATGTAAAATGCTGAAATATACATTATGTTGTCCATGATGTAACGTTGAAATATACATAATGTTGTCCATGATGTAAAATGCTGAAATATACATAATGTTGTCCTTGATGTAATGTTGAAATATACATAATGTTGTCCATGATGTAATGCTGAAATATACATAATGTTGTCCATGATGTAATGCTGAAATATACATAATGTTGTCCATGTTTAATGCTGAAATATACATAATGTTGTCCATGATGTAATGTTGAAATATACATAATGTTGTCCTTGATGTATTGCTGAAATATACATAATGTTGTCCATGATGTAAAATGCTGAAATATACATAATGTTGTCCATGATGTATTGCTGAAATATACATAATGTTTTCCTTGATGTAATGCTGAAATATACATAATGATGGCCATGATGTAATGCTGAAATATACATAATGTTGTCCATGATGTATTGCTGAAATATACATAATGTTGCCATTGATGTAATACTGAAATATACATAATGTTGTCCTTGATGTAATGCTGAATTATACATAATGTTGTCCATGATGTAAAATTCTGAAATGTACATAATGTTGTCCATAAAGTAATGCTGAAATATACATAATGTTGTCCATGATGTAATGCTGAAATATACATGATGTTGTCCATGATGTTATGCTGAAATATACATAATGTTGTCCTTGATGTTATGCTGAAATATACATAATGTTGTCCTTGATGTTATGCTGAAATATACATAATATTGTCCATGATATAATGCTGAAATATACATAATGTTGTCCTTGATGTTATGCTGAAATATCCATAATGTTGTCCATGAAGTAATGCTGAAATATACATAATGTTGTCCATGAAGTAATGCTGAAAAAAACATAATGTTCTCCATGAAGTAATGCTGAAATATACATAAAGTTGCCCATAAAGTAATGCTGAAAAAAACATAATGTCCATGATGTACAAAATGTCCATGAAATAATGCTGAAATATACATAATGTTCTCCATGAAGTAATGCTGAAATATACATAAAGTTGTCCATGAAGTAATGCTGAAATAAACATCATGTTCTCCATGAAGTAATGCCGAAATATACATAATTATGTTCATGAAGTAATGCCGAAATATACATAATGATGTTCATGAAGTAATGCTGAAATATACATAATGTTGTCCATGAAGTAATGCCGAAATATACATAATGTTGTCCATGAAGTAATGCCGAAATATACATAATGTTGTCCATGAAGTAATGCTGAAATATACATAATGTTGTTCCATGAAGTAATGCTGAAATATACATAATGTTGTCCATGAAGTAATGCTGAAATATACATAATGTTGTCCATGATATAATGCTTAAATATACATTATGTTGTCCATGAAGTAATGCTGAAATATACATAATGTTGTCCTTGATGTTATGCTGAAATATACATAATGTTGTCCTTGATGTCATGCTGAAATATACATAATGTTGTCCTTGATGTCATGCTGAAATATACATAATGTTGTCCATAGTGTAATACTGATACAGATTTCATTAAATTGGAAATGGATAAAGGTAATTATGTTGATATGGTCCTTTTAGATTTACAAAAGGCATTCGACACTGTCGATCATAATATTTTACTCATGAAACTTGATGCTATGGGGTTTTCTAGTGATGTTATTCACTGGTTTAGGTCTTTCTTATCTAGCCGTACACAAATGGTCAATGTCCCCGGTGTACTTTCATCTAGCGCCAATGTAACTTGTGGGGTACCCCAAGGTTCGATCCTTGGCCCTCTTCTATTCTTGATTTATGTTAATGATATGGAGGCTGTGGTTCGTAATAAATTGCTTCTGTATGCTGATGACTCAGGCATCAGGTAAGGACATCCAATAAATAATGTCTCAGATTACTGATTATCTCAGTAGTGTGAGTAAGTGGCTCACTGATAATAAACTTTTGTTACATCTTGGAAAGACAGAGTCTATTTTATTCGCATCTAAACCAAGACTTAGGTCATGTGATCAACTAAATATTGTATGTAATGGTACTACAATAACATCCACCAAATCTGTTAAATACTTAGGTGCTGACATAGATCAATGTCTATCTGGCGAGTCTATAGCCAATCAGGTAATTAAGAAGGCCAATGCAAAACTTAAGTTTTTATATAGAAAAAGTTCATTTTTAAATAGGTATACTATAAAACAGCTTTTAGTTTCTTCATTAATACAATGTTATTTTGATTATGCGTGTGCCTCCTGGTATCAAAATCTAAAAAATAGACTTCAGGCCACACAGAATAAGTTGGTGAGGTTCATACTTAATCTCAGTCCCCGTACTCATATAGGGAGGGCTCATTTTGAGGAAGTTGGTTGGTTACCAGTACATCTGAGGGTAAATTTCCTTATTCTTGGTCATGTACATAAGATACATAAGAATAGTGCACCTAGTTATTTAAATGAGCATTTTCAAATTGCAAATGAGGTACACTCTTACTCCACTCGATTAAGAGATAGTAACAGTTATTCTATTCCAAGAGTTAAGGGTTTCGGTAAGAAAACATTTGTATTTAATGGTTGTCAGGATTGGAACAGGTTACCAACACATCTTAGGTTCATAACAAGTCGTGATAATTTTAAAAAATCTCTTGAGGAACATTTTATGCAATCATATTTTAGTAGTACCTATTCATTGTCAAACATTTCTGTCATAATTATGATTATAAAACATGTGTGATAAATTTTGTGATGGAAATACTTATGTGCAATAATTGATATAAGAAATTGTGATTGAATAATTTATGTGCAATACTTCATAATTAGTAAATATTTTGCCTTTCTGGTGTCATATGATCAATTCTAAGGACCACAATGGAAATAAGTCGACTTATGCCTTCTTTTTGTGTCATCCTTGGTATTGAATATATGGCATCAACACATGCACTTTCATGTTTACATGTATCTCTTGATGTTGACATTGAATTTTTAGTTGTTTTGTGACATGTATTTTTTACCAGAATAAAAACTACTACTACTGAAATATACATAATTTTGTTCATGATTAAAGTAATGCTGATGCTATTTTTCATAGAGAGGGGAATGCCCCAACATTATCAAGGCCCATCTTACAAGGTAACATGATAAATAGATTTATTGGCATTATCATTTTAATAAGCTGATAAATCTACAACAAAGTGAGATGTAGTTTATAAAATATCGAAATATTTTGACATCTAGGTATCATATTTGATAACCTAATCACACACATAGGGATTGTGGGTTTAAGCCCTACTTTTGCCATGCTGTCCCCAGTGGTGTACCTTCCTGTAGGTTATGTATATATAAGCACCAATCTACAGTTATTTCAAAGCAAAGTGGTGTAATAAAAATCATTTATTTGTCTGCTGCAATTTCTTATAATCCCCAGAACATGCATGTATTTATTTTATCAAAACTTACTTCTGACAATCAATGGCAAAAAAGTTGCATGCCTTCAAACCTTCAAACCTCCCTAAAACTTGGCCTACACATAAATTTAGACCAAGCCACGTACCTGTTTTCTCATAAGACCTCAGTACTGATTATTGTAAGAAGCTGACTTTAGAACTGTAGAATAAGCTTTATAAAAAGTCATATTTTTTTTATATTTTCAAAGTTAAAATGTCATTAGAAAAATATCTGTTGATGCTTTACTTAAAATAATGATTATGTAAAGATAAAAAAATAATCAGCTAATGTAAGCAGCTGAGGCTTAGACAACTTACACAAATAGTAATCCTCGAAGCTCCCAGATTCTGAATTGCTGAAATTTGTCCCTGTATCAAACCACCCTGACATTCAGTTGTTTAAATTCCCACATTTAAAAACACATGACTGTGAAAACTGCCAAATGTTAGCGAAAAGTGTTTTTGAAATTTTATCCAAAGCACTTCAAACAATAAAGGACATCCTAAGCAGTTATATATTATAGTTGAACAAGCAGTTATAGTTGAACTTGAAAGTAAAATGAATAGTTGCTCCAGGCAATATATAATCACTAACTGACTAATAACTTGCTGTTAAATCATTCAATGTTCAAGGCACTTTAAATTTATAGTTAAACACTTCATTTGCTCTTAGGCTAAATGTAAAAAACATGATTATTTAGGCCAGTGTTAAATCTTCCTGGTTGTCATTTGTGAAACTTTCTTTATCATACATACCAGTACACACAGTATACAAAATGCCTTATTATAATCCCTATGTAGCCGTGTTATAACAATAGGAAGACTTGAGATGTATTTTACATATTGTCACCTTAGTGCAGTAATGGGTTAACTCCTATTACATTATATAAGGAAATAACCCATTACAGCGCTAAGGTGACAATATATTCAATGATCAAATTACGAAAAAAGCATAGCATAATTGAGAGCTTTTTATAACTTTATATCCGGTAATATGGAAATTTAATCATTTTTCACTTTAGTTTAATTACATCAATATGTAAGTAAAACTTGATTGCAACAGAAGTTCTCCAAGCAGGATTTGGACACCATGATTCAATGGCTTGAAGGCAGATGCATTAAAGAACTACACCATCACTCCTGTATTATTTATTGTAAATCCTATGTTGAACAAATATTTGACTAAACTTTAAGGAGAGGCATAGGAAACAAGCAATAATTTAGTCCTGACCTTTATCATTGTAAATTTATCATTTGTAAATATTTGACAATGAAATGGGCATGATATATGTGTATTACCATAATTCATCAGTTTCAAGAAGAACATAATGACATCATTATCAAGAGGAAATAACTCTACAGGATTTAATTGTTTCTCCTTGAACTGTTAAAATGTGCAAAGATTAAAACAATAACGAACAAGTTACTGAGGCATCAAAATGAAGGCCATAAATCAAAGGATGTTATTTTTAAAATTTTCCTTTACTTTTATGAATAACCTGAAAAACAGACTACCGTATTTATTGACGCCTCAAAATTACAGGCTCTTTTCAATATTCATTAGTTAAACAAACAACTTCACTTTCACAAATAACTTAAAACTAAAGGCCACTACTGAAACAATTATTGTAATAACTGTAAATTAAAAACTTACCAAAACCATCAGTGAATTCTTCTAAAGTAAGGAAACCGTTCCCATCATCATCGAGGGAATCAAACACGTGCTCAAGTTGTTCTGGTGATAAAGGGAGCTCATTCTGCAATCTCTGCATGTCACGTTTTGTTATAAATCCTTTAAGTTCTATGTCACAAACTTTAAACAGCTCGTGAGCTTTTTCCGTCATCAGCAGATGCATTTCCTCCTCTGACGGGGCAGTTTCTGGGAGATCAAACGACTCACGACTCAACATCGACATTATCAAAATATTTTGATAAACTTAACTTTTTAAAAAATGAATGTCCAGCTTTTCTGATTGCCAAATTATAATTCTAAGTCCAAATGCTTGAATTTAAAACGGATGAAAGGTTCTTTCAATGTTTTTAGCGATACCTTTAAAAACAATTATTCAGACTTTTGAGGTATACATGTGTGTTCCTAGTGTACAATAATATTAAATAATGAAAGTGGCTTTATGATCCACATGAAAATTTAATTCTAATCCACCTGACCATCTGTCCTTACTTATGCATCATACCTGAAAAATGAAACAAAAAATTTTGATTTACAAGATAAAAATTATTAACAAAAAGTCATCAAGTTTCCATATACACTAACATTGAACCATGTTGAAATATTTTCCTCATATCTAATTAATTCAATCTTACCTTTAAACATGCATGCATCTTAAAATATCAAAGATGTATTGAAATTTAACACCACCCAATTTGAGGCAAAAACTGTAATGATATTTAATTATTTCAATGCAAAACACAATATAAAATGATAATGTATTTTTAGATCCCAACAAAAACAAAACCAAATGCACTATAAAGATATGTTATCAATGATATCTAATGTTTCATTGAATAACAGAATATTTAAGTTTAGATAATTCTGAATTAGAAATTATATAACCTTTAAGTTTTAAAAAAAAATGCTCACATCCGGGATCTAAATATAATTATGCAAGTATAGAATTTGACACAATGATAATACAACCAAGTGATATACCCCTGTACAATCGTTGCACATTCAACAGATATAAAAATTATTAAGAATTTATTGAATTAACAAACTTTATCATAAATAATTCATTTATACATATATATCCTATATTGACAATAGCACTCAGTCAAAAATAAATATCTATGAAATTTAAAACTTACACAAAAACTTAATGTCACCCGTGCATGATAATTATATATGTACAGTTTTCCCCGTACATCAAATAAACATATGTTGCATTGTTTCCGATACAAGCCCCTGCTGGTATGTAAAATATATATACATATTTTTACGATAATTTTTGTTCAGCAAGCCCGACAGAAACAGGGTATGGCAACATCTGTCTGCATTGATTTCTCATTGTTCATATCGGCTAAATATGTATGTTACATATGTATATGACATGTATATGACATGACTATATATTTCAGTGTTATTTTCTAGGTAAACATAGTTCTCATATCAATAAAGTTTTGCTGAATTGGACTCTTTATCTTTTATCAATGCAGATCACCAATCCTTGGTGTGTTGAATTTGATAAATAAGTGTATGAATGCCTGATAATTATATCACATGTAGGTTGTTAAAAAATATAATATACCCGGTAAGTAGAATTACAGCAATATGTAAATATAAATGTCACAAAGTAAGAGAAATACACAGCCTTTGACCAAGACTCAGCACCAGGACACTTACAATTATGCAGGTCCACGTACTAACTGAGCTACTAGTATTTGGTGTATTTCACATTATCTTCTCTATTAATAGTCAGTAGTTTTCTTCTCTGTTATATTGAATTTGGTACTCAAATCTCTAAGGTACAGTGCACTCAGGAGAACAAATCACTTTCTCACCCACAAGTTGGGCACCAAATATCACAGTAAGAAAAATGAGTCAACTGTATAGAATATGACAAATCACAGCTCTTCTGACCGTGTTACCTGATTGGCTACATGTTTTCTTATCTATAACCTATACTTTTTTCACTGTGACACAAACAAAATAATAAAAAAACTTGGTACTCATTGTTGATTACATAAGGGCTCCATACTGCTTATTGTACAAATGAAATATTATGATAAAGTTTGGGGAATTAGATAGGATTTTAAGATATTAAAGACTATATTTACACACAGGTGTGGTATATTACTTCAACTCTGAATACATATCATATTTGAATAAAGTTATCTTCCATTACATTTTTAACAAAAAGTAAACAATGCATATAAAACTTACATATAAAGCACTTTCACCACGCTGAATAAGGCAAAGTAGGAATCAAAATTATTTAAACAAGAGGACTGCAAAGGTGAGTCTGGGGTGGGGCAAATTTAAAGCAGAATGGAAACTACTTAATATCAAAAACAATCTTTTTAGAGCAGAAATCCATTCAAGAAGTGTGTCTGAAACATGTTATAATTTTTATGATTACTCATACATGTGAACTTTTTTCGACGATCAAGTGAGATTTTCCTTCAAAAAGAGGGAGATTTTAGAATTTGCAATAAGCAAAGAAGGAAGTTCTGACATCAAAAATAGGGAGATTTCTTTAATTTGTGAAAATACCCCTTATTTTAAGAAAAATCTTTGAAAATATGGCTGCAGAAAGTGGGAGTCTCCCGCTAAAAGTGGGAGAGTTCACATGTATGATTACTAGAACTACCACTGTCCCAGCATAAGATAATACACAATAGAGACATACCACTTGTCCTCAATAAGATTTATCTTCCTAGGAAGTTTCATTACTTTTTGACAAAAAATTAAATATGAAAAATTTCAAAAAGCAATAAGTACAAAGTTATACAAAACATAGTTCTTGAGCACTGCATTTTTCCTTGATATCACATATATTTACCTATGAAGTTTCAAGAAGAAAAAAGCTAACACAAAAACACTCTACAACAAGGCCTAGTAACTCTGACAGGGTATTCTCCTTTCCATATATACTTAAATAACAATCATTCTAATGCATTTTTCTATGACTGAGTGTGACCTTTACCTTGACTGAAGAAGCCTAAAATCATCACATTATGATTTAAATTTCCGCCACATAGTTTCAATTTTCGACATTGACAAAAAAACATAGAGGATGGACACAGAATTTTTGAAATTCATACATTGACTGTAACCTTGACCTCCTAAGAAACAAACTATGCATGCACATTAACATTTCTGCTAAAAGTTATAATTTCCTTCCATCAGTTAAAAGATGCAGAGTAGTCACAAAATGACAGTTGGGTGGACAAAAAATAAAAAAAATTAAAAGATAAAAATCTTATAAAGTCTTTAAAAATGTGAATGAGTTAAAATATCTTACTTCAAATAAAACTTCTTTTCTTTTTCACATCAATACTGATAGCATTAATAGTTATTTTGAGTTGTCTGTATTCTCTATGCCCAAACAAATACTTGTCAAAGATATGGAAACTCACAGAATAGTATTATATCTTATCAGACACCCATGCCGATTTTGCGATTCAGTAAATATGGTATTGCACGGCCGTGCATATATTTTGACGTGACTTTATAAGCGTTATACAAACATAGTGTAAAGACGCGCTAAATGTTAGCGTTATACTATAGGCGCGTCAATGAAAAATGACTCTTATTTCACTTTATAAACGGTCTTTACTTTGGGTACTGGTTTCCTAGCAGTTTCCGTCCCCTAGCAGTTTTCCGGCCGTTTATCATTTTTGTCCAGTAAAGTCTATTTTTTACCAGTAAGGCATCCACAGTCTATTTTTTACCAGTAAGGCATCCACATTACTTCATCAATCAGAGAGACATTTGCTTTCTATGCTAAACAACATTTAAAATAGTATAACGATTTATATATTTTGAAGTTTTGCATGTTATTTAAAGTTACATAAGAGAACTTGCGACTTTCAAATATAAGCAACACCTGGGGAATTCTAGTTTGAATATCCATGCTCAATAACTATAAGACCCCATTTTAGGGAAATCAATACTTCAGAAAATATTGTTGCAGACGACACCGAAAAGGTTGGGAAGTTCTCTTTGTCTGATAAAAACCATCTTAACATTGCTTAATGGTACTGAATCATATTCAAAATAAAAAAAGGTCCGGAAAACTGCTATGAATTTTTGAATAAAGATGAAAAAAAGGTGTTACGTTTCAGGCCTATATTCAAATTAAAAAGTAAAATGAAAGTGCAACATTAAGCAATGGCAATGCTGGACAGGTACCTAACTTTGTCCTGTCAAAGTTTTGTACCCCACCGTAGACTGATTTTTATTTTATTTGTTAAACTGGTTAACCGGAAACTGCTAGGAAACCAGTATGTTATAAATAGAGGATATTGAATGAGTGTAAGTTCAATACTGAATTTATTGCACAAGTTGAATAAAATTATATTATGTGAGCCTCTCTTCTTAGATTCATACAATCTATTTTTTTTTCAAATTCTTTTCTTTTTCCTAAATATCTTATATTAAATGTAGTTTCAATAGAAAATTAATGTGAAATTCACATTGTTGATAATGATATTAAGTAAATAGTTCCCAAATCATTAGTTTTTCATTTCAGAGTAAAATTTCTTGAGATACCAATAAAAAGATTTCATAGCTCACTGTCCAATCCTTACACGCTAGATAAAAATGTTCAAACTTAAAATCAATTTAGTTTTCTTTATACATTACAGTTATGTTTTTAATTTACATCTGTAGAAAGTTACACAATTAAATACAATTTAACATAAAATATACTTACATTATTCAATTGATTTCAATTAATGTTTTATTTGATTTTTTCTTTATGTACACTTAATTAGTATAATTCTTTATCAGAACAGAACAGAACAGAACAATACTTTATTATCTCAAATCAAAAGACATATGAGATTAGCGTAAATGCAAATTTCAAAAACATGACATGTGGTGTATGCAAACAGTATTATAAAGCGATATTTTCAGTAAATTTAAATATTCAGTTATTATAATAAGTACATTGATGAGGGTAGTGGGGGGGGGGGGGCTGAAAGTTGTTTAAAGACATCTTTTGATATAAATGTGTTTTCATTATTACTATGAATTTCATGGATTTCATTGAAAGTACCACCTGTTGACCGGCGTTTACGTTTCGGACCTTGAATATCCCATTGGTCACCACTCGCAATACTGTCGCCGCCATTACTATTTGAAGGACGTAGCTGACCACTTTGACCGTCGCTATTTTGCTTGAAAGCAGCAGATTTCACTGGTTTTTTTCCCATTTTCACAGAGTACACTACCAAAATATTATTCCAATATGCTTAACGCTACAAAATGTTCGCAAAAAGTCCACAAAACTGGGAAAAATATCCAAAAAATGCTGAGCAAATAAAACAACGTGTTCACCACATACCACGTGACAAATATATCAACATATAAAAGAACAGAAAATTACCCCTTTTTCTTTAAAAGTATAGTCAAATGCTCCATGTCACTCCTATCTGACACATATGTGTGCACTGTCTATACTTTTTTATGTAAGATTGAATATAGAAATCAACTCCAGTTTCAATTTAAAAATGTAATTATTTTATTTGAAAAATATACAACGTTTCGACTCAAAAGTCTTCATCAGGTATACTTTGTTTACAGGAAATGACGTCAACGTCATATGACGTCAAGGACAACGACGTCAAAATGTTATACATAATTTGGCGTGTAAATGTTATATGTAGGATCTTTATAAAAGATACAACACACTGGTGAAGATGCAGTATAAAGCAATGTAAAATTAGAAAACCAGCATAAACTACATATTGACATGAAATTAGTTTTAAGTCATATTAAGCAAAAAATAGAAAGCAAAAAATAGAAAATACAATTTTTTATAAAAAATGTAAAAAACAGTATGTTGGTCAAACTCAGCAAAAATGTAGTCAAAGAATGAATAGTCACAAATTTGATATTAAACACTTTCCTAACACTATTACCAATGTATCTGAACATTTTAATTCTGAAGGGCATTCTATCAAAGATTTTTCATTCATGCCAATTGATAAAGTAAAGAATAATTGGCAAAGACTATTAAAAGAAACTTCATGGATGTATAAGCTAGGTACAATTATTCCTGATGGCATGAATTCCAAAATACTTTATTAATTTTGTAGAGTATAATTCTTCATTTTAATATTTTTTTTTTATAAAAAATTGTATTTTCTATTTTTTGCTTAATATGACTTAAAACTAATTTCATGTCAATATATACTTTTTTATGTAATATCATCTGTACATAAAGTTATTTCATGTATACAAGATGTATGAAAATTAAAAATATTGATGTAACAATGAAAGAGTGTTTGATTTATCTAGAAGATATATCTAGTTACCTTACAAACCAGACATTGCCTTATTATATCCACCATTTTCCATTAAGATTTCAATAGAAATACAATACATGGCCTTAAGGCAACAGAGAAATTAGTTTAGTTATATACTCTTACTATTCTTTTATATCTTTGATGAAATCATTTATATATATTGTTATAGGTCATTAAACAGTCATTTTATGACATGTAATTTTCACTTTAAACAACAATGTAGACAGACATATACAATAGCTACCACCAGTGTTTTATATAACCTGTTATAACATGATACACAACTCTGTGCTGGTTGTATAAAAATACCCCATTAATCTTATTTCTATAACTTTCATGTTTCCATGGAAATTGTATAGTTTATGTACTTTATTTTTACAAAGAAGTCATGTCTGTGCATAATGTCTGTGCATACATCTAGCTTTTCTTCCTGTTTGATTTCTAAACAACAACGAACAAGAATAATAAAAACAGATATGTCACTGACACAATCAACTAGGCATGAACTAGTATTAACATGTTTTAAACATATTGACTTGTAATTTTGATAAAAGACGTAATAAGAAAACAACAACAACAACAAAAAAACCCAACAATTTAGACAGCTAGAAGTAGGAAGCAGATCAACATACTATAGCTGGCATAGTAATTATTCTACTTTTTGTATGTCTGCACAGTTTGTCTAAATAGATGCAACATTTAAATGAGTATTTTTTAAATGCCATTAAAGCCAATTATAGGTTTTAAATTATACTGCCTACTGACTGAACAAAAGAGAAGTTAAACAACTAAACAGTTTAAGTACTAAATTACCTTGTTAATGTAAAATATTAATTTCCTTGTTCATGGTTTAGATATGAAATATCCTTCTATTTATAAATTGAAAAGCTAAATGAAAACAAAGAAAAGATATTTTGTATAATGGTATGTTGAATATTTTGAACTGAAACCTTCCAATTGACATCAAAAGATAGATGTGATTTCCATTCTTTACAATAAAATCACAGGTATCAGTTTTCATCAATCATGACGATGATGAATGTGCTAATTGCTGAATGATTTGATGATAACATTAGAACAATGTGAAACATATCTTTTATTGTCATTCATTGATTGAGGGCAAACATTATAGTTGAAAAAGAATAGTTTTTAGTTTCAACTCAAATTCTAGTTGCCTCCCCTGATGTTTATGTAACAGCTAGTGTCCAGTGTAATTTTGTACATCTTAACCTTTACCCTGATGAATATTTTTTTAAATGGACTAATCTGGTTCTCAGTTTTTATAAAATTGGATACATTTGCGTCATTTAAGAAATGTAAGCCAGACTAGTACATTTTACATTTAAAGGGACTAAAACATGAAGGCACTAGAAATAATTTTTCGATGTCAATCATGTTCCATTTGATGTAGGTGAAGACCAATAACTTGTGTGGAAAATTTTAGATCATTTGCTCACTCCATTTTTTCAGAAAAATTATTCTAATTGTAAAAAAAACCCCAAAAAATAAAAAGCATTGCAATGCTTTTCACTGAAATCGGGGAAAGAAAAGCACATAACTACAATTTTCAATTTATTTCTTAGTAAAGTTCATAATTCTCTTTTGTAATCTTTCTGTTTTAAGTACCCAAGCTGATTCATGTAAAAAATTCAATTTTATATTTTTAGGCTGAGACCTCAGTGGAGTTCCTTTAATAAAATCAGCAGAAAAATGGTTAACAGGAACAAGCTAAGTTTCTTGCTCTAGGAAACTAATATGACGGTAATTTCGACAGAAGTCAGCGATTATGCTTTCAAATAAACATATGAAAAAGTTTTGAATATTATTACTTATGTCAATGAAAAAAATAAAATTAAGTGAATAAAAAGAAATTAAGAAACTAAATAATTGCCTTTCGCACTGTGCAAATAAATATTTTGTATTGAAATAACAAACGATAAATAAAATCAATTAACATATAAATCATAAACTGGCTTACCTGAAAATCTCAGCTGTTTTTTTTGTTTGTTGTAAAATAAAGTGTGTAATAAGTTAGATTATCAGTAAAACAAACTGTGCATTATCACTATCAGGTGCATTCAAAAAAAAAAATCCTAAAATAACTCTATTATCTTGATAAAACACTGCTCTAAATACTTCAATACCAACATGTAAATTCTTCGGGTTTTTTCCGAGCCAAAAGTCATTGCCTGCAGTATAGTGTAGGCAAAGTACTAAATTATACTAAATTATATATAGTAAGTATATAGTTAGTATGTATGTTCATTGTACAGAAATAAATGGAAAGTAAGCAAGTGTATAGGTTTGTTTACATTAAATTGGTTTTACTTCATACTCGAATGATCAGATTGTTGTACTGTTGTATATAAGATATAGACATTACTTTAATTTGTTGGTAATTTTCATGGTGTATCGATTTAAATGGAAATAATAGGCGAGAGGAGACAGTACATTTATACTGCAGACACACAGACGGTGTCTTTAAACAACAAGTAAAGCATAATAAAATAATGAAAAAATTAATAAATTACTAAGTTGCTTAACCTCATATAGACATGTTTTGACGGCTTCCCCCCCCCCTTTTTTTTAGGCCTCTAACAGTGAAAAAATGCCTTTTTTAGGCCCTAAACACTGTTTTTTGTTAGACAAATGTTGTTAAAAAAACTTACCACTTTTTTGGTGCCACCCCCCATCCAAATGTTACATCAGGGGGTTGCCAGGGGATGTGCCCCTTCTGTTTGGGGGGTTTGAAGGGGGGCAGTCATCGCCAAGAAAATTTTGGACATGTGACCGGCTTAAAATGGCCTCAGGTCAATCTTAGGGTAACTAGTAACAGACGCTGAAAAGCCTTTTACTCCATCTTGATTCATTGAGAAGTTGCAGCACTTTGAAAAATGAAAAATAGTGATTTTTGGCAATTTTGAGAAGTCCCCCCGTTGCCATGGTAACAGGAAATTTACAATTGAGCATGCTGTTACAGAGGCTATGGTCTTGTCAACATTTGTGCCAAGTTTCATCAGTATTGAAGCATTTTTCATAGTTTCATAGCAGTTTGAACTTGTTACAGGAGGCTTTTCAATGAAAACGGCAATTTTTCGCAATAAGCTCATGGGGTAAGAGGTTAATATCATTTTTTACTTCCAAAAGTGCATCATTTTTATAATCCATTGCAACAAAAATAAGGAAAGAGAAGAAAAAACTGATGTGAAAAACTTGTAAATATCAATGTATGCTCAGAAATAATTCCTTTACATGACAAGAAATTTACTGAGTCCCAGACATTCAAGGGAAATAACTCTATATGTTTGGCTATATAGGGAGAATTCTGAAAACTTTAATAAAATTCATATAAACTTTGCATGATCTTATGATAACAGAAACACTTTAGACTTAATCAAATTGGGGGTCACCAACCAAATTAAAGATGGACTGGGATCTTGATACCTACCAGAAATAATGAGATTTTTTACTTCATTGAAAGTATATCTATACATGTAAACTTTATAGTATACATTGTCAGATTTCAGTCAAGATGAAAGTGTATCAAGAAAGTGGCCATACATGTGGTATCTATAAAGGCCTAAAATAGAAATTCTTCACGTGAATTAGATTGCCTTAATAAGTCTGACATTTTATCCAATTATTTCTAGTTCAGATGTTTTAGCCAGAGATATAAATGAAATACCCACAAAACATATGTCCCATTCCAGTGTAATCTAGAATATGACCAAATGTTGATGATAACAAAAGAACAAGAGGGCCATGATGGCCCTGAGGTCGCTCACCTGTATATAGCCCCCCCCCCCCACACACACACCCATAAGATGTTTCATGCCAAACATCTAAGCTCTAGCTCATTGGGCTTTTTAAAAGAAGATTTTTTAAAGTTTTTACTATACACATATAGTTAAAAACAATGACACCCCTGGGGCAGGGCCAGTTTTGACCCCAGGGCTTTTATTTGAACAAACTTTGTAGACACTTACTAGAAGATGTTTCATGCTTAATATCTAAACTCTAGCTATTTGGGTTTTTTTCAAAGAAGATTTTAAGTTTTTGCAATACACATATAAGGAAAATCAATGACCCCCGAGGCGGGGCCAATTTTGACCCCAGGGCTTTTATTTGAACAAACTTTGTAGACACTCACTAGAAGATGTTTCATGCTTAATATCTAAACTCTAGCTATTTGGGTTTTTTCAAAGAAGATTTTTTAAGTTTTTGCTATACACATATAAGGAAATCAATGACCCCCGGAGCGGGGCCAATTTTGACCCCAGGACTTTTATTTGAACAAACTTGGTAGACACCTATTAGAACATGTTTGATGCTAAATATCTTAGCTCTAGCTCTTTGAGTTCTTTAAAAGAAGATTTTTTAAAATTTTACTATATGCATATAGGGAAAATCAATGACCCCCTGGGGCGGGGCCAATTTTGACCCCAGGGCTTTTATTTGAACAAAGTTGGTAGACACCCATAAGAAGATGTTTCATGCAAAACATCTAAGCTCTAGCTCATTAGGCTTTTTAAAAGAAGATTTTTTTAAGTTTTTACTATACACATATAGTTAAAAACAATGACACCCCTGGGCAGGGCCAGTTTTGACCCCAGGGCTTTTATTTGAACAAACTTTGTAGACACTCACTAGAAGATGTTTCATGCTTAATATCTAAACTCTAGCTATTTGGGTTTTTTCAAAGAAGATTTTAAGTTTTTGCTATACACATATAAGGAAAATCAATGACCCCCGGGGCGGGGCCAATTTTGACCCCAGGTCTTTTATTTTAACAAACTTTGTAGACACTCACTAGAAGATGTTTCATGCTTAATATCTAAACTCTAGCTATTTGGGTTTTTTCAAAAAAGATTTTTTAAGTTTTTGCTATACACATATAAGGAAAATCAATGACCCCCGGGGCGGGGCCAATTTTGACCCCAGGGCTTTTATTTGAACAAACTTGGTAGAGACCTATTAGAACATGTTTGATGCTAAATATCTTAGCTCTAGCTCTTTGGGTTCTTTAAAAGAAGACTTTTTAAGTTTTTACTATATGCATATAGGGAAAATCAATGAACCCCTGGGGCGGGGCCAATTTTGACCCCAGGGCTTTTACTTAAACAAACTTGGTAGACACTCACTAGAAGATGTTTCATGCCAAATATCTAAGCTCTAGCTCTTAGGGTTTTTTAAAAGAAGATATTTAAAGTTTTTTCTTTTGGTTGCCATGGCAACCAGAGTTCTGCATGGAATTAAATTCTTTGAACAATTTTTAAAGGTGACCACCAAAGGAACATTCCTGTGAAGTTTGGATGAAATTGGCCTAGTGGTTTATGAGGAGATGTCATTTAAAGTAAAAGTTTAAGGACGAAGGACGCCGGACGGACGCCGGACGAAAAGCGATCACAAAAGCTCACCCTGTCACTTTGTGACAGGTGAGCTAAAAAATTGTAAACCTGTTCCTCTGGGCCCTTATCCCATTGTGATTGTTCCCCCTACTTGCATTTTGTTCTCCCTACTTGAATTTGTTCCCCCTACTCACATTTGTTCCCCCTACTTGCATTATGAGTGCAGCGTATTGTGGGAGAAATTTTCACCTTTTCTCTGTTACTGCACTGCTGTTTTGTTGCAGTGATTCTTAAATAATGTGGGTATATGTCCAACTCTGTGTGACCCTGTTATCATCTGTTTACTAGACTTGATAATCCAAGAGTGCAGGGCTAATCCCTTGCAGGTTTAAACTGATTGGCTCATCTCTTGCAGGTTGAAACTCAATGGTGCACAATTTTGAAGGTAACAAACAGGATAGAATACAACAACAACAACAACATAGAATTTCTACAATTTTTATTGGAATGTTCCAGACATGTTGCATCATAAGTCAGTGGAAGACAACTTTAAATATAGCAAATATATGACATAAAGTGAATATCTAACAAAAAATATTTATAAAGAAAACATTATTTTCCCAAATATACATTACACATTACAAACTATTAAACATGCCATTCACCATTTAACTTGCATTTTAAAACAATATACATTTTGCATATAAAAATACATTTGAAATACAATCTACATGTACAAAACTTAAAGCACAATTTCATTGTTTATTTCATAAACACATATTTTTTTCATTTGTATAGTACACAGGCACTAATAAGATGTCACGTTTTTGCATATCAACAGTCAGCAGTACAAGAAAGAGGATCAAAACCATAAATATTTCTACACATTGAAGCAATGTACATATTTCTATGTTAAGTCTGATATGCCAAAATAAAGATATATATTATACTGAAAACAGTATTTTACACTGTTTGAACATGTCTTATTTTATATACATATACAATCATATTCACATTAATTATTCAACATAATTTTGACATTCATATTACTAATTTATTTCAGATCTGAACAATAAAATTATTATGTTTTATATCATATTTATAATTTCCTAGATAGCCATAAATAAAAAAGCAAATAAAGCAATCAAGTAATTTTTTGGAAAAAAAAAGTTGCTCTACATTTATCCTGGTTCAATCAAGGATTACACTCCTTTGCATATCACATATAGTAAATATTACAATAAAATAATTCACTTAGAAAAGAAAAAGCTCTAGAAAAAAATACCTGTACAAAATATGGTAAAATATAAACAAGGTAAGCATTTTCTTTTTCTAATAAGCACATGTAAGAAACGATTTGGCACAAAAATGTCAAAATAAGCAGCTTTACCATGAGTAAAGTTTAAATACTAAAATAAGTATCCAATATTCCTGAATTCCTCATTCACTGTCACATATAAATGCATTTAGCCACAGTTTTTAAATCACTGTAAACCTAAACATTCAAATTTCAACAATACAGTGTCATACCATATTGTACACCCTGACACAGCTCAATTTGTATAATGTACTCATCCTGCTTTGACTTTGATTTTAGAACAGTCTATTATTATATGTGAGGGATTTTGATATCAAAATAATAAGATTGAAGCGACCCATAGTATAGTGCCTGGTTCAACTAAAATCTACATGTAAATAGCCTTTACCATTAATATCAGAACAATATACTAGCTCTCTACATTAAAGTAGAAAAACTGCCTGATAAAACTTAAAAAAAAAAAAAATGCATACATGTGAACTCTCCCACTTTTAGCGGGAGACTCCCACTTTCAAAGATTTTTCTTTAAATAAGGGGTATTTTCACAAATTAAAGAAATCTCCCTCTTTTTGATGTCAGAACTTTCTTCTTTGTTTATTGCAAATTCTAAAATCTCCCTCTTTTTGAAGAAAAATCTCCCACTTGATCATTGAAACAAGTTTGCATGTATGTCAATGTCATTTTTACATGTTTATACTACATGAAGATAAAGAGTAATGTCCCTTGTCTAGGACATCTACATGTACTTAGTGCTTACAATGAGTATGACTTTCAATGAAATAACTTTAATAGTGAAAAAACTGGTTCTGATTTGAGATTTTTACAATGATATTTTTTTGTTTGAAGAATAAAGATTCTAATTTCATGTGCTATTTTCTTTTTGAAAAAAAAAAAAAAAAAAAAAAAAAAAAATATGAATTACTTTTTTTATCCAAAGTGGTCATGTACTTCATTACAAATGGTGAAATGGTGTTTCATGGAATCAGGGGAACACTTAAATTTCTACATGTAGGCTACAAGAAGATGACTTTCTAATTATTCAAATTGACAATAAATAATATTAAGTAATGCCTTTTTGTGTAATCAAGGGAGTAAATAATGCCTAGTATACAATGTATTATAATATGTTCAATCAATAAAGACCATAACAGTATAACACAAAAGTAATCAAAAATTATTCTTAGACATTCTTCCCTCAACATAAAATATACAGGTAGACAAATCTGTGACAAAAATAATAAAATTCAATGAGCAGCAAGTGGTTTGAAGTCAATGACCTTAACCACTCAGCCACGGACGCCTCTCTAATGAAACTCTAATGTATTAATGTACATAATAAACAAATATCTGAAATGTACAAGTATGTTATAATAATGAATAATGAACACAGTTTAAAGGGAGGTTTATATCAGTACTGACTGTATTGCATATACATGATGACTGATAGTCCTCTATAAACCTTAATAATTATAAGGAAAAAATATCTCTATAGTATATAAAATGAAAGTCGGGGAAACAGTTATACATTTTCATAGTGTAGCAGTTCTGTAAATACTGTTAGTATAAACAATACATGGAACCTTGCCTATTACATCTAAATCTAGGTTTGATTTGATATGTTATTAGTAAAAAACCTGCATGTAGTAACTAAACATGCAGTTGTAATGGAGTTTTTTTCCCCTGTTTGTTATGTAACCAAAAGTTAAAATGTTCTTTGAAATAATAGCATGAAATATCATGACGGTGAATTATGTATAATATGTAAAATATGAAGCAATCTGAGCAATGATATTTGCATCAGCTATAACTATTTTGTTTCTCTGTTTCTTTATAAATTCCCAGTTCTGAGACAAAGAAATACACATCTGTCAATGTCATTAACACAACCTAAATGGTAGATTCTCTGAAACATATTGTTGCTTATTGCATTTATGTTCAATACTTTAACGTCCATCAAAACAACAATAAAATATCAACAATAATCCAAAACTAAATGGATTGTGTAGTATCACTTATATATTTTTCAAATAAAAATCGGCCTTCCTCAGCTGGCTAAATTTTTCTTCAACTGTATTAAGAAATCTGACAATTTTGCCAAGAATATTGTCAGTATTCTGATTTCTGTAAGGAGATATCATAGCTGTACTTTACTAATTGCACCACAGGCTTTGATCTGCCGCCATTCTGTCAGTTCCTTCAGGTAAAAGGATTTTCATTGGTTCCCCCATTGTACTTTGCATTCCGATTGGCTAGTGTCTTTCAACGTCAGAATGTCTATGTGTGAAAGACTCTTACTGATTCTGTCCATTCTTTCCATGAGTATTTATTGGCTAAATTCAGCCATGTTATAATATACCTAGGAAGAGGATTTTATTGTTTTTCTACTAATCTGTAACTATCATGTGTTTTCATACGCTCCTTTTTTCCTCTATCCCCATGCACCTCACATTCTGAGAATTTTTATTGGTTCCCTCCAGCTTTATCAAGTATTGACTGAACATGTTATCTCTGTATCAACAAGTTGAGGAGCTTTTCTTTGATCTTCTCTTCATGAACGTTGTCTGTAAAAGCTGGGTGGCTGATAGTCTTTTTGCCTGATCCCTGTAATAATAAAATGTAGCATGTAACAAGTATACCATAATTCATGTATACCATAATTCATGTATACCATAATTCATGTATACCATAATTCGTGTATACCATAATTCATGTATACCATAATTCATGTAATTCATGTATACCATAATTCATGTAATTCATGTATACCATAATTCATGTATACCATAATTCATGTATACCATAATTCATGTAATTCATGTATACCATAATTCATGTATACCATAATTCATGTAATTCATGTATACCATAAATTCATGTATACCATAAATTCATGTATACCATAATTCATGTATACCATAAATTCATGTATACCATAAATTCATGTATACCATAAATTCATGTCTACATGTTCTATTGCAAGCGGACACTTAAAATCTACTTTTTATTCCACAAGACAATTTATACTGTCTGTATTCAAATTCTAAATTTAAATCATATGTTATTGCAATAAATTTAAAACATATAATTGATTGAATTTCTACATAATCATTCAGAAATATTTTTTCATATAAATATTTTGGAAGTACATATATTCAATTTCCTGAATTCTAACAATAATTTTATATATAGGCCCAATGTGGGCACGTGTTGTAATTTATTATACAGCATATTAAATACAATGTATTTATTTTTCCTATATTGTACAAAGCACAATGTCACTCTAATAAAATTTAATTACTCATTTATAAAGCTTTATACACTTTAATAACAATATAAAACAAGATTGCATTTGAGAAAAATGCTATGCCACCGCATTAATACAACACTAAATAGTAGTGTAGGAACAGATTTTTTTTGTTTCTATTCAATTTTGTAGATTGTCATAATGCATAGATCCCTGACCTATCTAATTCTTATCAGATTAGTGGTTAAATCTGTTGTTAACTCAATAAAAGATCAGAGTAGGAATATATCAATGCACTCAAGTCTAGTGAATTTGGTGGTGAAGGTCATATTTCAAACAGCCTAAATTTCATGACTACATCAAAGGACAACACAGTAAGACACTTTGTCAAAATCTAGGTCAGCTGATATCAAAGTTCACTTTACATCTTAATCTGTGCACATGGTTCAAATTTCATAGCTGTACATCAAAGGACAAGAAAGTAGGTCACATCATCAAAATCTAGGTCACCTGATATCAAAATTCAATTTTACAACTAAAACTGTGCACATGGTCAAAAATTTCATTGCTGTACATCAAAGGACAAGAAAGTAGGTCACTGTCCCCTTGGGCAAGGCAAAATTTTGGACCCAAGGGTTTAATTCAAAACAATCTTGATACAGGTCCACCAAACAACATTTCAAGTCAAATATCTAAGCTGTAGCTTTCTCCCATTCAGAAAACATTTGTTTTATTTTCTGTTTTTACTATGTGTACATAATGAGAATCACTGCCCCGGGCACGGCCAATTTTAACACCAGGGGAAAAATTTGAACAACTTTGGTAGAGGACCTATAGATGATATATATAATATAGCAAACATCAAAGCTCTATGCCTTGTACCTTCAGACAAAAATATTTTTTTATTTTTTTACTATATGTACATAATGAAAATTAATGAACCCCCGGGGCAGAACCAATTTTGACCCCAGGGCTATAATTTGAACAATCTTGGTAAAGGTTCACTTCGCAAAGTCTCATGCCATATATTTAACCTCTAGCCTTTGTCAATTCAGAGAAAAGGATTTTTCAATTCTGAGAAGAGGATTTTTCAAGTTTTTACTTTATACATATAAGGAAAACTATCGCCTCTGGGGCAGTGCAATTTTAACACTAGGGGCATAATTAAAACAACTTTAGTAAAGGACCAATAGATAATACTATATACCAAATATCAAAGCTCTAAGCCTTGTACCTTAAGACAAGAAGATTTTTTAATTTTTTACTATATGTACATAGTGAAAATCAATGACCCCTGGGGATGGGGCCAATTTTGACCCCAGGGCTATAGTTTTTACAATCCTGCTAGAGGTTCACTACATAATGTTTCATGCAAAATATCTTAACTCTAGCCTTTGTAAATCTAGAGAAGATGATTTTTTTAAGTTTTAACTATATACATATAAGGAAAACCTATGGCCCCTGGGGCGGGGCTAATTTTGACACTAGAGGCAAAATTTGAACAACTTTGGTAGAGTACCTATAGATAATATCATTTAACAAATATTAAAGCTCTAAGCCTTGTACCTTCAGACAATAAGATTTTTTTTATTTACTATATGTATATATTGAAAATCAATGACCCCCGGGGCGGGGGCAATTTTGACCCAGGGCTATAATTTGAACAATCTTGCTAGAAGTTCACTTCACAATGTTTCATGCCAAATATCTAACCTCTAGCATTTGTCAATTGCTAGAAGAAATTGTTTTAAAAGTTTTACTATAAGTTTTTACTATATACATTTTAGGAAAACCAATGACCTCCGGGGCGGGGTCGATTTTGATCCCAGGCCTATAATTTGAACAATCTGGGTAGAGGTCTACCAGACAATGCCTTATGCAAAATATCTAAGCTCTAGGCTTTTGAGTCTTTACAAGAAGGTATTTTAAGTTTTTACTAAATGTACATATAGTGAAAATCAAAGACCCCCGGGGCGGGGTCGATTTTGACCCCAGGGCTATAATTTGAACAATCTTGGTAAGGGTCTACCAGACAATGCCTTATGCAAAATATCTAAGCTCTAGGCTTTTTGGGTCTTTACAAGAAGGTATTTTAAGTTTTTACTATATCTATATATAGTGAAAATCAATGACCCCCGGGGCGGGGCCGATTTTGACCCCAGGGCTATAATTTGAACAATCTTGGTAGAGGTCTACCAGACAATGCCTTATGCAAAATATCTTAGCTCTAGGCCTTTTGGGTCTTTACAAGAAGATTTTTTTAATTTATTCTTATAATTCCTTTTGGTTGCCATGGCAACCAGATTTCTGCATGGAATGAAATTCTTTGAACAACTTTGGAAGCCCTTCACCCAAGGATCAATCCTGCCAAGTTTGGTTGAAATTGGACTAGTGGTTTTTCACAAGAAGATTTTTTAAGTTCACTATATAATCTATATAACACACACACACACAAACAAACAAACAAACACACACACACACGCACACACACACAGGTGAATCGCTATATGCCACCGCATCGCAGATGCTGCGGTGGCATAAAAATAAATAATTACTTTGTAAGGCAACAATTAACAAAATCTTTGGCCTCCTCAGTGAACTTCTCGGGTAATTGTGGTACAGGTTTATCTGATCCTATAGCAAATATGGCTGCCATTGGGTTCATTTCTGCCCATGGTGGTTTCCTTGTGGCCATCTCAAATACTGTACATCCAACACTCCTGAAAATAACAGGGAAATAATAACACATCTGTTTACAATGCAGTAGCTGGAAGCTATAACATACCTGTAACAATTATATGTTACAGTTATTTGTCTGGTCGGACATAAGATCATCTGGAGATATCTTGACTTATTTTAATGTTTCTATATTTAAACTCGACTGTATTTTAAGCCTGACTGCACAAATAAGTCTCAACTTTACATGTAGATTCCTTTACAATATAGCCTCACCATGCTACAACTAAATAACATGAAATATATAACACCTTTGAAATTGTTTATAATTGGTCTTGGATAGTGACCTCCTATTATGCTTTTAAATATGTGTGTTATAGTTCAACCCATTCCCTATGTACAGTAGTTTTGTTGATACCAACTTGCAAGCAAAAACTAAATCAAAGTGAGATGTCGACTCCTGGGCGAGTACAATTGCTCTCAATACTTTAAGAATAGTGGAGCTAAAATTATTTAATCTTTCACCAATCAACTGATCCAAATTCAAAGCCAGATAAGTCAAACATACAAACTGAATGTGTGTGTGAAATTCTCTTATCCAGCAACTTACCATATATCAGATTTTTTCCCATGACCTGTTTCATTCACAACTTCTGGTGCCATCCAGTATGGTGTCCCCTTCATGGATTTTAGTATCTGAGACTGGCCCATACTGAGATTTATACATAGTCGCTTAGCACAACCAAAATCTATCAGTTTTATCACTCCATTTGGCATCAGCATCACATTTCCTCCTTTTATGTCCCTAATAAATTCAATTAACAAAAAAATGGTTATTCCACATGTTTCATTCATCAACAACACAAAAATGCAAACAAAGATGTTCATCAAAATCTTGTGTTAATGCAGGATAATCAAGCATCCCCCGTGTCTAATATAGATCCTTTATCAAGCCAGTATTACAAGAAGTTATAAAAGTTCTTCTCAGTTCACTGTATTCAAGATTAATCTAGATACATGTACAGACACTTAAGAATTTGTTGAAATCATTGAAGATACTGATGGTTGTAACATCCTTGATTATCAATTAATTAAACAATTTCTTCATGGAATGTATTAAATGTTTAATAAACTATCCCAAAAGTTACATAAAGAACTTTTTTCAATTTCACTCAGATAATTATTTAATTAAGATATTTTAACGACTTTGGTGAAAATTTAGACCATTATCATAAAAGTGAAATGGTAAATTTGTTTCCATTTCACAACAATAATTTACAACCTAAGCTCAAAAGAACCACACTCTTGTTATAAATATTTAGCTTCTAACAACAAAAGAAGGCAAATGTCAACAAGTTAATAAGTTACCTGTGGATGACATCATTGGCATGGAGATATTCCACTCCTTCAAGAATCTGTTTTGTGTATTTTCTGAACACAGCTTCATCTAGGGCACCAAACCTTGCTAATATACTGGCTATAGATCCACCTGGTACAAACTGCATAAATATACTGACAACACTGTCCTCTAGACTTGTACCAAGGTATCTGTTGATTATATAAAGTGTAAAATACAAGTTCAGACTTCTACTGCTAAATAAACATAGATGTACAATGTATTGGAGTGATATTTCATCTTTGATTTCCTTAATTTCTGTATACATGTATATTGCACATAATTTAAGGCACATTGCTTTATGATATAGTGTAAAAAGTATCTCAAATAACAAGTTACTGTTTATGAGCTTAAGGTCTAAACCTTTCTTTCTAAGGTATGGTGTACAATTCAAAACATGACAAAAACATTTAGTATTATTACCCCTATAGTTAGTATAATCAAGAATATGGGTAACATTGATAAAGGCTCCCTTATATTATGGATGGTCCCCTATGTTATGGATGTTCCCCTATGTTATGGATGTTCCCCTAGGTTATGGATGTTCCCCTAGGTTATGGATGTTCCCCTAGGTTATGGATGTTCCCCTATGTTATGGATGTTCCCCTATGTTATGGATGTGCCCTTGGTTATGGATGTTCCCCTATGTTATGGATGTCCCCTATGTTATGGATGTCCCCTATGTTATGGATGGTACCCTATGTTATGGATGGTCCTCTTTGTTAAGGATGTTCCCTATGTGATGGATGTCCCCTTATATAATAGATGTGCCCTTATGTTATGGATGTTCCCCTATATATTGAATATTACCCTTTGTTGCTGATGCTAATGTTATGGGTGCTCCTCTAAATATGTAGAGCTATGAGAAATGGTATGTGTGACAGAAATGCAAACTAAAGGACAAACTGCTAAGTATATGCTCCATCAAAATACAATTGAGTATTATTAAAAGGCTATGTGTGAAAAGGAATACATGTAATGAAGTTACTAACCCTACAATATTTTTATGTTCCAAAGTCTTCAGAAGTTCAACTTCCTCCTGGACTTTCTCATATTCCTTCTTAGCTTTATTCTGATTGGTTGTATTTAATTCTATCTGTTTGACTGCAATAAGTTGTCCTTCACTTGTCAAACCACACCATACCTTGTAAAAAAAGAAAATATTAGCATTTCCATTCGACTTCTTATTATAAAAATCATTCAATTTCGCTAGCATAAAATTTTGCGCGAATAAATAGAAAGTAAGTTTGGTCAATTTTAAATATGTGCAATTTAGATTTCAAAAGATGCTCAATAATTATTGTACAGCACAGCGTCTCCCTTCTCACATGCGTCAATCAACATGGTTCACTTGAAATAAACAAAGTCAATCAAAGATAATAAATAGACTGGAGTTAATTCACAATGAATGTGACGCTATATGTATTTCTATTACTTACAGTTCCAAAAGCTCCTTTGCCGAGCACATTTCCTTTCTTCCATTGTATAGTTTCCTCCATTATTGAAGATTGAGAACTTAATGTTGTACATGCACTATCTGCCCTCTCTATTTCATCATCTTCTAGACTAAGATGGTCATCCTGTATCATACCAAAAATATATGTCTACTTTAATACAATTGTCTCCCTTGTCTACACGATTTTTTTCATCTTATAATGCCCTACTTCCAAGACACATTTCTACGGTCAAATGTTGAATTTCATGTATGATAAAGGAATGTTTACGTATATTAAAAACACAAAATTATTTGGGCAAAATCCCATTCTTTTCTATTATTCTAAATAAAAGTTACAGCGAAAAAACATCATTCTTTGTCCGGTAATATGTAGGATCCCAGTAGTGTTATTTAAATGCATTTAAATAAAATCAACATTGATAGTAAGAACCCTTAACCCCAGCCACTTTCCATCTTGTTTTGTTTGTTTCTTTGTTTTTCAGACTTTCGCATTTTTTGTCAAAACTCAGCAGTTTATCCACCTTACTTGCTTCACTGGCTAACTAAACAGTATTTACCATTTTTTCTGTAAGTGACAACTAACATCACAGTCACAATAAAACCATTGCCCTTAAATATCTTTAGAAAATCTTTTGCAGTACATTTACATTTTTTTGTGTATTCTAATACGAATATGAAAACATTTATAATTTACGGATGATGAATGTATTTATAATTAACAATTTCTTCTCTTCTTTATTATTGCAGCACTGCCTGTAGATTCAAAAGACTATATCATACCACATAATTTTAGAAATAAAACTTGATTACAGTACTAACCTCACTGCTTTGAGATGTAATTTTAATGACATTAGCCAGTTCATTAATGTTTTCTTCCTGCAGACTGCTAACTTCTCTAAATGGACTTCTCTTGAACTCGTCAGCCAGATTCTATGATAAAATCAACATCAAATTGTTACAATTAATCTCGATTAATTCATTTCAGGTTTATACCGGAGCTAGGGATGTTTGTTGTGTTATATTTACTGTTTAAGTTCATGAACCAAACCTATTGTTTTTTTTTTTGTTGTTGTTGTTGTTTTTTTAACTTATTTCATATTCACCGCTTATCAGGAATCTACCTTTTCAAAATTAATATGGAACAAGAGCTTTAATCTTAATAAGTAACTCATCACAATTTATTTCAGATGAAAAAAAGATGCCATGTGTTAAGACTACGGTATATTTTTGAGAAGTATTTTTAAAAAACAGAACTTATATATATTAAATTTTTTCCTGAATGAATATTAATATGACATAATTATATGAACTATAAACAGGTACGTTCCAACTCATTGTGATAATTCTGGTTGTACAAATTACATCATATGCATTTTTAACATTATTTTGTACATTGTACATTTGTCATTTCAATTTGGGAACTTAAACATTAAATAAAATAAATAATATCAAAAGTTGGAAACCACTGTGAAAATACCTTCAATATAATAATTAAAGTTATACAACCACTATGATTCCTCACACATACCTTAGGAACATTAACAGGACTGTTTGAGCGTTCTCCGACATGTGATGCAGATTTACCTCCCTTTATCTCAGTGAACTTCCCTGGTTTCATTCTGCCTGCACCAGCAGAGCCGGGCCGAGGTGGTATGCCCAACTGATGTGAACTGTGAGGATTATCAAACCTTGACAAACTTTTATGCATATTCTCTCCTTCTCTTCTAGGTGTTTCCTTTTTGGCCGACCTATTATTATTGGTACTGTGAGGCCCAGCATACAGTTCCATTTGTCGGAAACTGTTCATTATTCTAGCCAGTTGTTTTGCTTCATTATTATCAGCTTTAACCATTGCCTTTACTTTAGATTGATCAGCACCAGCATCTATCATTGCCTTCATTCTTTGTCCCATTTCAAATTTTTCGGCATTAAATCTTTTCATGAGCTCTGGATTATCTTTATTTAGTGTTACACTATCATCATATGAACTAGACACTCTTACACTTTCTTTGGCATGGAAAGGAGATGCATGATTTTGATTCTCTTGTACCATTTTCTTTAAAACTTTCCTATCTGCTTCAGTGAGAGTACTATTTCCACTCTTAAAAGAATTTACTGATTTCATATTCGACCTTGAAGAAGGGAAAGTGTTACTTAAAATTTCATCAATAGCTTCTTTCATATCCTCATCTTTTTCTTCTACTTTCTTTGTTTCTGAATACCTTCTTTCCTTTCTTGAACTTCTGGTTGACTTCATATCATCTTCTGTTCTGCTTGTGTCAAATGCTTTCAAATTTTCCTCAGTTAACTCATTAATATTCAACTTAACATCATTTTCACAAGTTTCACTACTGTCTTGATCTTCATCAATTTGTTTTCTCTTTTTGTATGAATTATTTTGTGTCGACTCATTTAACAACTTTTGAGTTTTCTGCATTTTGTCTGCAAGCATTTTTTTAAGGTCTGATATTTTAGAATCAATTCTTTCCTTTGTCTCAGAATTCATATCATTCCTTGGAGATTCAATAACAGGTTTACTTTCACTACCTTGTGAGTAATCTTTCTCAGTATATAACTTTTCTCTGGATGAGCTTTTTCTCAGACTATTGGAACGACTCTTATTTACCGAATTACTCCTTGAGTTTGAATCTCTTATTGCAGCACTTGAATTGGGAGATAGTTGAGAATTTCCAAAGACCTTACTTGCCTTTTCTCTTATTTCTGAACTGAGGTTTGAAATTCTAGACATGTTTGTTTTTGATGATGAATTCCTTGACGGTAAACTTCTCGACATAGCAGATCCTGAAGAAGATTGTTTTGAGTCTTTCTGTGATGCAGCAGATCTAAGAGATCCTCCACAATTTCTGACAGGTCCACTTCTACCCATGTTAGCACTACTTCTATCAGAGGATGCAGAGACTTTATCCCTTGGGGTAGTACCCAATAATTTACTCAGATCTTCATCTTTCATATTCTTATCAAACCTATTTATAGCATCAACTGTTTTTGCTACATATTTCAATGTTGAATTTGTGTTAGTAAGAGATGGGGATTCAGGTATTGGTGTTAACTGCCCAATTACAACTTGCCTGTGTAACATATCTTCTATATCTTCTTCATCACCATAATCATCTTCATCATCATAAATGTCATTATCATCATCAAATATATCACTTTCATCTTCCCTGAGCTTAGACAAGAAATTACTAATATCTCCAGGCATATCCTGTTTTATGATCACACCTGCTCTATTCTGTGATAAACTATTTTGAGTCATGTCCAGATTCATAGGCCTATATCCATCATTGTCTGCCATTGGGAGATCTTCCTCATGTTTGTTTTCAAAGGGAGGTCTAACTTCTTTAAATCTTGGTGAATACATGGAAGAAGGAGTATCTAAAGCATTTGGTATGTGTAACTCATTATCAGACATTTCAAAGTTTACAGGAGAAGCTAGTCTAAATATGCTAACATCCTCTCCGTCTGATTCACTGGAGTCTATCTGACTTACAACAACTGCATCAGCCTCTGACTTATCAATACAAGATGTTGCTATTTGCCAACCAATACCTCCAATTAAGGCAACATCAGGTTTTTCATTTTCTTTTGCAAGATTTTCGGCAGGTATTTTCCTTTTCCTTTTAGCAGATCGTATCCTTCTTCCAGATTTTCCACTTTTAGGCCTACTTTCATTATCAGACTTGTTAGCATCTTTACTTCTAGACCTTTTCTTTTTTCCACTAGACCCTCTTGTGGTTGCAGATGATGGCTTAGAACTGTTTACTGTCTTTTTCTGACTTTTAGCATTTTTTCCTTTAAGTGATACCTGAGTTTTAGATCTTTCTATGCTTGGTTTGTCTACAACAAAGCCAAATTCTGTAGCAGTAAGTGCTCTTTTCTGTTCAAGCTCTTCAAATGGATTAACTATGACAGGTGTTGTCATTGGATTATTAATATCCATGTAATTTTTCCTGTTTATTCTTGGAGCACATTCAGGCATTATTTCTACTAGAGGAGTAACATTGTTATGATTGTTTTTAGTTCCAGCTGAGCCTATTGGTGTATCACTGGAAGGTCGCCCATTGTTTGAGTTGGTAGCACACTGTATTTTAGTGTCTGAAGAAGACATCAACTTCTTTTCTTTAGCTTCATCAATGGTTGTCATGGAAGCAGATCTTAGTAGTCCCTTACTTTGAGATTTATCACTTGTAACTGTTCCAACGCTTGGCATTTGTGAAACACTGCTACTGACAATACTAGCATTTGAAATTTTTGAAGTTTTTTGTAAAGGCTCATGCATTGACTTTGACAACACTTGATTCTTTTTGGAAGGCATGTTTGAAACTATAGATTTGTTTGCTGTAGATGAAGTGTCTGATGTTAGCGAACTACTACTTGAAGACTTTGGAGTGCTGGGTACACCTGACATATTATAAGATTTCATAATAGAAGCTGACCTACTGACAGTTGTAGATACCAAATCAGTTGGTGAAGTAGAACTTGCTGTTTTCACTGTTGTTGTATTGTCAGTTGTCTGAGATTTATTAGGGGCACTAGCATTTGTGTCAGTTGATGTTTGTGTTGTAATGGCAGCATTAGCGGTATTAGCACTCTGCTTATCTTCTTTTCCCTCAGATTTATCTGACAAAGTACTCTTCTGTTTTCCCAAATTATTAGACGGGAAACGAGGAGTATAACTTGATGTAGTTTTCCTAACATTACCTACTTGTCTTTGATTCACACTTGCACTCTTTGAAACATTAAAAGTAGAATTCCTAGACTGTGCACCTTGTCTGTTAGAAATATCAGCAGAAGTAGACTGCTTCACAACTTTATTTGATACTAAAGAACTTTGCGGACCAGATACATTTTTACCTGATAAATTATCAGCAGGTTTTAGTTGGACATTATCATTTTTATCAGTATTAGTTTGACCATTTTTAGATTCAACCTTCTTTGCACCTTGATCAGAATTACCCACATTTTGTTTTTTCACTACAGCACTTTCATTTTTATCAGCTACATTATTTGTCTCAGTAAGCTTAGTCTTATTATTGTCCTGAGGAGAAACTCTACTCTGAACTTGAGCAGACTGTAATAAATGCATGTTTACATTACTGACAACTTCTTGTTTTGGTGCTGTACTTGTATTCACTTTATCAGCAGTTTTCACCGATACAGTTTTAGTTGCAGATTTTTCAGTATTGATACTGCCTTTTGGAGCAGTTCTTACAATGTTTTGAGTTAGTTTAGTGGGCACAACTTGCAAAACATTCTGCATCTTCTGAGAAGCTTTCTTTCTTGCATTTGTTACTTGAGCATTTGTTTTAATTTCAGCAGCTTTTGTGTCCGGTTTGGAATTATCATTCCTCTTTACACCTGCATCAACTGTTTCATAAGTACTTTCAGTCACAACAGTTTTATCAGAAGGTGCAACTTTGTCATCTGTATCGTTATCATTTACTCCATGAATACCATGCACTGTTATTTTACCTCCACTTTTAGCACCATTTGTGTTTGAACTATTGACTTTTGTAGCATTTTGTGCTGCAGCATTTCTCACTGCCATTGTGTGTAATATAGATCCATATTTGGAATTTCCTGCTGACACTGCATTGTTAATTTTCAGTTTTGGCACAGAATTATCCACCTTTGAATCATCCCCTGAATTCAAACCACTCCCATTTTGAACAGAGTTGTTAGTTTTTCTATTATTTGCATTACTTGCAAACTTTTCATTTAACTTTGATGCACCTATTTTCACTGAACCAACAATATTTGCTGAATTTCCAGTTTGTTGTTTAGGTTTCACAGTATTAGTTTTTTCACTTTTTCTTGTTTGATTTCCTTTCACTGATAAAGGTGTGTCCCTGGGAGAGCCAGATAAATGGCTGCTTCCGCTGGAAGAAACCGTGTCACTTCCTGTTGATGGTGTGCGTATAAAAGGGTCCTTAGGTCTACTTTCCTCAAGAACAAACTCATCCTTATAAATTGTCCGAGACCGGACAAGTTCAGGTGCATCTCTGCTGACTTCAGAATCTTCATCAGATCTTGGTGAAATATCACTCTGAAAGTTTAACAGTTCAAACTTTGAAACAAAAAAAATATTAAACTTCTTTTAAAATCAATTAATTTCAAATAAGCAAAATTTATAAAAAAGTGTAAATACATGTACATTCTTACAATTTCAACAAAAGTGATGCCATAAAAAGTAAGTGAACTTCAGCATATTCTTTTCACTTTAAACCCTAAGAAATTATTTTGACTAATTTGCTTGCCGCAAAGATTCTTCTGAGAAAAAAAGATTCCTTGTAAAAATTTACAGTTACCTCCCTTTAATAACTACTGTAAATCTGAACCTTTTTTTCTATATGATCAATAAATTAGAATTTCAGAACTTTTATTTTTTATGGAATGTTTTTGGTTACCTCCGATTTGCCGTCAGATCTTTGAGTAATGAATGTTGGTGTAGGGGGGATCACCTTACTGGAACCAGGGCCATACAGATGTTGTACAGGAGTCTTGTTTTTACTCAACATTTGACCTACATCATACAAGAAATATGATTATAACACACTGTAAATTAAAGACATAGTATTACTGATAAAGTTGGTATTGTTAATTATACAGGTATGTAATCAATTAGTAAAACAAATAATTGGTTATTTTTTAATAAACCACATTTACCACATTCAGGTTAAACAAGTAATTTACATGTAAGTCAGATTTGCTGAAAAATCATCCAAATGCATATTAAATTGATAACATTTAAGTATTTAATGATTATTAACTTGTCTATATCAAAGGAAAAGTCAAGCTATTATGATAACTCCATCTTCATTCTTGTGCCTATTATTCAATCATTTTAAAAGTTATGCCCCTTTTAATTTTTTTTTCAAAACAGGTTGCTGTTTACAGACAAGCATTAACACTGCATGCTGTGCTTTTGTTTTAATTTTTTATCTGCCCTGCCAAATATATTCATAATTATATTCAATTACACATGTTTTAATAACTATTTCACACCTGGATGATATTTTTCATATAATTCTTACACTACTCCTAGTTAAACATTTAAACACTAGTAAGTTACAGTCAAATCTGTGACATGTGTGTAGATGCGAAACTCTTGGATGAAGTTTAAAGAAAGTAAAACTTCTATCAAAAAATGGATTAAATTATTCACTATTCATTTCAATAATTTGGATAGGATAAAAAATCATGTTCCAGCTTCATTTATAACATATATATTTGTTTCTACATATTATCATATTTTTGCCCCCATCATAATGTGTTTAGCATGTTAAACATATGTTCTATTACGTTGCCAATTCTGGTAATTATGTTATGCATCTAGCCAAAACATTTGCATTAAATAATAACAAAATTTTCGTGTTTGTGTGGCTTGTTTGTTTATAATTATTTGGATTTTACACCTCATCAGGAGAATTGATCATATATTTTGATTTAAATGTTTCAGGTATTTTGAAAATGCTTAGGTATCAAAAAGATCAATTCTTACATTTCTCAGGAGTTTTCTTTTACACAGATTTGATTGTAAAGCAAAATTATTAAGACAATGTATGATTATTCCCCAGTACCATTTATGTTGAATACATATAATACAACTATAACCCCAGACAACTACAACAACAACACAAATAATGTGAAAATTTGAGAAAATATTGAAGAAATAAAAAATTGTACATATATGTTATCATTTTGTCCTCAGGACACAGACTTCCCCACATTCCCACTGTTTTGTTAGTCTATGAACGGAGAGTGTGACAAAAGAACAGCCTGACAATAATTGTGTTAATGAACAAAGGAAAAATCTACGTCCCCCCTTCAAAATAAGGGGTTTAAACCATTAAGCCATGATGCTTGTATTTAAACTATCTGAAAAATATCTTAGTACTTTCTCAAACTTCCAAATTATAGTCATCCTAAAAAAAATGTTGATTTCTAAGAGGTATCACAAAATTTTTAATAGCAGGTTTTGTAGCCATCTATCTCTTTCCAAAATACATGTAATAATGACAAAAAGATTTCTCTTCATTCATAAATGCACAAATTTATTTATTTATTTGAGTAGGGGTTTTGAGTGAACAAGTCCAGTAATTGCAAACCAACATTGTTTTAAGGATGATGTTAAGACAGCTTAGCTAATTAGAGAGACATACCAAGGTTAAGCATCCTTGGGGAGTTAGAGTTAGTTGACATTCTACTGTCTGTACGATACGAACAAACACTCATGAGAGTTGCCTCCCTTTGTAAAGTGGTTGTCGTTCCTTCCCTATGAAAGGGAGTGAACTCTCGCTGGTTTGGTGTACACCGGTTTGCCTCAAGGTCGTTAGCAGGGTTAGAATTGACAGAATAAGAACGTCCTGGTTATATATAAAAGCAAATTATAATCTCTAGGTTATAATACACACAACAAACCAACATAAAATATAAACAACAAAATTAATGTCTAGTTTTATACCCTAGTATATACCAAATAAAGTTTATATTATAATACTTATAAACCAAAAATATTCACATTCAAATGAACAATAAGCTACATAAGATTTTGTCTTTAAATCATTTCTTTCACTTTGGTTCATGTATTTACATGTATTACTTTCAACATTGCATGTACAGTGTTTTAGAAATACTTTTGATAATTTCAACTTTTCCTCAATTAAAGACATACAATAATAGTAAGGATAATGTATAGTATAAATTTATGTCATTCAGTATGTTTGTTTTAAATTAATGTCCACACTCTAAAAAAAACAATCTTATAACTAAAATAAAAGCACTAAATCAAATAAAACCCAAGCCAGGATAGATAAAAAAATCTGTTCATAAAAAGTACAGTTTGAGATACAAACAATAAAATCTTTTTCCACTGAGATAAAGACGAAGAGGTTTCATACCAAAGTGGTCAGCAGTCAAAAATGTTACTATAATTAACAATCATTTTCTTGTGCTACTTTACTTGTTTTATATATATCAAAAAAACATAGCCAGTCCAATGAATATCTTTTTTTTGCATGTGTAATACAACATAAATCTTGAAATGTTTTTTTTCATTTTCATTCATTTTTTTTTAATCAAAGCAAAGACTCCTTCTAAAATCTTTTTACCCTCTTAAATGCATATTTTAAATGCTGATACCCAATAGAAGTTTGGCTGATGAATCTGACAGATTCAAATTCTAGGATTCTATAATGTCTGGCATAAAAAAAATGCAACAAATAACCAAAATTTCCATATCAAAGGATTTAGTGCAACACATTTGTATTAATCATGCAACTGCTATGGTTAATGCCCGATATCGCTTGCCTGATAATTGTTTTTGATATCAGCCTCGCCCCTTTCTAGCCCATATTAGGCTTGCCTGACAAAATTGATATCAAAAGACAGTTGCATGTTCAATTCTCTATAAATTAGATTAGTTTTGCACTTAACCATACAACTACAGATTTTAGGATATCAGATCTAAACAAGAAGATATATTTTGTTGCCTGTAAACTAACCTCTTTTCTGGCTGTGTAAGTAGGGTTCACATGATGCTGCCAGCTCCATTAGGTTTGGTGTACCTCTGTTTGGATCAGACTCACTGCGTCTATGACTAGGGGTCGGTGATACCGGCGCTGGGGAAAATCTCTCAAACACATCATCAGTCAGGTTTGAGCTTTCCCTGGCAGTAAGTGGGTTTACTTTCCGTCCCCGCCCTTAAAAAACAATTTTACAATCAAATACATTTATTGTCCACTTAAATAACACAATTATACCAACCAATGATATAAAAAAATATATCAAAATGTGATGAAAATAATCATGCAGCAATTATAAAAAAACATCATGTAAATAATCTATGAAAGTTGTTTTAACAGATAAACAAAGCATTATCTTTTTATATTTAAATGCACATAGGTTATAGAAAAGAAAATTTAAAGCAAATATCTGGTAACATGTTATAATTTATGATTTTCAAAAAATTTCAAAGATACACAATAAAGTTACCATTTTTCCGGTCTTCAAAAGACCGTCTTAATCTAGAGTTCCTCCCAAACATGACAGGTGACTCAAGATTACGATCTGAACTCACACGATCCGGACTTATGACGGGTAAACGTTCTGTACTTCGAGATTTGGTTCTCGGCAGTGGTGTAGGTTTCTGCTGGTTCCGAACCTGTCCCAGCTTACGAACATTGTCTCTGTATAAAAATCATTATTGTTTATTGTTCTAGGTCATCTATCTATTCATTAACATAAATTCAAGTGTTTTTGAACAAAAACTATTTTGATATCTTTCTGTCACAGCTTCTGGCTAAAATTCTGCCAGACCACAGGAGAGCTCAAATCTACAATCCTTTGGTTTAGAGACAGACATCTTTAACATTACGTCACCTATCACAGTTAATACTTTTACACCAGGAAGTTGAACAGCTGAAAATTTGTTATATCTAATTGAGAATAAAACTAGAACTGTGTCCAAAGGACACGGATGCCCCCACTGACAACATATATATGGTATATAGTGAAAAAAATCAACAAAGGGCCATAATTCTGTTAAATTTGGTCACAGCAAAAATTCCTTCCTTTACTATCATCTACACATTAGGGTTGTTCATCCCTGGAAGTTTAAGCAAAATCTGCCATCCGGTTTAAGAGGAGTTGCGTTCACAAAATTTCTATACGGTATATAGTGAAAAAATCAACAAAGGGCCATAATTTTGTTAAATTTGGTCACAGCAAAAATTCCTTCCTCTACTACCATCTACACATTAGGGTTTTTCATCCCTGGAAGTTTAAGCAAAATTTGCCATCCGGTTTAAGAGGAGTTGCGTTAACAAAATTTCTATATGGTATAAAGTGAAAAAAAAAACAAAGGGCCATAATTCTGTTAAATTTGGTTGCAGCAAAAATTCCTTCCTTTACTACCATCTACACATTAAGGTTGTTCATCCCTGGAAGTTTAAGCAAAATCTGCCATCCGGTTTAAGAGGAGTTGCGTTCACAAAATTTTTACATGGTATATAGTGAAAAAATCAACAAAGGGCCATAATTCTGTTAAATTTGGTCGCAGCAAAAATTCCTTCCTTTACTACCATCTACACATTAAGGTTGTTCATCCCTGGAAGTTTAAGCAAAATCTGCCATCCGGTTTAAGAGGAGTTGCGTTCACAAGATTTCGGGACGTACGGACAGACGGACGGACGGACAGACGTACGGACGGACAGACGGACGGACAAGTGCAACGCTATATGCTCCCACTCTGTGAGGGCATAATGACTAACTTATGGTTTATTTTCCATTATCATTTATAAGGACATAGGAAATGATATAAAAATGATGGCATCGCACCTGAGGTGACTCTGGGAAAATTCATCTTCGCCTCGTGACTTCTCTTTTAGACTCAGATGTCTTGTTATACCTTTGGGATCTGAAATTATATAAATCAAACATAAGATTGATCTCCATACATTTTAAAACTTTATAACAGAATGTTTAGCCAAAACAAAAATAATTTTTCACGATTCTCCACCTTTGAGAATGCAATAATCATTTATTCCATAATAATATATAACTTTATATACAACAGTTATTTTGACAGTGAGAAACATTTTGTATATATCATCATTAAAATTTGCTTTCTTCCTGTTAAAAATATAAGTTGAAAAAACTTCAGAATAAAATTACTATTGTTACAACTTTGTGATATTCACACCCTCAACCATGTTAGTTTTCTTAAAACAAAAAGACAGTAAAAATAATGCGGTTAAATGTTATTTCTTTCTGCATTTCAGAAATGTCAGAACTTGCTTTAAGTTTCAATGTACATGTATACAATGTGCCAGAGATATTCAATAAAGAACTACATATCTGGACCTTGTGTTTTCATTTTTTTAGAACATATATTAACAGTTTTATCTTTCTTATATGAGTACATTTGTATCAAGAAATCATAGCTACTTTTATATTTGAAATGAATGACTGTTCGCTGTAGTGCCTATTTTTCAAACTTGGGAATATAAATATACTTTCCACCTTTGAGCGTCAATTAAGTTTAAGGTTTCACTAAAGACACAGGGTTTACTAATTATAGAATAGTCAATGGATATTAAATGTTTAAACACTTGGGATTAATATTCTATCCTTTTTTTTCAAAAAATAAATTTTAATATTCTTTTACATTTTTTAAGCCTTATTTAGTGTATTTGTTTTAAGTGGCTCTGTTTAAATGCACTCAAGACAGACAAGTTATATTTTCTACCCATCACCTGACATATCTGTCTTTAAAAACCATACAAAAACATCAAAAATTAAAACACATGTACTAATTTGTATACTTCATTTGATACAAATGAAAGTACAGACAATACAATCAAGTCAAGCACAAACAACAAAGTGTACCAAGCTGGTAAATTTCCTGATAAATCACTCCAACACCTAGAACTAAAATCACAAAATAATATTACACAACCAGTGTTAATTATAATTACCAATTTTTAGAAGAATCACTGTAAGTACGGTACAGAAATATTATTCATTTCCTTAATTTATTGCTCTCAAAACTTGAGCACAGATTGGTCAACATTTCAGCCAATGACAATGCTTTGTCAAATGATTGGTAACCTGGGTCCTATTAATAGCTCTGGGACGCTGTTTTGAGGAATGTTTAACAGTGACATGATGCCTTTCTCCTAGGTAATACTACTGATTTACATAGTTTGAAACAGCACAGAATTGTTTTTCCAACAAAAGATAAAAACTGAAGGCGGCTTTAACTGAAGTCATCTTCTTTTTCCTTTTTTTTGAAAATTTATTTAAATTTTCTTTTCATTTAATCATTTAGAAAAGCAGGAATCTGGGCAGTTAAATTACAGTGACATAGAGGATATTTGTTTGGAATATATTTCACCGAGTGAGCACCAAAAGGTATATTTCACGAGTGGCGCAGCCACGAGTGAAATATGAACTTTTGGTGTTCACAAGGTGAAATATATTTCGATCTTACACTAAATTAAACAAATTTTCTTTTTATATATGCAAAGAAACGTTTTAAAAAGACATTAAACCTAATACTAAATGAAAAGCGCGCCAAATAATAATACAACGTGACGTCATTTACAACGTCACATCCTTAAGTTGGTACCCAGTACTGTGCACGCTGGTATTTCACTGAAACAACGTAAGGGGCTTAAATTCAAAACAGTGAAATTATCAAAGTGGTAATTGCACTGTTTCAGCCAGTGAAATTACCAGTTTTATATCACTGATATATTTCTATAAACCACCGAAAAGCATGTAATAAAATGTTATCAATGTTGAGCAATAAACAAACCACTACAAAGTAGTTAAACATTGTAATAATACAAAACAAAAATTTGCCTCTACTGGTGAAATATAATATACCCTTCAGCCAAAACAGAACATATTTAAAATACCCCTAGAACCTGTTACACAAAAATATATATTGAAGTCATATTAAACAAACCCTTCTTGTATCTGGGTAATGTTATATCCAGATTTTTAGTCAGTAAAACTTCTTGTAACAGATCTAAACGTAGACTTCCAAGGTCACGTAAACTTTTTGATCTCCTTAAGTCTGAATAAACATAATCATTTATATTTTGTGTATAACAAAAGAGCGACCATTACGTTTAACTTTAGAGAGATATAAATGTGTTTAGAATATCACAAAAAAGGCCTATAACTTATATTGAAAGTGCATATTAAGCGGAAATTGCCCACATAAGTTAACCTCTCTCCTAGATGAAAATTTAGATAATTGATGGTACAAATACCACAGATTTACCCTAATGGAAATACTTCCTTTTCATACTTTATAAAGTTTGGTGATGCCTTACAATTTGAGTGTAAACATATGCCCAACATGCTAACAATCAAAATTCATTATGTAATTAGATACTTCATGTGTCAATTAGTATATTTGAAACATAAATATTCAACATAAATACTTACTGCTCATGGCATCCTTCTTGTTAGAATCAGTGAAGGGATTATTCGGCAGTCCCTGAAAGTAGAAAAATATCAATTATTTCATAGCTATGTACCATATATTACCGGTCATTCTTGTTTTATTTTGGTAGCCATTTTAACATATATTTAGCCTGATAGGCTGGGCACTGTGTTTATTATCAAGATGTCGTTGATTTGATCCACTGGCAGGGCTATATTTCTTACAGACAACTTTTCCTCAGACATTGTTTCTAAAGGTCATTTTTTCTCTCACCACTCATTCAGAAATCATGTGAGGTGAAGTAGTCAGTCAATTGTGGGGAATTTGTAATAAATGGAAACTAATCAGGCAAAGCTGGTAAGGAAGACCAATTGCTGAGATAAGACCAAAATTGTGTTACATCAGTGTTAAATCAGATAGATACAAACAAACTAATCAGTCCGCAGAATTTTTCTAATTTTGCTCACAAAAAAGTCTGCTCTTGGAGTAAACATTCCATTTTCTAAACATAAATCAGTAGTGAATTATCCTATTATACTATTATTATATATCATATTATTCCTTTATATATTCTTTTTTTCATGAAACAACTCTTCAATCATCAATATAAATACTCTTTCCATACTTTTCTATTACAAGGGAGAAAAATATTTTATCATGGATTAATAATTACTTTTTTTCCAGTTGTTTAAAGGATCAGACTTACCTCAAATATAACTTCACCTTTCCCTTTGCGTTTTTTGGTCAAGTCCTCCACAGATGATCTGAGATCTTCCCGACTATGTGCCCTAATTGGTCCTAAACTTGTTGTTGATTTCGAACTTTTCACTTCTGCCCAAGCTTCTTGCAACTTTTTCTTCATTTTACGAGTTTTAGCAAAATCCAAGGGAGTTAATCCTCGGTCATCGGTTAATGTAACATTAGCACCATGTTCCAGCAGCACTGTTGTAGCTTTCTCATGATTGTTGTAGGACTGAAAATAAATATTACGATTGATTTACGTATTTATTATTATAAAAAATGTTAAATCGTTTTACATTTAAATCCTTTCCATACTGATAATGTGTAATTATATGCCCTGAATTTAAAACTGTCCAGTGTAAAACAAACAATAGACTGACAAATGTTCAAACTATACAAATGTTCAAAATAAAATGGGTACAAACTTTACTTACGCATTTCATTAAAAAACAAAATTAACATTAGAATAAGCCATGTATAGAAACATATAATTATAAATATATTTACTGTGATATGTAGAGCGGTTGCCCCAGCAAAACCCCTGGAGTTGACATCTGAGCCCCCGTCCAGCAGTGCACTGATACAATCTGCGTTACCAGTCAACGACGCACAATGTAATGGAGCAAAACATCTTTTGTCCTTTTGTTCTAAAACAAATTATATAGTTTAAAGATTAATTTGTGCAGCAAAAAACATAGTTAACAATTTGATGTGTGTGATTCCATTTAAAAGTCACTTAAAACATTTTGTCATCATGCAATGGGAGGGATTATCCTTATAAACATTTACATGTATATAAAACCCTGGTCCACTAACATTGCCCATGCTTATAAGCATTTCCAATGTTTTTACATTAACTTTCTACATACATTTGAATTATGCACAAAAAAGGACAAAAGTATGTGCTTGTTGAGTTATATGACATGTAACAGGGCTTTCTTTCCTTCTATAGCAGGGGCCGTTATAGGGCTGCTTCCCCAAAGAAAAATTCTTTAAAATCATGCAGTTTTCCCCAAAAATTGAATTTACGCGAAGTTTTTTTTTTCCTTTGCAGACATACCATGTAATTTTTGCCCAAAATTAAGGGCAGGGCTGCTTCCCTAACCTGTGAAGAAAGCCCTGTAGTTAGAATGATAAATAAGAATATAAGTATGACTTAAGGCACAGGTTTAACTGGTTTACATGCCATGACATTATATTTTTTAAATTATCAAAGAATTCATTGACAAGCTTCATTAATCATAGTACCATTTATATTGTAAAGGAAAGAATTACACCATCACCATATAAGAACACCTACCTAGATTTGGGGCTCCTGAGATAATTGAAGTAAGAACACTTTGGGCAATTTGAGCCTTGGACTGTGATGCATGATGTACACATGATTTACCATCACCATCTGAGGCATGTAGGTCACTGAAAATATATGTAACAATAATTATATCATAGTTTGGGGACCTTTCTGTTGAAAATGTGGCAGAGTAAAATTGTATACATTTACAAGGACAGTGTGTTAACTAGAATGCAGGTATTAGTTACTCGCACTCCAAAGCATACCCATTGATTGGCTTATTTTTATTCTACGGTTTACTTATTGTGACAGCAGAGAAAGGATAGCAATAGAAATATCATATTCAAATGCATGTTAATTGATTACTTTTTTCTGGGGTTTCATATTATGACAACAGGGAACATGTTTTCATTTTTGCCTATGATACAAAAGAGAAAGAACATCAAAACACTTGGCAATCTGATTTATTCAGGGGCTATGCTTCCCTGTATAAATCAGATAGCCTTATGTTTTGATGCTCTTTCTATTACTAAATCTCAGTGAAACTATTCTATATATATCAATAATGAAGCAGATTAAACAGCTTCATGATTAGCCTTTTGGTAAATATTAGATATGATAACAGTAATCATTTTATGTTTCCGATCTTTTACAGAAAAAAAGTGCATTCCTGGCCAGCTTTTAAAGAATCAGATTTTGTGACAGTTCATGTTCCTGTCTTTAATAGGTGTTCATAGAAAAAAAAATCCTCTTTAAGATTGTTTTTGTCATGATTGAAAAATATTTTTAGCTTTTTCAATGGTTACTCCTTCCCTGTGAACTGACATGTACAAACCTAGGCACCTACAGTCATATGAAGCATGAGAGTATCAATTTAAGTTAGCAGGATAGCTTTATCACATAAATTGCCATCCTATTAGCTCAATAGGTAAAGCATAGGACTAAGAATCGGGTGACCCCGGTTTGATTGCTGGCAACTAGTACTGGTAAATTGCTTGACATTCTGCCCAGAAAAAATGTGGTTGAACTAGCTCTGGTAAATTCCTTGTGGCTTACTGTCGTGGAGTGAAAACTACAAACACCACCACCACCGCTTTATCACATGGGATAACTTAAAATCCATTGTAGCAAAGATCCCACAGCCTTAGCCAATCATCAAAGGAGGCCAAATTTGTCAGATTTGCAAAATAGGAGTAAACCAATCTTTAACTTAAATGTAAAAAGAATGCTGATTTTGTTAACTTACGCTCTGGCAGCCAGTAGCTCTGTGACAACCTCTATAGGATTATAATTTCTCGACATCTGTGATGACAGTTTTTCAAACAACTGCATGTCACGTGTAGCTAACATAACAGGTGTAAAACCATCAGCATTTTGACAATTGATATCTAACACCTTCTTCTGACTCTGAAATTACAGAAATATTTCTTAAATTAGACTAACTCTTTAGTTACCATAAGATGTATGCAAAACAAATGAACAAATGATATGAACAAATGGAATGATGAACACATAGAGTGTACATGTGAAATGAGCACATAGAAAGTACACATGAAATGAGCACATGGAAAGTACACATGAAATGAGCACATGGAAAGTACACATGATATTAGCACATGGAAAGTACACATGAAATTGGCATTTGTAAAGTACACATGAAATTAGCAAAAGGAAATTATACATGAAATTAGCACATGGAAAGTACACATGAAATTAGTAAATGGGAAGTACACCTGGTAAGTACACATGAAATTGGCAAATGTAAAGTACACATGAAATAAACACATGGAATGTTCATGAGAAATAATCACATGGAATGTACACTTAAAATGAACCTGTAGAATGGAATACTGGAACTGACACACTGAATGGATACATGGAATGAATGCATAAAATGGATAGCTGGAATAAACATACTGACTGAACACATGGAATGGGTATGTTTATGTAATGGACACATGGAATGAACTCATAGAATAGATAGGTGAAATAAAGATATGGGATAAACACATGGAATGTTCACATAGAAATGACTCTATACATGTTCCAACTATCTTCCTCACATACAAATGACAAATATATGTGACAAGAGTTTTTCTTGCAATATTCAGCTGAAAATAGGTTTCTCTATAAAAACTTTATGGTGGAAATATTTTTGTCAGATTTCCAATAAATGTAATCATTCACTTTATGTTAATTGATTTAACAATAAACAAGTTGGTTAACAGACTCTTAGAACATGTTCTGATTTCTGTCCTAGGTGTCTGTAAAGGAGGAAATAATTGATTAAATGAATCAATGAAAGTCAGGGTAGAAATGTAAGCCAAATATTGGGACACTACCAGGGAATTCACCGTCAGACAAGTTGTTAAAAAACCCCTGATGTGTCAGAGATAATTCCAATATATTACTGATTTCAAAATAATTTCAATTCTTAATGAAGCATGCGAATAATTTAATAATAATTGTAACTGTATACTTCACACAGTGAACTACAGCCCCATCCTGTTAAAATGGTAAGGACATTATATACAGTAATTTCTTGCTGCAATGCTTTTAGCTTTATCTTCTTTTACATACATGTACCAACATTTTCATCACAATTGTTGTAAGAGTTAGTAACTGTCCAAGCAATTGATATACCAAGTACTCTAAAGTGACTTAAGTCACATAAAAGATATATTTAAATAGGGAAAAATTAAACCATATCTTTCTCAGAAGTATATAAGTTGTACCAGGTCTATATTATGACATATGTTTGTTTGTCTTGTTTTTCTTTTGGTCAGTATTTTTTTTAAGAAGGAAGAGTGGTTTAGAGGTAAAACATCTTGAGGTAGCTTCCTATTGCAGAGGTTGTGAAATAGAGACCTACAAGAGTTGATTTCTACACTCCACATTGCTGTGATAACTGGTTATTATAGTCAGGCCCCACTAAATGCACATGTCTAGGTCCAAGAAAGGGGTTTGATAGAAATGGGATAACAAACTCACACAGACATTTTAAAGGTCATAATATTATGGTGTCTCTCTTGTTTTACTGGTAAGAGAAGGCCTCACTTTCCCCTCCACCCATTAATAATTCAGTCTATTATTTCCAGAATAAATGGGCACCTGAGTATAACCATCATTTTATGTAAATTATCTGAAGTTGTGTGTAATGCAATATAACAGCTTTTAATGCTAGTACTCTAAAAGCAAGCATGAATCTTAGTCTAACTATCTTACATAAAACCTTTATTATTGATTTATGTTTTTTTTATTCTTTTTTTATTCAAATTATAATTTAACATGTAAATAAACCATTCATTAAATGGGGCATTGACCTTTGCTTTATTGTCGAATTTATCATTGTATTAAATTTCGTTTTTTCACAGGTACAATATATTATAGTATTTAACGTAAGTGGATTAGGTCAGTGTTTCATACAGATCATAAACACAGTAATCTGTTGAATAACCCTCCTTGTTTGACACCTAAATAATGGTAAAACATTTACGCAACTGCTGAAAATACAATCACTGAAAATACGTTGAATACAGACTTTTACAATGGTTTTTTTTGTAAACAGTCCATTTTCTATTGAAGGGATATCACCGTGACAATTTGGAAGTTCAGGTCAGCCATCAGTATCAGAGCCTGGTCAGACTACATGGATATATAGACACTGGCTTGGCTGTATATACTGGTGACATATAAGCTTTGAAGTTTTTAGTTCTAACATTGAAAAAGGGTTAAAAATCATGGATTCATCATAATGTTATTTATGAACACTGACTTATGACACTGTATTGTGATGGCCATGGAATATGAAAACTACATTTATACATACAAGGGTTGCAACTACTACATTTATACATATAGGGGTTGTAACTCTTGTCATAAAAAATCTGATCAAAGTGATATGATACTTCTGATGATTCTCACTTTTAAACCATAGATACTGCTCTTAGAGCTGTCCAAAAATATAAAAAATAAAAGGAAATATAACATGGACTTTGTTGTTACTATTATAATTATAATGCCCATAGTGATAGAGACTAGGAATGGGGAAAAAATGGACATGATTTCATAATGTTTATACTATATGAACTCAAATATAATCTTATATAAATATACAACAACATTATATATTAAATTTTTTTAATTTCTCAATTTTACATCTCTTATTTTAAAAATAACAGATAGCTCCAAACACAAAGCACTGGGCAAGTCCATCATGTTATGTTGGGCAAGTCCATCATGTTATGTTGGGCAAGTCCATCATGTTATGTTGGGCAAGTCCATCATGTTATGTTGGACAAGTCCATCATGTTATGTTGGGCAAGTCCATCATGTTATGTTGGGCAAGTCCATCATGTTATGTTGGACAAGTCCATCATGTTATGTTGGGCAAGTCCATCATGTTATGTTGGGCAAGTCCATCATGATATGTTGGGCAAGTCCATCATGTTATGTTGGGAAAGTCCATCATGTTATGTTGGGCAAAGCCATCATGTTATGTTGGGAAAGTCCATCATGTTATGTTGGGCAAAGCCATCATGTTATGTTGGGAAAGTCCATCATGTTATGTTGGGAAAGTCCATCATGTTATGTTGGGCAAAGCCATCATGTTATGTTGGGAAAGTCCATCATGTTATGTTGGACAAGTCCATCATGTTATGTTGGACAAGTTCATCATGTTATGTTGGGAAAGTCCATCATGTTATGTTGGGCAAAGCCATCATGTTATGTTGGGAAAGTCCATCATGTTATGTTGGACAAGTCCATCATGTTATGCTGGACAAGTCCATCATGTTATGCTGGACAAGTCCATCATGTTATGTTGGACAAGTTCATCATGTTATGTTGGACAAGTTCATCATGTTATGCTGGACAAGTTCATCATGTTATGTTGGACAAGTTCATCATGTTATGCTGGACAAGTTCATCATGTTATGTTGGACAAGTCCATCATGTTATGTTGGACAAGTTCATCATGTTATGTTGGACAAGTTCATCATGTTATGTTGGACAAGTCCATCATGTTATGTTGGACAAGTTCATCATGTTATGTTGGCCATCATGTTATGTTGGACAAGTTCATCATGTTATGTTGGACAAGTTCATCATGTTATGTTGGACAAGTTCATCATGTTATGCTGGACAAGTTCATCATGTTATGTTGGCCATCATGTTATGTTGGACAAGTTCATCATGTTATGTTGGACAAGTTCATCATGTTATGTTGGACAAGTTCATCATGTTATGTTGGCCATCATGTTATGTTGGACAAGTTCATCATGTTATGTTGGACAAGTTCATCATGTTATGTTGGACAAGTTCATCATGTTATGCTGGACAAGTTCATCATGTTATGTTGGACAAGTTCATCATGTTATGTTGGCCATCATGTTATGTTGGACAAGTTCATCATGTTATGTTGGACAAGTTCATCATGTTATGTTGGACAAGTTCATCATGTTATGTTGGGCAATTCTTTCATGTTATGCTGGACGAGCCCATCATGTTATGCTGGACAAGTCCATCATGTTATGCTGGACAAGTCCATCATGTTATGCTGGACATGTCAATCATGTTATGTTGGGCAAGTCCATCATGTTATGTTTAGGTGGGTACATGTTAAAATCTTGCTCTCACAATGATCTAGTCAGAATATATCTCTAAAATCATTTCCTACAATCTACTTCTGTTCAATTTTTTTAACAACAAAGACATCAGAATATTTTGCTGATTTGCATAAATAATAACAATCTACTATCATTACATGGTTTATTTTATCTTAACTCGTTATCAATCTCATAGTAAACTAATGATTCTATCATACAATCACCACAAAAAGTTAAATTTGTTACCTTATGTCATTGTTATTTCTCACAATTATCAAGTGTGTTAATTTTTGGTTTATTACAAATTGTGTTTTATGTTTAGGGACTTTTTTATTGTCAGCCATAACTGTTTCAAAACAAATACAATAACTGTTCAACTGTCAACCCATATAATATTTCACAACAAACAGAATTTCAAGTTATATAGATTATCTAAGTTTTCTTAAACTCAGTAATAGATATATCATATAACTTTGGAGCAAGGGACATAAATGGAAAATGACTCATATATAACAGATATATCATAAGGTTAAATTATATATTGACTATTTTCCTTCTCTTAACTTAGCTCTTAATTTAATCACTTTTTTGTGTGTGAAAATGTGAGGAAGGGAGCATAATAGTAGTTGCCTTTTATAATAATGAATTGTTTTCTTCTCTTTCAAAATAGTGAAAAAGAATATCAAAATTTATTAAATTTTACAGAAAATCAGTTATGTAATAAGTTACACCAAGTTGTCATTTTCAACAGAAGCATAATTCAAGCTGAACTCCTATACAGAAACAATTATCTCTGTGACTCAGAGATATAATTATATAAAAATCAGAGATATAATTATATAAATGAGTTTGACCAAGATGTCATTTTCAACAGAAGCATAATTCATGCTGAATTCCTTCCTATACAAAAACAATTATCTCTGTGACTTGAAAACCTCATTGCAACAACCGCTGACACAAAGACAAATAATCATCTCAAGTTTGCTTCAATATACATGTGGTTTGGTTAAGCCCCTATTTAAAACTGTATTTCAGTAAATACCAGTAAGCAATTACAATATTTCATTCTACTTGGAACATATACGATTATAACATTTTTAAACTGTCTCCCACTACTTGATATATATCAACTAAAGCAACATTACAGGACAAATGGTATAATTTATAGAAACAATGTTAGTAATGTGGTGTGTTCAAAAAGTCACTGAGATATCAAATACTTGCCTTGTCCTGATATAAACAGTTTCCAGTTATAAGCCAAAGAGTTGAGCAGTCTACAGATTTCAGCAAAATAGTGCTTAAACTGTTATCAACTAAACAGTCAGCTAGACTTTAATGCTAATGCATAAATACTGTGTAAGATGAATGACTTAAAATCTAAAGCACATCAACAAAATGTAACCATACACAGATCTTGCTATTCAAAGAGACTTTAAGCTGTCTTTAAGTTATTTTAAGTACGGTAACAGCAAAAGCAGTTATATAGTGTGTAAGAGAACAAGTTACCAGTAATCTAGAGACAACTTGTATATCTCCTTGCCAAGCTGCCTGCAGCAGTAATTGATGAGACGCCTCCGTACTTCTCTCCACAGATTCCAGCAGTATTGACCTTATAGACGGTGAGGCGACCTCTACAGCTGTTTGACCTTCATAATTGCGTAATGTTATATCAGCACCATGCCGTAACAAAAGTTGTACAATCTGAAATTAAAATAAAATTAATATAATTAAAATTATAACAAGAGCTGTCAGAAGGACAGCGCGCTCGACTTTTTTAGTGCTTGCCTATAAAACAAAACTTTGACAGTTAAGGGCACACAAGACTTTAACTAGGAATTTCTAAGTACAAATCAAGAAACATTTTCACAGAGTTATCTTCTCTTGCTTACAGATAGGTCTCATGATGGCACATAAGAACTCCAACTTCCAAAGTAATATCTCAAATGGTTAAGTCAACAAGTGGACAAGAATGAAAATCTTAACTGAGTTTCTAAGTCAAAAAGGGCCATAATTCAAATAAAATCCTTAACAGAATTACCTTCTCCTGCCCATGTTTTGGGACCATGATGGTAAACAAGTATTCCAACTTTCAAATTAATATCTCAAACAGTTCAGTCAAAAAGTGGACTGGTACTAAAAACTTAACCAAGATTCTAAGTCGATAAAAGGCCTTAATTTTTAAAACAAATCCTTGACAGAGTTACCTTCTCTGGCGTACAGATGGGGGTAATGATGTGAAATAGCATTAAAAGTTTCAAAGCAATATCTCAAAGGGTTAAGGCAATAAGTGGATTTTACCCATATTCAATGTATTTTCTAAGTCAAAAAGGGGCATAATTCTGTCAAAAACCTTGACAGAGTTATGTCCTCTTGTCTGTTGATGAAGGTCGTGATGGTAAACAAGTATGGTCAGTTTCAAAGCAATACCTCCAATGGTTTTGAAATAAAGTGAGGTGGTACAAAAAACTTAACCAAGCTCAATACACTTTCTAAGTCAAAAAAGGGCCATAATTCTGTCAAAAACCTTGACAGAGTTATGTACTCTTGTCTGTAGATGGAGGTTATGATGGTGAACAAGTATGGTAAGTTTCAAAGCCATACTTGTAATACTTCTGAAATAAAGTGGGGTGGTACGAAAAACTTAACCAAGGTGTGACGCCAACGCCGACGCCGACGCTAACGCCGACGCCGACGCCGTCGCCGGGGCGAGTAGGATAGCTCCCCTTTTCATAGAAAAGTCGAGCTAAAAATTGTAGGATAAAAAAGTCTCTAAAACACAATATATTTGTCCCATAGCTCATTTCAAATGGTAACCGAAAATAGTTTCCTTTTGATTTCTATTTCTGAAATTTATTAAACAATAATGACAATCAAACCAACTAATTTCAGAAGTTAATTAAAAAATCCATATGATAGATCTACTAGATCAAAAATTGTGTAAAAAAAAAAAATTATATCAATCGGCAGTAAAGCATCAATACTGTAAGAACACTTACATTTAATTCCTTTAAAAATTTATTTCAGCTTTACATCCACAAATATATCATTTTGATATATATATAAATTTACTTTAATGAAAAAATAAATATATCTATAATTCCTAGTTTTATATCAAAAGTGATATAAAAAGACCTATAAATTGATGCACAGTGCATTCACTAAGACTACTCTATATGGACTGATATAACATGGAAAGTCCATCTTGACAGAAAGGCGGACTTGGGTTCAGATAGCCTGAACAAAGAAACTGTGTACTTTCATAATGTTGGCAATATTCCATCTTTGTGCCTCGACTTGTAACAGGATATTCTTTTACCAATATTGCAATTTTTCACAAAACCATTATGAAAACGGGGCATTTAAATTCATCAACTTACCATTATTAGTATTTTACTGAACAATTTAAGATTTGGGGTGTAAAGTTAATATTTCACATTCAATGATGATCATAAAAAAATCACCTTTGTGATAAGAAATTATATGAAAAATAACACTTAACATGAAGTATTAGAATATGATATTTATGAGTATTTATAAGAATCTCTCAATTTCTATGTGACAATGCATTATTTTTCAGAGTTAATTCTTGTGAAATCAATTAAGTTCCATTATAATTTATAAATCAAAATAAAATAATAATGTCAATAACACAAAAGAATCACTCGGGCCTGAAACCATATTCCCCAATAATCTTTGTGAGGAAATAGGCTGTAGAATTTACATATTTCCTTTATATTCTATTCATTTAATAGACACAGAGATTAAAAGTTAAGACAATTTCATCGCATTTTAGCTAAATTGATTTCAGTGGAAAATGTTTTGTATTTCCTGTGCCATAGAACTATATATCCTAATGTTCTTTTGAGTTACAGATATGTAATTCTTTATTTACTTTATAAAAGTTACCCACAGAATATGTACTTACACAATTTTCACCGAATTTGTTTCAAACTGTACAAAACCAATGTATTGAATAAATTGTTAAATGTCCCTCATTAATTGTATCATAAGTTTTCCGTTATATTTGTGGGTTTTAAATATTTTGATATACTGTGATACACTCTATGACCCCTGTCAGTTATGTCAACTGATCCCACTTAAATGTAATATCTCAAAATAAAATGTGGATAAAAACTATATAAACTTTACAATTCAATAACTGCTTATTCAGGCAATTTTTAAAAACTGACCTACAAACATAATTTATAGTTAGACATTTTTGGGTTTTAATGAAATTTTATTAAAACAGTTTACAAGTGGAGAACATAAATTTCTTGAAAGCAAATATGGGTACTGTATTAAATCTTAAAACATGTATAAAGGTAGTTAATAATTTTGTTTTTGACTTTAAAGAACCAGTAAAACATGTCTATACAAATCCTTATATGTTACTTGGTAAAGGTCTTTGACTTCAAACCACTTGACCCTCATTGCTGAAGGTTCAAATCCCAACAGGAACTTTGGATTATTTTATGTGAAGAAGCTTTCTAGCTACATGTAGCTTACAGAACGTTGGTGGTTCTAATCGCCAGAAATCAAACAGTCACACTCTTTCATTTATATTCCCTTTTGTTTCTTATTTTATGAAGTCTTTTGTCTTTTTTTATGCATAATTTATAATTTGAATACATTTGCATTTTCTTTTGTTGCATATATGTAATGATAACCTTTAAGTATTTATGTATGTTACCAGATAGCTAATGTTTACCATTTTACCATGTGGGCCTTTTGCATATTTATATAAATAAATCTTGAAATTTTATTCTTTTATGTCCAAAATCATTTTAGCAATATTAACAACAATGGCTTTATGCAAGCCTGAGTCATATTGATAATGCTAATGGATGACTTCAAATTTTATCAGCATTTATTTTGTTTATTCAGACCAGGTCGGTCTTTTAATCTCCGCACTAGGGGTAAAAAGGACCAACGGGCGACTTTACCACATTAAACAACTTCACTCCTAATAAATAATTCATCAATAAACTGTAGTACAGTGACTTAAATATTTGTATTTGGTTAAAAAGAAAACATTATGTATGTAAACTCTTTGTACTTAATGTCGGGAGGGCATGAGTTAGACAAAAACAAAACTGACCCAATGGAAATGTTCCAAATCTTACTATTTGGCTTCAAGCCACTGACCATAATGTCATCATCACGAGTGTATGAATAGATTATAACATTAATTTATAAGTAAACAAAACTTTGTTATACATGCTTACCTAATCCATTTACAATTTATAAATTCATTAGTGATTAATATGTCTAAAATAACATCAGCTTATTTTTTTGTCATTCCAAATGATGTGCAAATGTATATATATTTCTTTATATATTTTTACAAAAGATTATGTAAGTGATATACAGTTGTTTAATTTTAGGACAACAATCAACAATTAATGGAAAAAAAATGTAGATTCTCATAAAATTAAATTTAAAAAAAAACAACAAAAAAACCCCAAAAACGTAAATTTCAAAAACCATCTGTTCAATCAAAACAATTTATTTATATAATACTATAACAAAACAAGAGCTGTCCGTAAGACAGCGCGCTCGACTTTTTTATTGCTTGCCAATAAAAAAAGTTTTTGCAGTAAAAGGCAATACAAGAATCTCTGTATTTTTAAAGTGAACTAGTTGTTTGATACCCTTGAATATTACAGCAATGTTTATATGACATAATTTATGGTAAAGTGAACAAGTGGATAAGAATGAATTTTTTTAGATTTTTTAAGTTTTTTAGTGCTTGCCTATAATACAAAACATTGACAGTTAAGGGCCATAATTCAAATAAAATCTTTGACAGAATTACCTTCTCCTGGACATGTTTGGGAATCATGATTGTAAACAAGTATTCCAACTTTCAAATTAATATCTCAAACAGTTCAGTCAAAAAGTGGACTGGTACTAAAAACTTAACCAAGATTCTAAGTCGATAAAAGGCCTTAATTTTTAAAACAAATCCTTGACAGAGTTACCTTCTCTTGCGTACAGATGGGGGTAATGATGTGAAATAGCATTAAAAGTTTCAAAGCAATATCTCAAAGGGTTAAGGCAATAAGTGGATTTTACCCATATTCAATGTATTTTCTAAGTCAAAAAGGGGCATAATTCTGTCAAAAACCTTGACAGAGTTATGTCCTCTTGTCTGTTGATGAAGGTCGTGATGGTAAACAAGTATGGTCAGTTTCAAAGCAATACCTCCAATGGTTTTGAAATAAAGTGAGGTGGTACAAAAAACTTAACCAAGCTCAATACACTTTCTAAGTCAAAAAAGGGCCATAATTCTGTCAAAAACCTTGACAGAGTTATGTACTCTTGTCTGTAGATGGAGGTTATGATGGTGAACAAGTATGGTAAGTTTCAAAGCCATACTTGTAATACTTCTGAAATAAAGTGGGGTGGTACGAAAAACTTAACCAAGGTGTGACGCCGACGCCGACGCCGACGCCGGGGCGAGTAGGATAGCTCCCCTTTTCATAGAAAAGTCGAGCTAAAAATAAATAGGGAATCATATCCACATGATATATTCTCATTAAATGTCATAATTTTTGTCAATTTGAAAAATGATATCACAAAAACACAAAGAGATTCTTCAATTAGTAAAATTTTCCTGCCATAATTGACTTTTATTGAGAATGTAATTAGATATTTAACAAGTTCACGAAATAGATAATAAGCGCGTTATCAAGTATTGATGATTTTCACATTACGTAGATAATTTTTGGAGACACTTGCGGATACTACTTGTCAAACAAAGAGCTGGCACCGTGCCAATCTAAATCATTGTATCAGCTGATCAAAGTTTATTGATCTATTGATTAGGGACATTTAAATGTCCCGGTGAAATTACCGAGCAAAGTTACATCAAGATCATTGAAATACAAAACTGTCACGTTCCAGATGATTTCAATAAATATGCAATAAATTAAAGAAACTGCGACAGTATCATTTACAAAGAAAGTGGGTCATTTACCTGTGACGTAAAATTATCAAGAGTTTTGTATAACAAGACAATCAATATGAATTGATGTATGTATCAAGTGCACAATACAAGATGGTAGAAAAAATCTAGACTTTTTTATATATCTAAATATGTAAATAAATTTCTTATTGATATTATTACAGTAAATTAATGCCTGTAGATCATTCAGACTTGACAAGGCTCAAATCAAAGCATTTAATTGGTTGATTAATATGAGCACGGATGTAATATTGACCAATGGTAGAGTTCCAAATTGAGAATGGTTTCAAAAGATATATTCACATTTTGTAATGATTAAATAATTACTGAATATGGATTCCACAACAGTGATAAAGGTGCTATGGTTACTGGTAATTGGATGATGCTGTACCTGATGAATGATCTTTTCATAAGTGTTATGTTTCTCTTTATATAAATTAAATATTTAGCATGTTCAATTCCATTTATCAATTAATTTTCTTTTATAAAGCAATATATGTCAAATAAAACATTAAATAAAATATTGTACTGTTTGCATATTGTATTTCTTGTATAAATGTATACCGTTTTGAAATAAATTTTATCCTTTAAGATTAATCTACATTGTGGTTTTCTGTTTTGTAAGACATAAAACCACAAAATGGAAAATTTCCAATTCATATTACAGATGTATGTATACCAGTAACATCCTCAGAAGGACACAAAGTTGCAAATACGTAATGGAACAAAAACCATGACATTGCACAATTTGCACTTAATATAAAACTTTATCCTGTAAGCAGCAACATATTCCATCCATGCAACCAGTTCAGACAAAAATCAGCTTGCACATCCTTGCCATCTGATCTTGTTCTGTTTGCTGATAAGACAGTGCATAATTTGGAAATTTTCCCTTAAAATGACAACTGGTTTTGTCCAGATTTGAAAGATGAACAAGTCCATTTAAGACATTTAATATAGTAAGAGTAAAGGACAAGATGTAAGAATTATATCTGTGCCATCATTACAGAGACTGGCCAGCCTGCACATTCATTAAAGTCTCAAAAGGGTATTTTATATCAACAGCTTACATTCATTATTATGATAATGAGAGCCTTTAATTCAACAACAGACATTTCAAAATTTATCAATTTCATGTAAGATAAATCCCAGTCAGCAGTGAACAATCTGACAGACTAGTTCCATGATTCTTGAGAACTTCCAAATATTAGATGGTATATGTTTAACTATTTTGACAGGTTTTGACTATTTTGTATTGTACCTTAGCATGTCCCCTCTTGGCGGCCCAGATTAACGGTGTATTTCCAGTCTTTTTGTCCTTCACATCTATACTGATAACATAATCACTTCTGTTTCTGTGCAGGAAATTCTCTATCTTCTCATATACCCCATCCTGAAATTACAATACATAAGTTGTTTACTGTTGTGTAATAATGTAGAATTTAAGAAATTTGGAGACCTCTTTGGCAGCAACAGACATAAATGCAATAAACATTTATTACTGTTTGCATAGATAGTAGTTATTAATACTACATGTATATTAGTTTACACAGAATTTGTTTTGATTAATTGTATAAGATGCTATAAGCTTATAGACATACTCTCAAAACAGTTCTTGTACCAACTAGTACTGAGCAAATAGTGTGAAGTATCTTGCTGATGGAAACAACGGCTTGCCCCTGACAGGGTTTGAACCCACACACTGTTCTAGTGTTGTATCTAGACTGGATAAAGGGCAGGGTACACTTGATAAAGGGCAGGGCACTAAATATAGAACGGACAGAGTGCACTTTGATAAAATCTGTAAATCCAAACTTGCAGACGGTATATAGTAAATTTTCACATTTATTTTAATTGCCTCAATGCCTCTCAACATGACAAAGAATTTATAACCAATGGTAGAGTCTCATTTAAAAACACTGAATCCATTACTCTACTTTTGAAAAAAAGAGCCATATCTAATGATCAAGGGTAGTGATTGTGATATATTTACAAACAATTTTCAAACTACTTGTAAACAGTTTATTTTAACCCCAAAAGATAGTGATCAATCTGATATTTAGTGACTCAATTTTCTAATTATTCTTATTCCAGCGGAACAATTACATGAAACTTGACACCAGCATTTTTTTACCTGAACCAGAATTAAGGAATATCAATCTGCCATAAAATACAAATAAAAAGGTTGTGCCCTTATTTGTATTTCCTTAGATAACATAGCAATGAAATCTTTGATTTACATATTGCAAGCCTTCAAAAACACTTAAGTAAACAAATATTTTCAATTTAGTTTTACTTATAACCTCATCTTCTGTCAAATGTGTCAGTGAAGTTTTTTTTAATGTTTTGGAACCCATAAAAAACTTAAAGCAAGGAAATTGAGGCATGCAGGTCTAGTGGTTCAGGTATCTTCCTTTCAACAAAGGACACCTAGGTTTAGTGGCACTGAGTTACATCAATGCTTTCTCATATGACACTAGTAGTGGCTGATCAATAAAAAAACAAAAATTGAAAATGTTTAACGTAAGTTTATACTTAAGCAATCAAGCTGAAGGCAAGAAAAAAGAAGTATTTATGTTCTTACCCTGGCTGCAGCTATAAATAGCTCTTCTAAATCAGAGCCATTCTTGCCGAGCAACTGTGTAGCAATGTCATAATACTTGATGCCAGCGGATGACACCCGTGGAATACCCTGATTCCGGTTATTATTTCTGTTATTATTGGTGGTTGCCATGGTAACATTGGCATTATAGAAACCGTTGGATCCTGACTCAGGATCAATGTTTGGGTTCTCTGGCATTGTTGTATTAGTACAACCACCATAGCCATAAAAATGTAACGGTTTCCCTACAGTCTCCAACAAGTCTGAAAATATATAACATCATACAGTTATATGTGAACAAATCACTTGACATACATACAGTGGCCAGCGCCATAGATACTTTATTATCCCTGGATGGCCATAGATAGTTCTTAACCATGAACATGTTGAATATTTTAAATGGACTTGTCCTACTTCCAATTTGGAACTGTCTATTTTCAATTTTAGGTATATCAATTTGAATATTTAAAGTTTGTCAGTCAACAGTAAGAAGCCTGGTCAGACTACACAGATGTGCAGGCTGGCCTGGCTCTATACTGGTGGCAAAGGCTTAACGCTTTCAGTTACAGCACTTAAAGGGTTAATAATCCCCGAGTATCAAAAAAGTTGTGCTAAACTCTTCACATGAATTCATACACATGTATAAAACAACATTTTAAATACACGTCTTTTTGCAGCAATATGTTCTTATTAATCTTCAGAAAACAACAACAACAACAAATGAGGTAACATACCCATTCCGTACTCATTAAATCTTCACCTTTTTACATTAATCCAACATAGCTGGTGTTTACATTGTCACTTTTTGACACACCTTTTATAATGCTATATTTCTTTACATGAAATACACACCAAAATCACACTATAACTGTTAAATAAATGAAGCTATGTACTATTTCTCCTTTACATTTTTATTTCATATTTTCTAATTAGTGCTATTTTATCATGACACCTTGCATTCTCAAAATATTTCTTCAATGAACCTTGTATGGTATAGTTTCAATATATCTCCTTGAACAAGAACAATGTTACACTGATAAAAATCTTGTTGTGTCTTATTTTACGCTACTGCATTTATTTACAGTCTTACACATATCAATAGGCAATGAGAAGTTCTTTTTTTCTATAATGTCATCAATTATAGTTTTAAAAATACTTTTTTAAAAGACTTAATGGTGTATGAATATGAAGTTAAACTTGACTTATGATTGATGTGTCCTTACATACGTGTTCCAAGGACAATTCTGTACGTTTTGTGATAAACAATGCATAATCTTTCTATGCTACCCATAATGCATTGAAAATGTATTTGAAAAACGAACTTGTCTACAGCTTTCTTAAACTCTTTTGCATAATTACTTGTATTGAAAATATGACTAGTACATGATTTATAGGATTCAGAAGTAAAAATTACTACAGCCATGTACCATTGCCATGATTGGCTCCTATAAGTTAGTGCCACATGGAAAAGGCCCGTAAGTTTGCCCGAGGAGACAAACTTGTTCGTATATGTTAATATGCTGAATTGAATTGAATTGATTACAATGTTCTAATTTTATTATATGGTAAGTCATCCATTTCAACAGATGTAATGTTTTACTGTAATAATCCATGCAAATACACGTTAATTACAACTTGTTCATGAGCAGTAATTGCAAAATGCAAGTTGATCAATACAAAACTATGTCAATTCATGGAGTATACCTCATAAAATCTCCATCAAAATCTACCCGGGGCACAGAACAAATCAATTACACTTTAATAGACCAATATGGACCATGGATCAATAAGAAATTTGTAAAATGGCCTGGAAACTATTAATTGATATAAAGATTGATTACTTTAACAAACATAGCAGTATTTAAAAGGACATTTTCATAATGTTTATACTGTCACAAAGATATCGGTTTGTAACAATTACAAAATGTCCGTAATCCACTCTCTAATGGTTTGCTATTATTATAAACTGTGACTGCCCATGTATATATATATTATATATATCCAGGCCAGGGTGTCTGTATAAAATGACAGGACTGTATAGTAAGCTGCTGATTTAAATAAACAAGAGGGCCATGATGGCCCTGAAGTCGCTCACCTGCATATAGGCCCCACGGAGCGGGGCCAGTTTAAACCCCAGGGCTTTTATTTAAACAAACTTGGTAGACACCCATTAGAAGATGTTTCATGCTAAACATCTAAGGGTTTTTTAAAAGAAGATTTTTAAGTTTTTTCTTTACACATATATTTAAAAACTATGACACCCCTGGGGCAGGGCCAGTTTTGACCCCAGGGCTTTTATTTGAACAATCTTTGTAGACACTTACTAGAAGATGTTTCATGCTTAATATCTAAACTCTAGCTATTCTGGTTTTTTCGAAGAAGATTTTTAAGTTTTTGCTATACACATATAAGGAAAATCAATGTCCCCTGGGGCGGGGCCAATTTTGACCCCAGGGCTCTTATTTGAACAAACTTGGTAGACATCCATTGAAACATGTTTCATGTTAAATATCTTAGCTCTAGCTCTTTGGGTTCTTTAAAAGAAGATTTTTAAGTTTTTACTATATTCATACTATACTATAAAAAAAATATGATCATCAAAATACAGAAAAGCACATCAAATATTTGCTCCAACATAAAATCTGAAAATTACCTTTTAATAACTTGCACCTTTTTCTTGATATAATACCACAAGATTTAGAGCAAGATATTTACAACTATAAATCACACAGAAATTGTTATAATGTATGTATTTAAATGCTCAATGATTATTTCTAAATAAAATTTGCAATTTGAAAAATTACTCTAAATAAAATTAATCCAACAGAACAGTATAACAGCACTCGTGGAACTTTCAATATTTTGATTTTGACGGCTTAATCAATTGATCAGCTGTTTTCTACGTCTGTGTTTTGACCCGATATTTTTTCTGGCCATGTTCCAAGTCCTTCGATTGACATGACCGAATGACAAAAGCAACCTACTAAAAATGGGATTTAAATCTTACTACAAGCTTTTCTACAGATTATAAAACCACACAAAGAAGTACATTTAAAGTAGCAAAAGAAGAAATTCCCCCCAAATAGTGAGCTTTCAATATATTGTTTAGCTTGTCATTACAAACTTCTGAAGACACCACTCAGATAAGACAAATAAATTCATAAACATAAACAACAAGGTTATAAATTATAACTTTACCAGATGCCCTATAGGTTAAATGAAATTATATGCAGATATATTATATGTTGTAATAATTGAGGGTAACACTTTGCCATTGTCCTGCTCATGGTGCTTAAGAACACATTACATAATTCTTTGCATGACATGTTACATTCACTTCAAGATGCATTTTCTGAGGAATCAGAAGCAGACAGAATAAGAAGGTGTAAGAAAAAGGGACAGGTAGGTATAAGGAACAGCAACCTGTACAGCAGGTAGTACAGGAGAGGATGGCAGAACAATACGGTACAAGATGGTATAAGATTAATATATTTATTTATAATAATTCTAGATTATCACCCTGATTCAATCACAATCTTGAACCATAAGAAATCAGATCATCAGACAATGTTAATTCTCAATGACTCATTTAAACCTGTTAGTATGCACGTTTAATATCTCATGATGTCTACAAATAAAAGAATTGTTAAACTGTGTTAAAAAAGAGTACTTAGCATTGTAATCTGTATAAAGAACCTCCTTTTGAAAGTTGTAAAAATATAAATTATTCAATACTGATCAATATTGCAACATTTGTTTTCCTGATTTGAAACAAAAATAAACTTTTATGTTCTGTGCCATGAGATTCTACGTTTCGAAATAAGCGTGCCAATTTAGAACGCCAAATGTAACATGTCAGCCCAGGAGAAAAACGAGGGCTTTCTCTTAAAGTAAACATATAATTGATTGTAAGACAATAATGATAAATAAAATTTTGTATCAAAACAAAGCAGGGGGGAATGTAAGGCCATGTTATCAGTGGCAGTATAAAATTACACTGAAAATTAAACTGATTTTAAGACATGAATATTGAAAGCAAACATTACATCACTTTAGTTAGAGAATATGGTCTACTATATGACAGGCAGGAAAATTTATGATTTACACAAGGAAAGCTCATTTATAACTTACACCAGACTTTAAGGTATGAAGATTGTCATCTGTTTTGAGTACTGGGGCCAAAGTTATAAACAATATTTCTCTCAGCTTCAACTGATTTGATTGGTCAGATCGCAGGTATTTGATTGGTCAGATTGCAGCCAGGTATTTAATTGGTCTGATCCCAAGTATTTGATCAGAAACCAGCACTGAATGGACACAAACTAATAATAATCCTGAGGTTCAAGTGGAGTTCAGAGATATATTTTTTATAACCTTGAGACCTGGACAATCATCACCAATATAATTTCTAGACAGTCTTCACATTTGAGCAATTTGTAACCTGTTAAATATTAATATTTTAATGATAAAATTAGGGGAATACATTAAATTGTCAGACTTGTTTGTTTAAAATTAAAAACAAACTGAAAAATGCATTGTATTTAACCAAAGAACAAAGGATACATAATATACTTTTTTGCATTTTATTTTATTTTTAAAACAAAGATACCAGTAAGTTTGGGTTCTATGAAGATTTATAACATGTGTTGGTAAACTACCAATTACCTTAACCAAGTTTCCATTTAAATCCTTACATAACAATTTCAGATAAAGATTACAATATAGTCTAGCTTGCAAATTTAACTAATCAAATTAAATAAGCACATTCAGTTTTTTATATTTGATCATGTTTAAACATACAACTTACATAAAATGTTCCTTTTGAATAAGCAAACTAACTTTAAGAATGTCAGTAACTATTGAAATAGCCGGCAAAAAAGGTTGCTGTTGACAATGTCTATCTTTTAATAATCATCCAAACACACTTCACAAGTCGGTCTGGGGCAGTCAAGTGGATTATTCATTCCATATATGCATGGCAAAAAAGTAATGCTTATGTGTCATAGGACTTCTGACTTGATGTCAATAAACCAAATGATATCAGGAAAATTACTTATTCACACTATGAAATTCAACATATATTTATCAATTCTCTGTTCATTAACATAGTTGTTTTTTGCATTGTATAATAATGCATGGTTTATCATTCAAATGACTCAGGTCCACTGGCCTTAATTATTATATTCCAGTGCATTTAAACTCGAACCATGCAAAATTCTATAACAACACACTGAAAGTTTATATCTATTTACTTATCATTTTA